CTGGTCCACCCTTTCCTTAGTGATATGAATACGGGGACCAGGCCCTCCAGGTTGAGGAAGTCACAAATCTGAAATAGTAAAATTTGGTCATAAATCCTACTGGACTCGCAACCAAGAATGGCTGTGCTGGCGAGGGCCAACAGCAATTGTAAACGACAGAGCTGTCCTCTCATCAGAGAGGGTGGCCCACATCAACAAACCTGCAACTGTCTGATAGTAATAAAAATCTGGTCTTGGACCCCAGATGGGGGCTTGACATCAAGACAGACTGGCCAACTTACTGTCCATCATTTCCCACCTCATGACTCAAGGTACGCGGGTTCAAACCCGACGGAGGTCGTGGAATTTTTAAGGGCGGAAAAATTCAGGGAACAAGTCCTCCGGAAGGGACTTTAAGCCATGGGTCCTGTGTCGTAGATTTACAGCACGTAAAAGATCATCATGTCTCTAGGAGACCTCTGAGCAAAATTAGGCAAAGTTTCCCTCCCAAGTAGTTTCCAATGCCTCCGGTAGATGGGGAAGTGATCGGGTACCACTGCCAGCCTCGTTGGCTGAACGGGGCTGATAGCGAGCACCAGTACCGGCAGGGTATGGCGACTGGTAGAATATCAAAGNGTCATCAACAGATCTGACCATTACAGCCCGACACACAAATATAATAAAAAAACTCCGTGGCTTTAGTCTGCAAGCGAACTATACCGACCGAGCTACCACCGCTTTGTCGGCGAAGTTAGTGCCAACTTTAGCCGATAGAGGGAGTCGCTTGGTCAGCGCAACGAATCCCCACGGCCGTCAATTTCGGTTTTCTAGACGGGAGACGCTACTTTTCCATTGAAGTAGCTCCTCAGTTATCCTTACGAGGCTGAGTGAATCCCGTTCCAGACCCACTACTTCTCAGAAAATCGCCGGGAATCGAACCCAGAACCTCTGCACAAATATAATAATCTTAAGTTTATTTTTTGTTTTAAGGAGTCAGAATCCAGTGCTGCCAACTTACTGACATCCCTGGAAGGTCGCGACATAGCTCAAGTGGCTAGTCGCTGGCTTCCCACCGCGGCGGCGCGGGTTCGATCCCGGATCTGGTCAAGTGGGATTTGTGGTGGACAAAGTGGCGCTGGGGCGGGTTTTCTCCGAGTACTTCGGTTTCCCCTGCCAAACTTCATTCCACCAAATTCTCCATCATCATAGTCACTCGGGGCAGGTACAATAGGCCAATCAGTGGTCGCCGTGCCGAGTGGACCCAGTTGGACTCCACGCCCCACTAAGCGAATTAAAAAAAAATTAATTGTACTCTTGCCTGTTCTGCGCCAGTTTCACTCCTATAATATTGTGTGCTATGTTGAAAACAGAATCGTGTGCGGTAATTCAGAATTGCGTTCTCAAAATATTACCCTGTAATCATACCCACAGCCGCGCTTTGACAACGTTACTGTGTCCGCCCCTATCTGCTTGAAAACTGCTGACAGACCTCCAAAGCGGACTCCGTAGATAACAAAATGATGCATTGAACACAAGGGTGGAAGGCAGAGAAACAAAAACTGTATTGTGCCTCACGTTACTGGCAGAAAGATGTCTGGGTTCGTGTTGAGAGCTACAGTCTCACGGGCAGAGCAGCGCCCGTTATCGCACCTTCTTCTCGGGTTTCTGAGTCTACTAGCCTACCCCAGTCGCTGCCTCACGTTACATGTCTAACTGCCCTCACGGAGACAGCAGTAATGCAGTTCCTACAGCGTTAACCTGCCCGGTGCCGTGCGCTTGAATGTCATCACAAGCATTTGCGGGCTACAGATAGCTCAGTAGGTATAGAGACGTGTCGGAGTTCGATTCCCGGAGGGAGCAAGAAATTTTTCTGCACTCCAGAGGCCCACTCAGTCTCCCTCCCAATGGGTACCGCAGGCTGATTTCTCGGGAGTAAACGGTCGGGGCGTGAAGCTGACCACTACCTCCATCTAGTGCTGAGATCAAGAACTGTGGAGCTATACCTCCACAGGTCTTCATTGCAAGGTGCTTATTCAGTTAAGCACAGGTACAACTTGGGGGCACGCGGTAACGTAGTTTGTTGAGGCACTATGCTACAAACCGGAAGGTCGTGGGCTCGAGTCCCGATGAGGTAACTGGATTTTTTCAACTCACCTAATCCTTCCAGCCTCACAATGGCCCTGGGGTCGACTCAGCCTCTAATAGAAATGAGTACCAGGAATATTCTTGGGGTAAAGGGCGGCTGGGGCGTAAGGCTGACAACATCACCGCCATCTATGGGCCGACTGTGTAGAAAATGTGGGAACCTCAACATCTCACAACCCTACGGGCCTCCACGGCGTGTTACAGGGATAGCTTTACTCTTGTTTACTTACAGTTACAACTTTGCCTTGATGATGTAGGCAAATCACCAGTAGTGGTGCAAAGTGGGGACTAGGCGTAGCTTAAAGTTACGTCATCACGGGTGGAAAAGCGTTTCAGGTTGAAGGATTATTCACTTATTTACGGCACCCGTTTAACTGCATGTTACATCACATCTAATGGCAGAGTGATCTGTGAATCGTGAATTGGGCAGGATCTGGAAGGATATGGTAAGCCTCCTGCCACACATGCCTGATGAACACCACGCGACTTCAGTCAACATGTGCTCTTCTGTCCTGAAAATGGAAGCAGTNATTTTTTTTATTTTAAGCTGAAAATTACAAACATGACAACATCTTGAACCTCTTAGATTATTACAAATATTATGTTTTTGGACACTATCCATTATCTTGTGTTTATCTGAAAACATTGTCCTACTTATTGGTCTGGAGATAGGGACANAAACCGAAGTGCTTGGATAGAACCTGCCACAGTGCAGGTTTGTTCCACCAAAAAGATCTATATAATGTGACCTGGCGTCGAACCCGGGCTAACCGCCTGACCTATGACACGGTGTTGTAATAATAGTTAGGTAAAGGTAACATTGTNGGGCCAAACTGAGTAGGTTTTACCTGAAGACGGAAACAGAATCCAGTCTCTGAAAGTTGTGTTTTGAAAAATAAACAGGACAGTTTTTAGATGAAGTTATGTTCAAAAACATATTTGTATTGATGTACCATCATGACAGACTTTTAGATCTTATTTAATCTTAGATTTTATGTGGAAGTTTTACAGGAACTTTCAAAATTCTGGAATAAATTATCTATTTAAACTATTTCTAATATGTAAATTTTAGTATCTTCCATGTGTAGGTGAAAGAATTTAAAGATGAACAGTATTGCAAGTTTTTCCAAGAAATGAATAAACAATGTAATTTGCTAAACATAAATAAAATTTCAAAATATACCTGGAACCAAATATCTAGTATTATCCATGTTTCAGCCCAAGACTTGTCATATGTACAGTTAGGGCGGTTATTTCTTAACTTAAGTGTTGTAAGTATCTGCTCCTCAGTGTACCTCAGTGTACCTCAATGACAACAAATAAAAGGCAAACTTGATGCTTAACTAAGCATCACATCATGAAGACACATTATTAACCCTGATGCATAATGGAGGTCAGTGATTAGCTTTACACCCTGTCCATTTTACCGCAGGGTAAGAACTCCAACAGTCATTCAACAGAAGGCTGAATTGGTCCCTCAGCCAATTTCAACTCTGTGAGGAGGAGGAGAAGAAGAATCTTTTGACCCAGCAGAGAATCAAAACCTGTTTTCAAAGTTATCCAGCTTGTAGTAAAGTTTCTATATTATATGAGCTATCCTGGATAGTTATGGAGGACGTAACTAACTGGCTCCTGGAGCATACAGCTTCTTGAGAAGTCACTAGTCACTGAGGTAGTCAAATTTTCTGACTTTAATGGAACCCAAAATCAATTTACTGCTTCAACATGGATGGAATATTCTGTATTGTAACCAGTGTTCAATACTAAAACAGTTATATTCAGAATTGTAATTGATATTTCATATGTGACTGGGCACTGAGTGGTGGGGAAATTTCCCTCCTTGGATTTTTGCAAAAAATCACCTTAAAAATAAGCAAATATACCAACTATTAATATAAATAACTCTAAGTATTGTGGCAAGTAGACAACGACCGCGAAATAAAGAATTATATAATAGCCATTGCTAAGCAATGGCTGAGTAGCAATAACGTGGGCACCCCAATAGACACAAATGCAGCAATTGCACAACAACAGAGGAAAGAGATTTTGTGTGCGGTCTGTGCTGATATGTCACAAGCAGGAAAAGTTAATGAGGAGTCTGTCCCCGATGTAAAGGTGGGTTTGAATACCTCCACTGTATTGCTGCAAGTCATAGAAGGTGACAAAGGGAAGCTAGTACCTGGGATTATAACTGGTCCACCCTTTCCTTAGTGATATGAATACGGGGACCAGGCCCTCCAGGTTGAGGAAGTCACAAATCTGAAATAGTAAAATTTGGTCATAAATCCTACTGGACTCGCAACCAAGAATGGCTGTGCTGGCGAGGGCCAACAGCAATTGTAAACGACAGAGCTGTCCTCTCATCAGAGAGGGTGGCCCACATCAACAAACCTGCAACTGTCTGATAGTAATAAAAATCTGGTCTTGGACCCCAGATGGGGGCTTGACATCAAGACAGACTGGCCAACTTACTGTCCATCATTTCCCACCTCATGACTCAAGGTACGCGGGTTCAAACCGGACGGAGGTCGTGGAATTTTTAAGGGCGGAAAAATTCAGGGAACAAGTCCTCCGGGAGGGACTTTAAGCCATGGGTCCTGTGTCGTAGATTTACAGCACGTAAAAGATCGTCATGTCTCTAGGAGACCTCTGAGCAAAATTAGGCAAAGTTTCCCTCCCAAGTAGTTTCCAATGCCTCCGGTAGATGGGGAAGTGATCGGGTACCACTGCCAGCCTCGTTGGCTGAACGGGGCTGATAGCGAGCACCAGTACCGGCAGGGTATGGCGACTGGTAGAATATCAAAGGGGGACATACAATAGACTATTAGTCGCGGTGCATGGGAAAACCCACCCCCTCCAATAATAATAATAATAATACTGTCCATCATAAGATAACTTTGAGTCATCAGTCAGTCAGTGGAGTTAGTGAAGAGTTGGTTGGTGAGTAAGCGATACAGAGGATTGCTGCAGTTCAGTTGGTGTTTGCTGTTACTCTTAGAAACTGGTAACTAAGGACACGGATAGTTCTGGAACCCAGAGGAAGGGGTACATCCACAGTTGGAAGCTGCTACCATCAAGTGGTTAGTGAACACTGTAACAGACTGAGAAGACCTAGTGTGTCCCGTAGTGATTTGTGAAGTGTGTGGAATAGTGAGAACATAATTCTTACTTGTAATTATGAGTTGTATAAATGTGCCATAGATCTGATTATCAATCCAAACCCCGTCTATAGTAGCTCATATATACTTGTATGTGAGAGTAAATTTAAAGAAAACTGATTCTTCTGTCTTGCATACAATGGTATTTGACAGCTTACTTAAAAGGCTTAAATTTAAATTTCAGTGCAAATTTTCTGGCTTTCCCCTTTGTAAAAAGTTCTGCAAGTATCCATGATAGCAGGTATGACTGCAAATACTGGAGATGAGTCATTCTCAAGCAGTGTTGTACACTGGGAACCGCAGATCTGTATGTTTCATGTTCTCTTGGATCCATCGATCTGCCCGTTTGCTCAGCTCTGGGGTAAATTCTTCCTTCCAGCTTCCATTTTTGCCTGTATAAAATGGATTCACAAAATTATCTATGAGTTGCACAATTTAAAGCCAGTTCTATACCTCATAAACAGTTAAGTACAAAACTTAGACAACTGACAGTTAAGTATCTTATGGTGGGGGATAGTGATGTAGGGGATCAGTAGACAAATGCAAACCTGTTCAAAATGTTATCACATTATAAAGGAATATTCTGGAATCAAGTTATCACAAAATGATTTGTAAACTATGTTTTAAACTGATATTTAAGTGTATTGCCACAATATTGACATTTAAAATGAGAAAAAATCAAAATCAATTGCTTTGAATCCTTTAGGTAATACCTGGGACAAAACAAGAAGGGGGTGGAAATTACAAATAAAATCCTTAGAGAAGGATTTCAATTCAAAATTTCTTAACAGAGCTAGAGGAGAAATTGCTGAAATTGTTTGACCATGTAGAAAGAGTAAACAGAAGTAGAACACAGAAGAGTACATTAGAATTAAAATTCAACAGAAGAAGATTAATGGAATGACACAACAAGCTGTTTCAGCAGGTGCAGGTAGGTAAACAGCAAGAAGAGAGGAAAGATTCAATAAGAAACTGAAAGGGAAGACTTGTGGGAAAAGAAAAAAAAAAGACATTGGAGGCTATTCATCCATTAACACATACAAAATTAAAACGATGCTAGGAGGAACAGTCAGTTTTTCAGGAAGCAAATGCATACATATTAAATAAAAAATGCAAAATTTATACTATAATAAAATAATTTTTGGGGTAATATAAGTTACTTCCGTGTGGTAATTTCTTTAAAATCTGTCTGAAAAAGGAAAACTCCTCTCACAAATAGGAATGAATATGCTATAAACAGTGCCATAATTAGTGGAATATTTAATTGGGCCAGATGAAGAACATAAAGCGAAAGAGAGTGCAGATTTATAATGACCACAACAATACAGCCAGAATTTCTACACTTTCTATGGATTAACTAACTTCATAGAGCTGAGCCCTCCTTGAGAAGCCGCCTGTTGTACAGCTACTCAAGGACTTCCCAACATTTTATGGAACCCAAAGATTCATAGCAGCGTTCACAAGAGCCCTCCACTGGTCCCTGTCCTGAGCCAGATCAATCCAATCCATACCACCCCCCTATGTCTTGATCTCCCTAGTGGTCTCTTTCCTTCTGATTTTCCCACCAATATCCTGTATGCACTCCTCCCCATTCGTGCTACATTCCCTGACCACCTCATCTTCCTTGACTTGATCATTCTAATTATACTTGGAGAAGAGTACAAGTTATGAAGCTCCTCATTATGCAGTTTTCTCCAAGCTCCTGTCACTTTCATCTCTCTTCTGTCCAAATATTCTCCTCAACACCCTGTTCTCAAACACCCTCAGTCTATAATCCTCCCTTAATGTCAGAAACCAAGTTTCACACCCATACAGACAACACGCAAAATAGTAGTTTTTTATATTCTAATTTTTACATTTGTAGACAGCAGATGGGAAGACAAAAGGTTCTGGATTGAATGGTAGCAAGCATTACTCGAGTTCAGCCTCCTCTTAATTTCCTCCTGAATCAAGTTTTGATTTGTTACTGTCATTCCCAAATATTTGAACTGTGTCACATTTTCATAATATCCGTTAGCTATCTTTATGTCATGATTTTACCCTGCATTCTGGTTACAAGATAGCAACACTGGCTGTGGACAGAAGTCCCCTAGCTCGATCTCTGTCTCTTTCTTTATCTGTTACCATTCCACCTTCATCATCTTCCCTTGTATTCTCTTCCAACTATTTATCCATTTTATTAATAGGAATTTTGGTAGCAATAACATTCTGGACCGGCTGACATATGCCAGAGGGGTCCTGAGGGATATACAGCAGTTGGAGAGGGAGAGACATTGAGCACCACCCTCATCTGCTCGATTTCACTCTGCATAGTGCAAGAATCTAAGAAAATATCTTTGAGGGTATGTCATTAGACAGTGACACAGGTCATTATATTGTCATCGAAAAGTTTCTAGGTTCTATTTTCAGTGTACAGTAGGAACCAAAATCTCCATACCGTTTTTTTTTATTCAGAAATAACTGCTTGCTTTAAACAAACTTGTATGGAATGTAAAATTGTTTGCATGCCTTTGGATTACGTTAATAGTATTACTGTATTTTGTGACCTATACCTTTCCTGATGAAGTTCTCTTCACCTTCGTTTAGCAATCCAATGTTTCGTAGTAAGTCAAAGTTAACAGCTGGATTGTTGCGGAAGTTCTTGATATCAAGGTGGTTTGCCAGAGTCGATGCTTGTTGGTCATCTAACGGCTTACGTTGTAGGAATCTGGCCACTTTATTTATAGTTGCTGGTAGGTTCTGAGTGCACAGAAGTAACTTAATTTTAATTATGTTTATATAACCCAAAACAGTTTGAAAATTGATAGTTATTATAATTCATTAATGCACAGTGCATTTTCAAGTGCCAGGATAATGGTTAATTTCACTGGTCAGAAAGAAATTTGAGGGTTATTAAAATTAAATGCATTTGACTATGTTCAGCTGGCTCTAGAAAGTGCACAAAGCCAAAGATTTGGGTCGGATGAAGATGAGCCAGTGATTCAAGCAGGGAATTCATCGGCTGATGCATCACTGGGATACTTGCCTCTCTCCTTCATGCATAAAAATCCCCAAAAGGGTGTCATCTAAATAATCATCAGTTTGAAATTGATGATTGTTTAAAAAAGAAGTAAGGCTTTGTTTCAGGCTGTGGTCTTGAGGATTGTGTGGCATTTTGCTAGTCTTGTAAGTGTATACTGACTTTCAAGAGGAACATACTGCCTCCATCTTCAGGGTTAATGTGAGGAGTCAGGTAAGATATAGGCAATTTGCAAGGAAGGTGATCACCCAGATACACAAGAAGAGGAGAAGGGATAGACCCCCCAATTTAGGCCAATAGGAGAAGTTGACTGGAAAATGACTCTTTTCAGGGCTCTGTGGTTTGGAATGTGAAAGGATCAGAATAATAAATTGATATGACCTTTCTACTGTATGCTCACTTTATGTCCTCAACACAAATAACACATAAAAATAATCTGGAAAGAAACTATAATTATTTTCATTTTATGACAATTTTGTAATACTAGATGATGCAGACAGTCATTTCAGTAACCAAGCCATCTTCTGGGATATGACCATGAATGGCCTGGTAGCTGTTTACCTACATTCACCTTCATGGTCAGAAAGTAAGCCAGATAACCAAAAAGTATTGTTTCTTGTTGCTTGCTTGCTCAGCTTACTCTTTTTACACTGAAGATGGAGGCATTAATTTTCTCTGAACTGTCGGTAAACTTCTACCAGATGAGATATTGTCACAACCCTGAAGACAATACTCCTCAGTCTTCATAGTCACTGCTGTAACAAACTCAGATGTCGGCGAGATCCAATGTTTGCTGTCCCACTAATTAATAATGTTACATTTGAGCTTCCTGTTAGATTGATGTATCACTCTTTCATTCACCTCCATCTTTAAGGCAACAGAAAACTTTTCACAATCTCTCTTTAATTTGAAATGCCATTAAAATCATGTACAATTGCAACATGTTTCAGCCTTACAAGGCCATCTTCAGGAAATCGTTCACCAATTGAAACTGACACACCGCACAGATTCATATGTCAATGTGTCCCATGCTACTGCATATCGTCCTTCACACTAAAATGTGTTTGTTTGGGAATGAACACTCTCTTCTCTCTGTGTTATTTTAATTTTGAGGCCTCCATGTTTGTGTCCCCTTCATGTGTAGTTCTCACTAATTGGCCCTGTGTCCTTGTATTTATTCATTTTTGTGGACAATTGGCTGAATATGGCCATGTAAGGCCGAAACATGTTGCAATTGATGTGATTTTAATGTAACTTTAAATTGAAGACAGACTCTGAACACTTTTAAGTTGCATTAGAGACAGAGGTTAATGAGTGTTTGAGTCAGTCATAAATCTTATATTTACCTTGTTCATGTCCTCATAGAAGAGAAATAGCATATTCGGGTTGTGTCTGTTGTCCCATCCTTCAATGACATGTGACCAGTAAGGTGCCCATGGATCTGTGAATACCAAAATCTTGGTGTATAGGCAGCCCTGAATTCAGTTTGACAGTTAATCTTTTTTTTATTATTTGATTTCATCCCCTGGGCTTCAACCTTAATGTAGTGAGAAAGTCTGTATGCCTTGAACACCTGGAGAGCAATGCTAGCGGCAGGGCATGCTTCTGGTAGGATCTTGCATGCTGGAAATTTAAGGGACAGGAGTGAGACGAAAGGCAACACCTAGTCCCCCGGTTGGGGTGTTGGGCCTTACGCTAGTAACCTCATCTCAGAAAACTATGTATGTCAAGAAACCTAACGATGGATGGCGGATGACAGACGAATGGGCATACGTCATGAAGGAGGTCAGAATCCTTTGAGGACTGTGAAGCGGAGGAAGTCGAATACTGAATTGGAAAAGACGTAGAAAGAAGTGATCATGACTACAAAGCGTAAGAAAACCTGCGAAATTAAGTGAACCACGAAAATAACACTTTTCGTTTAATTCAACAGTTAGCCGGGCTGACACAATTAGCGTGACCGCTCCATCACTCTATGTAATCTAATATTCATATTATTTCTACTTATGTTTAAAAAAAGAAAAGGTATAGGCAACACTGTAGCAGGACGTGGAGGTCCATAGGGTTGTGAGATGTTGTGGCTCCAACATTTTCTAGACAACTGGATCTCAGCTGGCGGTGAGGTCAGCCTTACGCGCCGATCGCCCTTTACCATCCAGGAAGATTCCTGGTACCTATTTCTGTTAGAGGCTGGCTTGACCTCCGGGCCATAATGCGGCTGGAAGGATTACGTCAGTTGAAAAACCCATGATCTCATCGGGAATCGAACCCGCGATCTTCCGGCTTGTAGCATAGTGCCTCAACCAACTACGCTACCGCGTGCCCCCTCTACTTGCGGTGTTAGGAAAATTTATATAATTTTAAATACTTGATTGTATTACTTACGCAAATTGTTCTGGAAGTAGTCCCAGTAGTGGGGGAAGTCTCCAAGATAACCCTGAGTACGGATCAGTCTGTTCAGATGGTAGAACGACACCGCAACGTCCTTAGGGTTTCGAGCCACATACAGAACCTGAAGATATATATTCATAAGGACACGATTTCAAAACCCCGTTACTACTGAATTTATTGATATTGTTTTGCACGTGTTTGTGAATGAGATTTATACGCGTCTGTGCCACCAGGTAGCCCCCCTCCTCATAAATAAATTTGTAAATAAATGTTCTGCATCCCCCCTCACTCACCCGCTCAATGTGCTGAGCCCTTCTGGACGAGCCGCCAATTCTGCAGCTACTGAAGAACTTCCCAGCATTTCATGGCACCCGAAGGTTCATTGTCGTGTTGACAAGAGCCCTCCACTCGTTCCTATCATGAGCCAGATTAATCCAATCCATAACATCCCAGCCTATTTCTCTGAGATCCATTTTAATATTGTCCACCCACCTACGTCTTGGTATTCCCAGTGGTCTATTTCCTTCTGGCTTTGACACCAATACCCTACATGCATTCCTCTTCTCCCTCATTCGTGCTATATGCCCCGCCCATCTTATCTTCCTTGACTTGATCATTCTAATTATACTTGGAGAAGAGTACAAGTTATGAAGCTCGTCCTGCCCTTATAGAAATTCTTGACTGTACCAACGTCCTTATGGTTCAAGTTTCGATGCCCTAAGATAACACTTATCGTTCTAAAACTTATAAATTCTAAACCCTTATATTTCTAAACCAAATTTGGTTTGAATAGAATTTCAGAAAATGTGACTCATAAGGATCCGAACTTCTGTCCCCTCGCAGACAGATGTAGACTTACCTTGCAGCCAACATCAAGCAAGTTGGGTGGAAGCAAACTTAACGGGAAATGTGTCTTGATGAAACGTGGAGACTTCATCTCGTTCAGAACTTCATAACCAGGTCGGCTTATCTGCTCCACCAGGTCCAGTTTCTCAGCATCACCAGTGTTCATTTTCAGAAGCTCGGCCGTCATTTCATCGTGAACAAATAAACTGAACCTGGCAATAAAATTTCGGTTTATTATTATTTTACCTCATCTTCCCCCCTTCCACAACATTTTTTATTCAACGTCTCACATGCAACTTCTATTAAAATATTAAATTCGCTTTGAATTGTAAATTATTTTCATATTCCTGGTGCACTCTATGTTTCAACCGATATGGCCTTCTTCCTTCAGGTAAAGGGCACCCGGAGCATGAGGCTCACACCCTCACCGTTATCTGTGAGCCGATTGTCTAGAAAATGTGAGAGCCTCGACTCTCACAACCCTATGGGCCTCCACGGCCTATTACAGGGATATCTTGGCGCGTAAAGCTGACAACCTCACCGCCATCTGTGAGCCGATTGTCTAGAAAATGTGGGAGCCTCAACGTCTCACAACCCTATGGGCCTCCACGACCTGTTACAGGAATAGCCTTACCTTACGTTACGTTACGTTACTGATTGTAGGTAATTTTAATGAAATAATGAAATTGAAATATTGAAGCTAGTCGATCTCCAAATGAATTGTGTGAACTCACTCGAAGAAAGGAAACCTCTGCATGAGCGGAATGCGCCTAGATGTCTCGTAGTCCAGATCATTAGCAATGAGCCACACAAGTTCCTGGCTCCATGTCGTTCCTGGAAGGAAGATAACAGCAACAGGTAAAGTAAATATAACACTTTTCCCGTGCCTAATTACGCATCACACCACGAAGAAGGCCATAGATCAGGAAGTTGAATATATAAAGAGTGGGCCATAAAATCCGGCCCTCGCACCGCGACCGTCAATGATCTATTGCGCTTTCCCTTTTGATTAACCTTTTTAGTCACCGGCTTCCCACCGCGGTGGCCCAGGTTTCATTCTCTGTCAGATCATAGGTTTTATCCGAATACCTCACTTTCCCCTATAAATTCTCATTCGGGTGGAGGCGGGGTCGAATGCCTCCACCGCCGCCCTGCGAGTCTTAGGAGGCGACGGAAAGGGGCCCAGTTCCTGGGGGATATAAATACGGGGACCTGGATCTCAAATTTGGGGGAATCTCGAGATCATCAGTCCCGCGGGACTCGGACCTGAGAATGACTGCGCTGGCGAGAACCAGAAGCAACTGTAAACGACAGACCCATCCTCTCGTCAGAGAGGATATTACATAAGGACTGTAACCGCAAGTGTTCAGTTGGGAAATAAAACTACTGGTCGTGAGTCTCAAGGGGCGTATCGCCAAGACGAACTGATTGGCGGTAAACAGCCAGTCGTGAAGTAACTGTAACTCTGACTCTGACTCTGACTCTGACTCTTTGCTTCAAAGAGTTCGTCCTTAGAAACGCCGCCACCATTACAGGTACCGCCTGGTTGAACATTAACGAAAGAGACCGGACTAACTTACAGATAAGTCTCCAGACTCATATTCAGGAGGTTTTCCGTTCGAATCTCGGCAGGAACACCCGCTATATTGAGCGAGGCTTTTCGTGGTTTCCCTCAGTTCCTCCATGCGAACGCCGAAGCAGTTCCTCAATTTAAGCCACGGGCATTTTTTCCAATTAGTTATTCCACTATTCGACACTCCATAGTGTAGCTACTGTGAACGCCGTGAACCAGCCTCAGGGTGTATTAATGTGTTTCGTACGCTACAACATTCACCGACTGGTTTCTGTAATGGAGGCACGGTGTGTTTTCTGTGATGTGGGAGCGGATATTTTATGTACTGTTTACATTGGCTTGTGGTTTCTCTTTCTTCGCGGGATACTCAACGACGCTTTCAGTGTCGAGCCTACAGCATCGGATGGTAAGTTGATAGATGAATTGGAATGGGAGAGACTGACGAAAACCATTAAAACCTCCGCCAGGAGAGCCGATGTCCAGGCAAAGACTGGAACCGAGTACCTCCCTCATGCAAGTCTAGGCTATCTTGTTCGATAGCTTAATGCCTCAGGGTTCGGGGAGAGCGGGACTCGGCGGTCCAAAACTTGTTCTCCGTTATGAACAGGAAGACAGTTCGGAAGTTGCTCATGACGTCAGAACTGGTTCCGGTTTCGTGTGTGGAAGGTGGAGGCAAACAGGAAGTAGGAAGAGAGGAACAAGAAGGAGATTAAGGGGTAGAATAAGGAGGAGGAGGAAGAAACGGAACAGAAGGAAGAAGGAGGTTGTCGAGAAAGAAGAACAATAAGGAGAAGGCGAAAAGAAGGAAAAATAAGAGAACAAGAAGGAGGAGGGGAGAGGAAGAAAGAGAAGAAAAGAGTAGGAGGAGAAGGATTAGGAAGGAATAGGCGGTGAGGGAGAAGGAAAAAGAAAAAAAGCAGAAGGTGGAGAATAAAGAAGGGAACAAGGAGAATGAGAGGAGATAGAAGATAGAGGAGGTGGAGGAAGAAAAGGAGCAGAAGGAAGAAGAAGGGAGGTGAGAAAGAACAACAGTTAAAGAACAGGCGAAAATAAGGAAGGAGAACAGAACAAGAAGAAGGAGGGGGATGAAGGAATAGGAGGTGAAAAAGGAATTTAAAAGTGAGGAACAGGAGACATGGAATACTAGACATGCGCATACGAGCTTCGTCAAATTATTAAATATGAAACTATTAAAAGCGATTTCAGAAGACCCACCTGATCTGGGATAAGTGACTACCCATATATCGTCGGGCCGAGGCTCCAAGTTGTAGAAGTTGCTGGCCTGGGCCTTGTACTTCCTTGGCAGGAACCACTTCTCAGGTCCAACCTGTACGAATCCTGTTCTCTCGCCTGTGAAGTCCCGGAGGATCTGCCGGTTCAGGTCTTCGTCAAGGTCACACACGTCATATGGGAACTCTGTTGACATGGCGGCGTTCCTTCTGGGAACTCTTCCTGCGTGCGGATCTTTCAAAACTATATCTGAACACGGAGAAGAAGTGAAAGTTTGAGGAAGCAAGTAACTAACCAACTGCATGGATAGACATGCAAGAAGGCGAATTTATAAGATCAGTGACTGCAGCCACCTGCTCGGCTGGTTCCTCGCTCGCGGATTTTTGTACCCTGAAGAAGGAGGCGCTACTTTCCTCCGAAACTTCGGTTCATACAAGATCTACAAGACGACATTCTTAATATAATAGGATTTTTTCGGAAGAACGAATCGCCTAATTTCCTTTGATACGACGCGGACCTCAGAGAAAATAAAAAATAATCAGTGGGGGGGGGGACAGACGGATACAGGGACAGGAAAATAATATCATAAGCTTCTTTTTATTTATTTATTTTTTCAAAATAATGAAATAGGCTTATAACACAGTTTACAGAAGAATAAAGCAGGCATCTGAAAGAAGCTGTTAGGACGACAAGCTCAGATAATATTGCAAAGAAATCTTCAAAAAATATCAATGCCTTTAGTCCGCAAGCGAACTATACCGACCAGGCGACCGCCGCTTGTCGGTGAAGTTAGTGCCAAATTTAGCGGGTAGAGGGTGTCATGTGGCCGGCGCAACGAATTTCCACGGCCGTTAATTTCGGTTTTCTAGACCGGAGCAGCTATTTCCTTGAAACAAGCCCTCAATTATCCTCACAAAGCTGAGTGTCCACTACTTTTCAGAAAATCTGGTAGCGCCGGGAATCGAACCCGGGACCTCTGGATCGGTAGCCAGGTACTCTGACCAGTAGACCACAGAGACGGTCGTGAAATCTTAAAATATCGACCAAAAGGAAAAAAAAAAAGTGTGAGAAGACATCCGTAACTACAAAGAATTCTGCTTTGGAACATAAGTAACAGGTGTCACTACAGAGAAACCGCAATTATAGTGGTGATTAAGTCGTGAGTCATCCTAATGCTCGTCTCCATAAATTTTCATTGGGTCTTGGTCTGATGATTTGAAGTGTAACTCGGATGTCGGCCTCTCCTGACTGCTGTTTTGCATGGTACTCCTCAGTCCCTTTAGACAAATACCAGTATATTGCCTTGAATTAAGCCACGATCACTACCTTCAAAGCCCTTTCTGAATTACCATTGGCTATCACGCAATCATTCGACGCTTTATAATCAGAATTACTGACATCATCATTAAACAATAATTATTATTTTTGCTCTACGGCCCTTTGTTGGTCCTTGACCGCTTTTTTCAGTTTCTTGATCGTATACACAGTCGGTAGAATCCTTGGACGGGGGATCAGCCCGTCGCAAAGCCTCTACCTACATACAGAACAACATAAACAGAATAAACGCTCACAGACATCCATGCCTTCAGAGGAATTCGAACCCACGATCCCAGTGTTCAAGCGAGCGAAGAGAGTTCATGCCTTAGACCGCACAACCACTGTAATCAGCCATTATTAATAAAATAATAAATAAATTAATAAAAATAAAATAAAATATATGAGTAAGAAAATAAATATTCTAAATGCTACAATTACAGAAAATGATAAATAATTCTCAGTAACTAACTAACTAACTCCATAGAGAGGATGGTGTATGCTGTACATAACAATTAGGCTTATTTTAGACTCTATCCATCGTCTGGTATATTACTTACTTACTTACTCATGGAGCTGAGCCCTTCTGGAGGAGCCGCCATTTCTGCAGCTACTCATGAATTTCCCAGTATTTTATGAAACCCGAAGGTTCATCACCGTGTTCACAAGAGCCCTCCACTGGTCCCTATCCTGAGCCAGATCTAGCCAATCCATACCATCCCCTCCCATCTCTCTAACATCCATTCTAATATTGTCCACCCACCTACGCCTTGGTCTTCCCTGTGGTCTCTTTCCTTCTGGCTTTCCCACCAATATCCTTTACGCATTCCTCGTCTCCCCCATTCGTGCTACATGACCTGCCCACCTCATCCTCCTTGACTTGATCATTCTAATTATACTTGGAGAAGAGTACAAGTTATGGAGCTCCTCATTATGCAATTCATCTGGTATAGAGAAGACAAAAAGCCAGTGATTGAGACTAGCTCTTTCTAACGGGCCCAACTGAGTAGGTTTATCCTGCTCAATCCACCTGAGGACAGAGACAGATTCCGTCTCCGAAACGTTAAGTTTTTGTCTTCTATATATCAGACAATGGATAGAGTCCAATATAAGCCTAACAGTTCTGTATAACTCCATGGAGCTGAATCCTACTTGAGAAGCCGCCAGACACACAGCGACTCAATAATTTACAAACATTTTATGGAACCCGAAGGTTCATTACCAAGAGCCCTCCACCCATCGTATTTGTGTGACATCCATCTTAATATTATCCTTCCACTTACGTCTATGTTTTCCCAAGAGACCCCTTCTGTCTTTCCCACTAAGAACCTGTATGCATCAATCTTCTCCCCATGCGTGCTACATTCCCCCCCCCCCTTGGCACTACAGCCCCAGTGGGCCTAGGCCTTCCATGAACTTCTCCGTTCACTTCGGTTTTTTTTCTAGATCTTACACGTTCGGTAGGACTCCTTGGGCGGGTGATCAACTCGTCGCAAGGCCTCTACCTGTACACAAACACAGAAAAACGCACACACACAAACTAAACATCCATGCCCTGAGTGGGATTCGAACCCACGATCCCGGTTTCCAAGCGAGCGAAGACAGTACATGCCTTAGACCGCTCGGCTACGGTGACCGGCATGCGTGCTACATGCCCTACCCATTTCATCCACCATGACTTGGTGTAGAGTACGAATTATGTGTCAGTTTTCTCTCCCCTCCTTCTGAGATGTTTTACTTGCGAGTGAAGTTGAAGCGCCGTTGCAGACAGCTGAATGATCTACGGCGGTGTGAGTGTGGACTGGTGAAAGCTCTTGTTGCTACTGGCATGACCATGTGTAGGATCAGCTACTGGTGAAACTCAGTCTGACACGGTTTTCCCTGCTCCGTGAAACAAGTAGCACAGCTAACCGCCAGAGAGCTTGTTTACTTCCTACTAATGAGACGGGGTTTGTCAGTTGGTGTAGTGACCAGACCGTGAATCGGGGTTTCTTTTCAGAGAGTTTAATTCCTTCCACGCCACGTAAATCGGCTCAGGGTTCCTCTAGCAAAGGTAGCGCCGACCTTTTCGCTGCGGTTAAAGTGATCATTCACCTACCATTCTCTTCCACTGCTGCCGAGGTGAAAAATACGTGGAGCTATACCTCCATTCTCCCATGATAAGTTAAAATTGTCCCTGTGCTCAAAGAATTTAAGCACTACGCCATGAAGGCGTATGGGGGAGTGGATGGATAGGTCCACATTTCCTTGATCTCGGTACTAGCTGGAAGTGAGTGGTCAGCTTCGCGCCCCTGCCACTTTACCCCCCTGTACCCATTGGCTAGGAGGCTGGGTGAATCCCAGAGCCTGTCTGGACGACTTGAAGAAGAGAAAATTCTTGACCCTAGCGGGACTGAACTCCGATCCCTCGGTCGTCCAGCCCATAGCCAGTCGCTATACTGATTATGCTATCACGTGATGCGGTACTTTATTGTGCATTCCATAGCTCAAGCAGTTAGTCGCTGGCTTCCCACCGCGGCGGCCCGGATTCGATCCCGGGTCTGGTCAAGTAGGATTTGTGGTGGACAAGTGGCGCTGGGGCAGGTGTTCTCCGAGTACTTCGGTTTCCCCTGCCAATCTTCATTCCACCAAATTCTCCATCATCATAATCACCCGGGGCAGGCTACAATAGGCCAATCAGTTGCCGCCGTGCCGAGTGGACCCAGTTGGACTCCACCCCCCACTTTGCGAATTAAAAAGAAATGTGCATTTGGGACAGTTTTGCCTTTATCTTTTACCCAGACTCAACGGAAACCTGTTAATTTACTAAGGAGGGGTCTGAATTTTTAAATGTTTTCCATACTCACATGGCCTTCAGACTTCATGTAATTTAAATGTCTTTACTTCTCACATAGCCCTCACAATACAAATTAACCAAAATTAAAAATATTATGTGCAGACCACTGATTTAGCTTTCCAGTTTGTCGCAATTTTCAGTTATTCATAAAAATAAAATTCCGAGGCTCTTATAGAATGGTTCATGCAACTTTCTCCCTTACGTGAACTATCAGATGTATTCTCGCTGAACGTCCAGGTTAATGAGCATTGCTGAGGTATTAAATAATGTCCTTGCACGTAATTGTTGTACAGTGTGACCAAGAATTAGGGACGAATGCTTTCGTCAAGGTTTGTTTGAGAGAGAGATGGAGACAGAAGACGGTTGGAGTAAATATAGCAATAAATATCTTTTACTTCCTCCCTCTCATATCCAAATATTGCCCTCAGTATCCTGTTCTCAAAAACCCTCGCTCTATAATATTTTACTATGAGAGACTAAGTTTCGCACCCATACAAAACTACGTGTAAGTTTCGATGTTGACTGTAATTGATAACGTTGTATATTATCAAAGTAAAATCAATTACAAGACACAGGATAGCTCAGTCTCTATAGCGGTGCACCATGAGTTGGAAATCCGGGGTTAGATTCCTGACAGGGGCAAGGGATTTTTCACTACTTCACAGCATCTGGGGCTCACCCAGCTTCCTGTCCAGCTACTGGGTGCTTTATCCCCAGGTGTAAAGAAGTGAGGTCAAGAATGGTTGAATTTTACCTGCACTCCCCCATTCGTCTTCGTGGCCTAGTTCTTAAGTAGTTAAACACAGGAACAGCTTTATCTTACAGTCAGTTATAATACAAGTTCTTAAAATGAAATTAAATAAATCATTGACCTGATATGTTGTGATACGGTTGAACAGCGCAAGGACTCTTCCACACATCAACAACCATACAGGCTTTACAATAATCTTTACATTGCATCAAGAACTGTAATAAATCTGTTATTTTACATGCGATACTACAAAGGCGTTAAATTCGTGTAAAATCGTGAAAAATAACTATGTATACTTGAAGATGGCATTTTTAAGTGTCAAAATATGTAGGGACAATTACAAATTTAATTTCAAAAACTTGTATTTGAATTGACTGCACTGTAATAACAAAAAACATTATAGTTTTTAGCCTACGTTCCTTATTTTGAAAAAATAAAAATAAACTTTTTAGATCACCCCCTATTAAGTTTTGAATTCCTGAACCAATCTTTATGAAAGCTGGTATGCATATCATGACACATGAGCCTATATCAATGTCGTACTTTATAAATTCCTCCAATCAGTTTCTGTGTATATGTGAACCCCCTTATCGTTGCTAGGCAACGGCTCGTAAAGATATTACCGCAACAGCGAATACACACACACACACAATAGAAGAACTGTTGAACGCGTTGTTTTCTATGCGGTCCATGTCTTGTAGTAAGTAGGCAATGAATTTCTTCACAGAACTTTTTGTTAGCCTAAATTCCTTATTTTTAAAAAATAAAATTAGACTTATGAGATCACAGTGTTTCTACTGTAAACTCACCGAGTCGGAGACAGGGAACTGTACAAGGGCCACTGTCAGTCTGTGTCCTGTGTGGGGCCACACAGCTTTTGCATATGATAGCGCCCTCGTTTGCAATCAGACGCCGGACGTCATCAGCTGTGCCAGCCCACCATTGTGCGCCGAAAGCTTAACTTTTATCGCGCAGCCCGTCGACAAAGCGACCCGGTGTCTCAGAGTACAGGGTGACACAGAACTTGTTGCTACTGAACAAACACGCGTTCTTGTCATTAGAACTGAACTCGTCAGTGATGTGCTGACGTTGGGATGTCGAGGATTCCAGAATCTTTTCTCTTATTATTTGCTGTTCGAACAAATAAATATTAAATGCACAGAATTATAATTTTGTCTTCCTTCTTGTGCGGGCATGAAACTTCGTCTCTCGTTCTAAGGGAAGAACAAATCCCGTCTATAAGAACAGGGTAAAACGACAAAGCTACCCCTGTAACAGGCCCTGGAGGCCCATGGGGTTGTGATACGTCGAGGCTCCCACAGTGTCTAGACAACCGGCTCGCAGATGGCGGTAAGGTTGGCACCCTTACGCGCCGGTCGCCGTTTACCCACAGGAAGATTCCTGGTACTCATTTCTGTTAGAGCCTGGAAGAATAGATGAACTGAAAAATCCATTGACCTCATCGGGAATCGATACCGCAACCTTACGGCTTGTAGCATAGTACCTCAACCAACTACGCTACCGCGTGCCCCTGAATAAATATTATTAGGATGATAAAATCAAAAAGGATAGGTTGGGGGGGGTATACATGGCCCAAGAGAGAGAAGTGAATGCAAAGTTTTGGTAGAAAAGCTTCAATGAAAAAGAAAACTAGGGCGGTAAAGGTAAATGGTAAAGTTGTCCCTATACTTTACTAATAAAACAATACGCCATGAAGGCGTATGGGGGAATGGATGTATAGACCCACGTTTTCTTGACCTCTGCATTAGTTGGAGTTGAGTTGTCAGCTTCATGCCCCTGTCGCTTTACCCCCGTTACCCATTGGACAGGAGGCTGGGTGAGCTCCAGAGCCGGTCTGAACGGCATGGATAAGTGAAAATTCTTGCCCCCACCGGGACTCGAAATCCGAACTCTTGGTAGTCCAGCCCCGTAGCCAGTCGCTGTACCGACTGCGCTCGTCGACAAGTAGGGTGACCTAGGAGTAAATGCTAGGATAATATTAAAATAGATTCTGAATAAATATAGTGGGAGGTTGTGAACTGGATTCATCTGTCTCATGGTTTGAACCAGTTGAGTCTGTTGCGAATTCAGTAATGAATATTCAGGTATCATAAAATGTTGGAGACTTATTGAATAGGTGAGCAACTGTTAGCTTCTCAAGAACGACTAAGCTTCGTTCGTGTTCGTTACTTAGTATCAATTGTGATCGAACCTACGGGCCTACCAGACTGAAAACGCTGAAAATGGAGGTAGCATGTTCTTTCGAAATTTCGCTGATATACTAGACTACACGGAGTCAGTACAAATTCACTGACCTGGTTGCGTGTGGTTGTGACTTCTGAACTTATATTCAGAGGCTTCGTGGTTCGAATTTTGGTTGGGACACCCGCTATGCTGACTGAGGGTTTCCGTGATTTTTCTCAATCCGTCAAGTCAAATTCCTAGATAGTACCTCTGTTAGGCCACGACCACTTCCTTCCAAATACATTAAAATTCGTCACTTTATCATATATCCATCTGATGCTACATAGCCTAGCTATTAGAACTCCGTGACCTGTAGTCCGCAAGCGAACTATACCGACCGAGCGGCCGCTGCTTGTCGGCGAAGTTAATGCCTAGCTCCTAAAATAAGTAAATTTGTCTCTGTACCTAATTAATTAAACAAAATGTCATGAAGAAGTACTGAGAGTGGAGGTGTAGCTCCACCATACTTAACCTCGGCACTAGTTAAAGGTGGGTGGTCAGCTTCACGCCTCTTCCGCTTTACTCCCTGGAGAACACTTCACAATACTGATCGTGTGTGAGGCTAGTTGGGTCTCAGAGCCGGTCTGGACGCTGTGACGTAGAGAAAAATCCGCTGCCCTCTGCCGGGAATTGAACCCCGATTCCTCAGTCTTCCAATCCGTAGCCAAATCAAAAAATCATCAAGTAATTCACAAAATACCGATTCAAAATAAGTGTCTATTCAGTCATGATACAGGGCTACTTGCTTGCAGAAAAACAAATGACGAACCTAACTTCGAAACACTGAAACGTGATGTTTAAATTGTTGTATTTATATTCCTGAAGAGTGGAGGAGTGGAAGAGTGGAAGAGGACACAGCTCCTGGTATTTCTTCAGGAGTCAGATAAACTCAGGATGTGTAATTAAGTCTCTAACGAACACACGTGAATGTTGCATGCGACTTGATGTCGTGACGGGTCTCGTTAAATGCTGAAATTCCCTGTTTTTTTATGTTGGGAAAAGCCACTGGAGCCAAATAACGAAGTAAGAAATTGAAGGTTCAACGTTACCAAAACGATAGAGTCTTGGATTACATGTACTTGAGGCGCCCGAAGTCGTTACAAACCGAATCACCCCTTCAATATTTTATTTTTGTCCACAATCAACGTTAGTGTTACTGGCGAGGTGACCATACAAAAATTCAACTGGAAGTTTTGATATTTCCATATTTCCCTTCCATTTACCGACTTTTTCACAGATAATAGAGAATTGGCAAAGAGCATACACGGAGGCACGCGGAAGCGTAGTTTGTTGATGCACAATGCTACAAGCCGGAAGATCGCGAGTCCCGATAAGGTGGTTTATTTTTTTCAATTTACCTAGTTTTTCCAACCGCACTATGGCTCTGGGGTCGACTCAGCCTCTAACAGAAATGAGTACCAGGAATCTTCCTGGGGGTAAAGGGCGGCCGGCGCGTAAGGCTGACAAACCTTTCGCCATCTGTGAGCTGATTGTGGGAGCCTCGACGTCTCACAACCCTATAGGCCTTCACGGCCTGTTACAGGGACAGCTTTTACCTTTTTTACCTACTTAAGAAATACATATTTCAAATGTAGGCTTTGAGGTTCTAACAGCAGTGGTTATGAAGAGTACTACTATATTCTGGGATATAACATTGCATAGACCGTTGGAAGTCAACTGATGTTTCGGAGGAATATTTCGCCTCCGTTTTAAGGGTCCAATAAGCCGAGAATTATACCAGCAGGAAATCAGGTGACAAATCGTCTTACCACCTGCTTTCCCGCTGCTATCTTTCTCAACTTGTTCGGCCTTGAAAATTGTAACAGCCCATAATTATTAGAAACTATTGTTATGCTTCAAACGTAGGTGATAGATAAAGGGAGATAGTCCCATTGTTGCATTTAGTATTTTACGTAAGGTCATTCTTGTTATGCGAATTAGATGTAGCCACCTGCGCTTTTCCTGGAAATCTAGTCAGGTTCCACGTGACGGCAGAGGTTAGGAAATCTGATACCAGACATCACAGTCGAACGATAAATTTTAAAAAGGAGGACCAGCTACAGACGCTGCGACCATTGTAATTCAACGAGCTTCCCAGAGGGCAGTTCGGGTCTTAAGAGTCAAAATCGTGTAGCAACTTCCATTCATTTGGAGATGCAAATTTCAGGAGACTTCCTGAGATTTAAACTAGATCAAAAAGGCAGGTTTATGCGAGGCTCCTTAGAGGGAAGCTGGGGGCTCTGAATAGCTGCTTATACTAAATCATTACTAGATCATGCTTTAAATTTCAGCCGTAAATCCAACTTAAACTGCGAAGGAGTGTTTAATGTTATTAAAGTGGAACTGAGTTGATGACATATCATTGTAATCCGACGCAATGCGTTTCAATAAATCGCAGTTCCGTGCCAATCTTCAGCAAGGTCCGTTAGGTCCCAGGGACAGTTCTCCTGTTGTTCCAGATCCAACCCTGAGCTAGCCACCTCGCTACTCTCCCTACCAGAGTTGTAGTCACCCCTCCTTGTGACTACTGGCGCCCAAACAAGTCATTCAGCCTTCCCAACCAATCAGTTCAACCTCTACGAAGGGGTAGGAGCTAAGGATGAAGCTAGCGTAGGTGAATTCTACAACCACTGAAGTACTGTGACACGCGTGGTTGTAGCAGAGAAGGGGCCAACAGAACAGCTATAAATGATTTCTGACTCCGCGCCATCCATTCTCCCACATACGGCAGAGGAAAAGAGCTGTTAGAAAATGGAGGCGATATGTTCCTGCGAAACGTCGGTTGACTTTCAACGGACTAAACGACGTCATATCCCAGAAGATAGTACTCCGTAGTTCTATCAGTTTCCTCTGTAGAAACATTACTTGTTACGAAGCTGTGGATTCTATGCCTTACTCTGCGTTATGTACACTATGTGTAATGATATTAAAGACGGGATAGCTCAGTCGGTATAGCGACTGAGCTACGGGCAGGACGGCTGTGGGCTCAAGAACTTCCTCTTCTCGAAATTTTCCAGACAAGCTCTGAGATCCACCCAACCTCCTACCCAATAGGCACCGAGGGTAAAGCGGCCGGGGCGTGAAGCTGACCACTCACCTCCAGTTAGTGCAGAGGTCAAGAAAATGTGGATCTATACACCCACTCCCCCATACGCCTTCATGGCGTAGTGCTTAATTCGTTGAGCACAGGGACAAATACACCTGTGTGTAAAGATAATTTATTTTAAGGAATGAAACAAATATTTTGTTCATCTTACCATTGTATTCCTGTTAGACCTTTCTGATCTGACGTTCGTGAAACGCGATCGATTGGACAGTAAGGTCATTTCTTTTGACACCTCTAAAACGTTGTTTATTGGTCTCCATGGCAACGACGTGTTAGGCAATATAACAGGACGTACTATTATTACACTACATAGTCCTACTTTTTCCATTGTTATATACTGTATAGAAAGTTCTTGTTTGCCAGAATGAGAGACGAAATGTATATGTTGAAATATATGTGATAAGATAGAGAATAGCTGTGATATTACTGTAAGTAAAATAAAATAAATAGTTTATATACTTACTACAAATTCATATTTAATTAACAGAGAAGCAGCGCACGAAACGAAATATGAACATTAAATACGTGTAGAGCGTCCATTTTTTGTTTGTAGCTCCAATACTTACAATTAAATACCTTACACATCCGAGTCTGGGTTCAGTAGTATAAGTAAGATAATTAACATGAATCAAATATAGCTTAGATTATTGAATTTCTGTAAATTTGTAACGCAAAGTAATGCGCTATTCTCTCGTTCATCATATTGAGTTGCAACAGTATTGTTCACAGGAAACGTAGCCATTACATAAAGTGAAATTTTGAAATGAAAAAGTTACTCATGTGTTGTTACTGAAAAGTGTTCTGCATTGAAATGCTGATCGAATTTCATATCATGAAATGAATAGACTATATTGCCCAATCAAGGCTGTCACCCAGTTTCCAGAATTGCTGTTTTAAAACTATTATGTTCTGTATTGAAGGGATTTGAAAATATAAGATTTAAGGTTCTCAAGGACGTAAAGGATTTGAGAAATACCTTGAAGATGGAGGCGTTAGGTCCCTGCAAAACTTTGGTAACCACCTACTAAACTACACGTTGTCATATCCCAGAAGAACTAATTCTTGATTTTGTAATATGTGAGAAAAATTTCTAGAATTTAATGACATAATCACAGAGAAGTCGGAAGGAATTCTAACGCCAAGCGAAACCAAATTACAGAGCCCAATCTTCTGCAATTTGTAAGAAAATACACGCCATACGTAGAACAATATATATATATATATATATATCCGCCAACACAACCATTCAGGTAAAAGTAATAACAAAGGTTATTTACATTAATGTGAACCACAAGATGTTCCGACCCCTGTTGGGTTGTCATCACGTGTATCTCTGTGTACTTAGCTGCCGAATTTTTGTTCAATATGGATCCATATTTTTCTTCATATTTGTCCATATGATTATGTCATTATTGCTTAGTAGTGAACCTCTTTGGCCTTAAGCTGTATTGGTATAAAAATAAATGAAATTGAAGTTAGTTGAAAATTGATTTAAAATTGATTAGAATTAATTTAAAAGAATATTAGTACTATGCCCTAGTGTGTATGCATTCGTGTTTAATTGTCAAGTTATGTAATTATGAACAAATGGTTCAAAATGGTTGTGAATCTCTGTCTAACCAGTCTAATGGTGTATTGGGTATCCCTTCTTCATTCATCTTTGGTTTTGCTTGGGTCGTGATGTTATGGGTCTCTTGCACTGCACGTTCGTACGTGCTACCTCTGTATTCATACTACATCGGAGTGTAGGTAGGTTGAGACCGTGTTGTCGCGTTGTTTCCCTTATGATACGCAGCGCAGCTCACGTCTTGCTCTGTATTCGGTCGTTATGTATCACAAAGAAAACAGCGGAAGACACGTATCTTAACCTACATTCTAATGCAGTAAATACAGAGGTAGCACATAGGAACGTACAGTGCAAGAGACCCATACCGACCCATCCTATCACGACCTGGCCCCCAACTACCTCATACAAGCAAAACCAAAGGAAGACAGGGATGCCAAATACACAGTTAGATTGGTGAAATAGAGATTCACAACCATCTTGAACCATTTGTTCATAATTACATAACTTCACAACTAAATACGAACCCATACACAATAGAGTATAGTACTAATATTCTCTTAACTTTAATCAGTTTTAAATTAATTGTAAATTTACTTCAATTTAATTTAATTTAATACCAAACCAGCAGGAGCCGGGGTAGCTCAGTCGGTATAGCGACTGGCTACAGGCTGGACGACCAAGGGATCGGTGTTCGAGTTCCGATGAGGGCAAGAATTTTCACTTCTTAATGACGTCCAGACCTGCTCTGGGGCCCGCCGCCTATCCAGTGGGTGCCGGGGGATCTTTCTCCGGGGTTAAAGAGGTAGGAGCGTGAAGCTGACCACCTCCAGCTAGTGCTGAGGTCAAGAAAATGTAGATCTATACATGTACTCCCCCATACGCCTTAATGGTGTAGTGCTTTATTAGTTAAGCACAGGGACAACTTTACTTTTTTTACCTTACCAATACGGCTTAAAGCTGAAGAGTAAACAAACCAGAGGTTCACTACTAAGCAATAATCACATAATTGTATGGTCAAATATGAAGAAAAATATGGATCCACATTGAACAAAAATTCGGCAGCTAAGTACACAGAGAAAAACCTGATGATGACTCAATATGGGTCGAAACATGTCGTGATCAACATTAATGTAACTAACATTTGTTATTAATTTTACCTGAATTGTTGTCGACGGATTCAAAAATACTATTTTGAATGACGCATAACAGGATGTAACACGTAAAGAGACGCCAAGCTCTTTGGTCCTTTCCTCCGTTTCGTGCGTGTAAAATGAGAAGTGGTTGCAGCTGCATATTTGGGGGGATTGCGACACATTTTTGTAACCCATACATACCCTGCAGTACAGTCTGCATCTCAGTAAATAGACTCGACCAGATCAACAGGGCAGTCATCTGAACGTTCATGGTTAAAGACACGGACCGTAGGTTTCGGAGGTGTACCCAAGGTCCGCTTTCCCTCCACCCCATATCCTACGTTCCGTTCGAACAGCTGTTTTAAGAACATGGATGTAGAATGCTTACCGAAGTTCATGGTACTACCTAGCTACCTAGACCCCGTTCTGCTACGTACTCGTGTCGTGTCTGTTAGTATCAACAACGAGGAAGTTGCTTCAATCGTGTTCATTGTGAAGTGTCCTATTTATGCTCGTTGGTGACATGAAGTTTATGGACGTTGTATTTCGAAATCGGTTACCTTATGCACCATAAGCGTACTCTGTTCTGGATTAAAGTAAAAGTAAGTAAAGGTATCCCTGTAACAGGCCTTGGAGGCCCATAGGGTTGAGAGATGTTGAGGTTCCCAGATTTTGTAGAAAATCGGCTAATAGATGGCGGTGAGGTTGTCAGCCCTACGCGCCGGCCGCCCTTTGCCAAGAACATTCCAAGAATATTCTTGGTACTCATTTCTGTTAAGAGGCTGAGTCGACGCCAGGCCCATAGTGCGGCTGGAAGGATTAGATAAATTGAAAAAAAAAATTCAATGACCTGTGCGGTATTCGATCCCGCGACCTCCCGGCTGGTAGCGTAGTGTCTCAACCAACTGCTCTAGCGCGTGTCCCTTATCTGTTCTTGATTGGAGATAGAAAATATCATGAATACTGTTAATAGGTAAATTGTATATTTCGAGATAAGAGCTTATGCAAGGACCTGACAGTGCAGAGGTTTTCCTTTTTCAGCATGCAAGCACGAAAATGTTGCAGAATGATGAACGTGTACCACAACATCTTATCATCAACATCAAATGACGTCACATACCACCACAGTTCAGCTTAATGTGAGTTCTGTACACCACAGCATAGTTGGTGGAGGCACTGTGATACAAGCCGTAAGGTGGCAGGTTTTGATTCCCAATGTCATTGGATTTTTTTTAATTGACCTAATCCCACCAGCCTCACTATGGCCCTGGTGTCTAGCAAAATTGAGAACCAGAAATCTTTCTTGGGGTAAAGGGTGGCAGGCGCATAAGGCTGGCAACCGCAGTGCCATCTATGAGCTGATTGTCTAGAAAATGTTTGAGCCTCAACGTCTCACAACCCTATGGGCCTCCACGGCCAGTTACAGGGATAGCTTTACCTTTTTTAATGTTGATACACAATGCAACCCAACCTAACTGAACACAAACAGGAAGGAACATTAATGTGAAATAAAACCCACTCAGGATTGTGGCATGTTGGAGCACCTGTACTATAATGTGAACTTTAACCATTATGCAGGCATAATTTTAAATTAGGGTCCTGTTGATCTCATATTGAAGTGTCTTTCTAATTTACACAATGGCCACATAGGGATTTTGCATGTTCTTACAACATATTTAACAAACTGAAAGCTGTTACAAATATCTGAGCAAGACTTAAATGAGCTAATAATGGCATTCCTTTCATTGGGTGTCCTATTTTTGAGAGCATAGTTAAGTTGTCACCATAGATGAGCTGTTACCCTAGTTGCATGTAAGTTATGATGTCATCAGTCATTTTGGTCTGTGTGGCCAATATAGAAAGGTTAAAATATGTACAGAACTGCTGCGTGAAATGCAGGAAGGTGGTCAAGATTCAGGACAACCAGTGGCAACATTGAACACAGTTGGCCATGTGTAAATGGATATTATTTTGCTAGTTTCTTAAAATTTATATGGTTAAGAATAACCGTCATCACACCAAATGATTTGATAATCAATCAGTATTCTTCAGGTTGGATTTTGACTAAGTGTGACAGGTAGGCTGTGCCATAGCTCAAGCGGTTAGTCGCTGGCTTCCTACTGCAGCAGCCCAGGTTTGAGCCCAGGTCTGGTCACGTGGGATTTGTGGTGGACAAAGTGGCGCTGGAGCGGGTTTTCTCCGAGAACTTCAGTTTCCCCTGCCAATCTTCTTTCCACTCAATTCTCCATCATCATAATCACCCGGGGCAGGCTACAATAGGCCAGTCAGTGGCCACCATGCCGAGTGGACCCCGTTGACTCCACTCCCCACCAAGCAAATAAATAAAAAGTGTGACAGGTAGCCAACTGTACAGATTTCACTCTATCTATTTTCCTTATGCTGAGGTTACCTCAGCATGTGTTATCATCCACTTCTGGTACATGTCCTTTTATCCGTAAGTATTTGATCTGTCACTCAAGGACTAAATCTGAAAGACGTATGTAGTTGGACATGATGTTGTATAATCTGGTAGAAATTTACCACTGTTGCTGAGGAACTTAGGCCTCCATCTCCAGGGTTGAAGAGTAAACTGAGAAAGCAATCACCAAAGCAAACTTATACCAGACTACAGATCATCAATCACCATTGTGAGAACATCAGATCTCACAAGTATGTAGTCTTAATGTGTTTAGTTATATGAAATGTCAAACAAGAGATATTCTCTGTTTAAGGTCTTACTCTGATTAAGAAAATAAGAAGGAAATACTGCTATGGAAGATGAAGAAGAAGAAACCAAGTCAGAAAAGAAGGGAGCAGCTGCTGAGGACGAACCAGACCCACGGCTGGAATTCATGTTCAGTTATTTGCAAACATCTGTGCGACTTAAGTTAGATAAATGGACTAAACTGCTTGGAAATAAGGAATCAGCTGTAAGTATTTTCTTGTAATCAGTTTTGGGCCCTTCCTCAAGTTCATAAAATTGTGGCAGACTGAATAATGACCTCTACCTGAGTGCTCCAAGGGTCACATTCTCAAGTTTGCATATTTTTAATCATTAAAATGTTGAACACATCACCTGAACAGATGTGTGAAGGATGTTCGCTTTTAATAGAACCAGAAGTTTCAGTACCCCCACTGATCAGGTTGGTTTAACGTAATGCTCCAGACTGTAATCAGGGGGTGCTTGGATTGAGACATGTCCAAGACACAGGCTATGCTGACTGAGATTTCTGTGATTGTGAGCCAGGAAAGCACAGTCTGTGTAGCGACTACCTACAGGCTGGACAACTGAGGAGTTGGAGTTCCAGTCCTGGTAGGATCAGAAATTTCTCCTCTCCATATCATGCAGACCGGCTCTGGGGCCCACCCAGCCTCATATCCAATGTGTACTGTGGGCTTTTTCCCTGGGGGTAAAGCAGCAAGGGTGTGAAACTGACCACTCACCTTCAGCTAGTGCCAAGGCCAATAAAATATGGATCTATACATCCACTCCCCCATACTTGTGACAGCTGTCTAGGGACGTATTAAAAACAGGGAAAGTGGGGAAGGACAGCATCTTGTTGCAGGTATGGGGTTATGGAGGTGGTCAATGCATAGGAAAACTTTCTGTGACCTCAGTATAACATACAACAGTGAACAGTTATTAAATTCTTTTCTTTCAGAAATACATCCATGACTTCATGCAAAGACCAGATATTCAATTGCTTGTGCTGGCCGGAAACAGTTCTGGCCTTCTGCAACCAATGCACAGCTTTCCATCTGCTTCCTCTAGGTTAAAGTCATGTTACTTCATAAAGAAAGCTGCAGAGCCTGTCACGAAAGAAAATTTTCGGAATGTATTGATATTCGGAGATATCGGTACTAAGCCTGTTGATGAATTGGCTGTATTGGTGCAAGAGGTAGTATTATTTAACTTTATTGGTTACCAGTTCATGAAATGCTATAAGCATGCCACTGGAGCAGACCTAACGTTCCAACAGCATTATTTGTTAACTTCTGTTCCTCTGTGGTGCTTATGTTCATTTATTGCTAATGTAAATCAGTTCCTTGTCATCTGTTTTATGCTGTACTCTCAGGACAGAGCTTCATCACTCATTTTTTTCTACTTTAACATATGTTCAAGATAAAATGTCTTCTTGGATGTGCTGCTGTGTAGTCTGTTAGAAAGTTATCAATCAGTATGTCACAAGAACTTGCTGACTACATTTTCAAGATTAACCCTGAAAGTGAAAGCAGATTCCTACAAGAAAAATCTTTTCTGACTCCTATGTAGTATATCTGTAGGGTCATTATCTTTTGCAGCTTGCAATAAATTAATATCAGGGTCACTGAGGTATGCAGGATTGCAAAGAAAATAAGTGTTCCACATTTAAACTCTAGAATTGGTAGATATTTCACACGGTGAGAAAGTGAGGTTATATAACACCTTTTCCTAACATTGTCTCTACATCAGTCTCCATATTCTGCTGCTTAACAGAGGCTTTCAAACCTGTTCTGACCTCATATGCATATTCCATCTTCCTCGACCTCAGGATCCTTTTGGATTGTGTTGTAAAACTGTATTGTCAATCCCTCATCAGTCATTTTATCCAAACTGTTTATCCACTTTTATGCTCATCTACTTTATTCTGTACTGATCACATTTTCAGTTATCTCTAATTATCATCTTTCTTAATATGAGCTAGGTTAATGCAGCCATTAACTGTTCTTGAGTGTCTTGTGAGTATTGTATTTAGATTACATTGAATTAGTTTGCTGCTTTGTAAATTAAATTAGATTAAAAAGGAACTCATCTTAAGAATGTTTCAGCCAAACTAACCAAATAATTGTAAAGCTGGAATGCCTGCTACTAAACCGTGATGCTTGGTTGTCCAGTTTATGTTAATTGTAACATATCTACAGGTGTTTGTGCCACTGTTGTCCAATCCAAAGAATCAATGTAGCTGGCCAAGAGTTGTAGCAGAAGATGTCATGAAGCACATATACGAACTCAAAAACATTGTGTATGAAGTTCGTGGTAAGATAAACGGACAGACACTCCTTCCAATGCCTGCTGGTGTAGAAAGGGTGCACGAGGTGGAGAAAACTATTATAGAAAGGTGAGTGACATAATAAGGGTTCAATAAATGCATATGAATGTCAGTGTGAATAATAAGTGGCCCCCACTCAACTAGTCCAACAGTATAGAGGCATACATACCAATGGGGCACATAAACACAAGATGATAGCACCACACCGACATCCATATGAGCTACACAAAATAACATGCAAAACACTGATGACACAGGAGGAAGGAAGCGCATGAAAACATGATGAGTGATATTCTCAAACAAGTGTCTTTTAATGAGTGGATGACGAAAAATAGAAAACATTGAAATATTTTAGCTTAGGAAATAATCCATCATAACTACACTGAAAATACAGTTTAGCAATTTTGACAAGTTGGACATTTACCTAAGGATGGCCAAGTACAACCAAACATGTAGCAATTTTTAATTTAATTTTTAATACTTATTTTTAAGTAAAGACATAACTGTAAATAAAGTTGCATTGAAGACAGAAGTGAATGTGTGTAAAGTACTTTTGTAAAGTGTCATTAAATGAGCCATGAAGCATTTAACTGTTTTATGTGTTTTGATTACAAATGGTGTCCCAAACTCATGTGGGTCACCAAAGGATTGCTTGTAGAAATGTTCCATAATTATAATAATGATATGTTATGTGGCACATGCCAGCGGAGGCCGGACTGTTGACATGTTTCTCAAGAGCACAATTGAAGGAATTGTCATCAAGTGGGCAACACAGATTGATGAAGTTCTTAAGGAAGACTCATCTTGTGCATTTGTCAGAGAAGCAAATCCTACTCCAAGATTTGGTATGTTTGTATGTTAAACTTTTTTCCCGACCTAATTTAATATAAGTCATTGTTAAAGATTCAGTATTTTGTTAGATAAATACAAGAATACCACCATTTGTATGCAGTTCTCAGTTAAGAAATAATTATAAAGAAAGACATGTTTCAGCCTCATACAACCATCTTCAGGGCATCCAATGCCAAAAGAAAACTTCATGTATGCAGTATTACAGGATATATTTAAGTTTCTTTTTGCTGCATGAGACATTTAAAACAGATCTAATCCTAAGGATTTTAGTTAGTTTTTTTTTTTTTTACAAAAAAAAAAACAAGACTGATAGGGTTATGTTAAATGAGAAGGTTATCCATTATTTCAGCTTTTCTTATTCATGTATTTTTAATTTGCTTTTCTTGTTTATGTGTTTTGCATAGAAGAGTGCTAGTATGCTCTAATAGCCTTGAGATGAATGGAATTATGATTATATTGGCTCTTTACAACCGATTGTCATACAGCTTTGATACATGCAGTGACACTATGAAATCTGGGCTTGGAATAGTTAAAACTATGGGAAACGTCCTTATGTACATTATAAGTTATGCTGAGAAAGGTTAGGTTAGGTATATAAAAGGCTAAGGTTTGATGCTCTGTTTTTATGTAGGAGTCATTGTTTTTAACAGTTATAAATGGACAAAGAATAATAGCAATCAACAGCAAAAAGGGGTTTCTGTGCTTCGGTCATCATGCTGTCTTCTCATAATTTCTCAAGTTTGTAGCATGCATATTCAGTGCAATCCTTAGTTCAAAGTGTCCTTCAAGGGTTATAATGTATGAGACTGTAGTAATGAGAAGATTATCTATGGTAACCATAGATATAGATGGAAACTCATACATCTCTACTGTATTTGCATTGTATTATATATTAATATGTAATATTTAGAGACAATTACTGTGTAAAGAAGAGTTCTGCCTTCTGTGATATAATGCCACGTAGTCCATTGATAGTCAGCCGAGGTTTTTGAGGAGTGTGTCACATCCATCTTAAGGAAAGAAGAATAAGATGAGCAAAAGAACCAGCTTTAAAGCAGGTGCCTCCGACCCTGAAAATGTATGCAACATGTTCCTCCAAATCATCGGTTGACTATCAATGGACTGTACGCATTATACCATAGAAGACAGAACTCTTCATAACCACCGCTGTGAGAACCTCAAATCCTACATAGTGATGGTGTAGGTTATGTTAATATTTAGTGTTCAAAACTTCCCATGAAAAATACGATACTCCTGCACGTATTTTAACACACCTGTATTTCTGTAACAGAAATTGATTTTTGGAATAGTCGTCTCAAAAACTTGGAATGTATCTATAATCAGCTGCGTGACCCAAGGGTCAAGAAGATGGCGTCCATATTAGAATTGACAGACAGTGCCTACTTTCCTTGCTTTAAGACACAGTTTCGTAATATTGTGGCAGGTGAGTAAGAGAATGTTACACTCATTTAGGTTCTGAAGACAACTAGCGTAACACATGTCAAATATTCAATGGAAAGTCTCATCATATTGTTTACTTCTTCTTCTTTCTCTCATGTTCCTTCCTACATACCATCAAATGATATGTGAAGGGCAACACTTAACACCATCTTCCATGAATAACACATATAAATCGTCGATGATAATCTGTGTGTTTTACATAGAACACTTCACTTCACATGGCCATGTAAAAATATTAGCTGTGTTCACAGTAGAGACAAGATACCATGAAGATTTCAGATTGCCATAGAAGTGATTACGAAGCCTACTGTCTTCTGAGATATGACACGATGTAGTCTTATAGGCAGTATTTGTTGTCTCTATCTTTAGGGAAGGTGTATTTATCACTGAAGATGGAGGCAGCATGTTCCTCCAAAACGCTGGTATATTCCCACAGGAGTATATGGCACCACTTCCCAGGAGGCCACAGTAGGAACAACTACTTCCCTCCCAGTCTTTTCCAGTTCACCACTGTCCTATCATCTAATTCAGTGATAAATAACCTGTGTAGCTGATATGCAAACTAACTTCATTGAGCTGTGCCCTTCTTGAGAAGTTACCATTTATGCCGCTACTCAGGAAGGTTCATTCACTCTCATTTTTTTTTCTTTATTGCTAGTGGGGTGGGACTAAGTCCCTTGTACTGCGGCCACTTCTGGCCTATTGTACCAGCCCCAGATGATAGGTGAGGGTGATTGTGGAGCAATTGGTGGAATGAAGATTGGCAGGGGAAACCGAAGTACTCGGAGAAAACCTGCCCCAGCACCACTTTATCCACCACAAATCCCACTTGACCAGACCTGGGATCGAACCTGGGCTGCCACAGTGGGAAGCCAGCAACTAACCGCTTGAGCTATGGTGCAGCCCTTTCATTTTCATTAAATAATGTATTGCTCAACTGTCTCTGAAAGTGCATTGTTATGTACTTTTATGTTCACCTGTTATCTGTGAAGTAAAACCATTCACAATTTACATTTCAGCTGTAACAGAAGCGCGTGATGTTTCGTTATACCTGAAGCCTCTTGTAAAGCACTTTGATGATCTTGAGAACACGGATTTCAAGGAAGTACAGCCACTGCTGCGACCATTGGTGCACTGTGTTGCTCTTGTGTGGGCCAACAGTCGCTATTACTGCACCTCTACCAAAATAGTTACCCTTATTAGGGAGGTTGCAAATCTGCTTATTCAAGAGGTATGAAATACATTTCCAGATATATTACAAACATTATAATATTAAGACTTGATAACTTGTTCGTTCTTCTGTGCACATTTACCCAAATATAATGCGTGTTTTTATCTTCTAACCACTTTAAAAAATTGCTGTCAAACTTCTATTTATATTCAATGCTGTTATGTATTTTTCTAGACAATAACATGAGGAGGTCACTGTCTAACTAACTAACTGACTAACTTCATGGAGATGAGGCCTTCTTGAGAAGCCGCCAATTCTGCAGCTACTCAAGAACATCCCAGCATTTTATGGAACCCGAAGGTTCATTACCGTGTTCAGAAGATCCCTCTACTGGTCTCTATCCTGAGCCAGATCAAACCACTCCATACCACCCCATCCTGTCTCCCTAATATCCATTTTAATATTTCCCACCCACCTACATCTTGGTCTTCCTAGTGGTCTCTTTCCTTCAGACTTTCCCACAAATATCATATATGTGTTCCTCTTAACCCCATTCATGCTACATTCTCTGCTCATCTCATCATCCTTGACTTGATCATTCTGATTATATTTGGTGAAGAGTACAAGTTATGAAGCTCCACATTCTCCAGTCTCCCATCTCTTCATCTCTCTTCGATTCCAATATTCTCCTCAGTACCCTGTTCTCAAACACCCTCAGTCTGTGTTTCTCCCTTACGATCAGAGACCAAGTTTCACACCCATACAGAACACAAGAAGGTCCATACTTATTAAAACTTGTAATCATTCTTTTGGGAAGTTCAGTTATGTGGAAGAAAGTGCGGTTTTTATTCAGACAAATAAAGTGGTAATATAGGGTACCAAATTGGAGACATAAAAGTATTTTCTGCATTTGAAATTTTCATCTAATCATATGTAAATTTAACTGTTTGATTTTTGTGTTTCCAATTACCTACCACTGACCTAATACAGAATATGTAATACTTTGTATTCTTGCGAATGTGTACAGTAACCATAGCTCTTAAAGTAATATGAAAATATTGTAAAATTTTTGGATGCGATTTTAACCTTCAATCTTCTTTTAATTACGTGGGTCAAAAATAATTTCTTAATTTGATTGTTATTCCTTCTTTAAAGTTTTAGATATAGTATATTGCTATATTGGTAAGGAGAACGGCCATGTCAGCAGCAAAGAATGGGTGCATCTATCTGTATCTTTATAGTTGAAATTACTGGCATGGAGTCTTTTGAAATTTCAACAGAAAATTTTAAATACAAACTTCACGAAAATGCCTAACTCATTATTTTCAGAAGTTTTGGAAACAACATTTTGTTTGTCATTTCCTACAGGCTACCAAATTCCTGGACCCAAATTCTCTCTTCCAGAGAGAAATAGATGAAACTCGTGAACAGGTTACATACTGCATCAAAACCCTGGTGTCTTTCAGGTAACGTTATTTCATATATTACTTCTCTTTATGGATTAGAATACTTCATGCCTCAAGATCTTTCCAGCTCCTCCTTGGTCTTCTGCTTACTATTTACCAAGCAGGTTTCTGATTCCATGACAAATTCTACCACGTCTCATAATCCAAGAATTTCACGCAAGATCATGGCTAATCATGCACAATATTCTGTTAGAAGTTGTGAACTATATTTTCAAAATTTCTTATCTTTAATGAGCTTCATCTCAGTTGCTTCAAGTAAATGCAAGGATAATGTCTAAAGCAAGCCCTGACTACTACCTATGTAATTTGTCATTATCATCATCATCCTTTCCAGTACTAGGCCATTGGGATCTCGCATCAGTATTGAGAAACAGAATCCTTCCAGAATTTCAGAGGTTTTCCCAGACAACTTTTTCATTTTGGTTGATATTTTAAGATCCATTTTGAAGTCCTGTAAGAACTCATTCAGTGTTATCCCCCCCCCTTTTCTTCTTTATTATATAAATGTGGTTATTTGTGGAATTTATGGTTCTCACTTTTGTAACTATTTTATGGTCTGAAAGGACATATCTCTTGGCCCTCATGAAACTCACATCTGTTCTTTCATCACTGTTTCTGCCCTGATGATGGAAGCAGTATGTTCCTTCAAAATAATGGTAACATACTACCAGATTATGTGGCATCATTTGCCAATGATGTTCTCTGAGTAGAATAATTGTAACTTTTGGAGCACCCTGTTACCTCTGTTTCTATCCAGACGATAAAGACCGCAAGTTCCTCTGAATTGTCGGTAGTTATCCGCTGGATGATATGTTGTCACTTCTCAGAATACAGCAGTATCACAGTACTGTGATTAAAACCTCAGATCTTGCATCCTACTAAGAGATATTCATCATTCTGAGTTTGAGGACTGACACTCAAGAGAGCAGCACTCTTGCTGGAGAAAATTTTTGGACAGGGGTAACTGCACTCACCATGCCTCTATGCTTGCAATGCCTTTGCTCTAAATTCGGTTGTCATATTTATTTCCCCCGGTTTATTTAATAATGCTGTCATAATTCAGACCATATAGCCTCAAATGATTGAATGATAGATAACAGTGAACTGGAAAGGACTTGGAAGGAGGTAGTCATGGCCAAATTTAAGGTGTTATCTGAAGGGAATGAGGAAAAACACAAAAATCATAAATCAGGAAATTTGGTGTCCTGGTTGAGTTTTGAACCAGGCACCTTCCAGTAGATGTTAGAAGCGTTAATGCTTGATACAACCTGCTCAGATAACCCAGTGCTGTATAAACTCTGGTTGATAGAGCATCATAAATGACTGGATAACCATCAAACTTTATCTCTTGCTCTGTGCTTTGCAGGAATATCTTTGAGGAGTACCGGGACCAGTTGCATACATTTTTCCCAAAAGATGTGGAACCTGTGCCATGGGCATTTGACCCAAGGCTCATATTTGAACGAAAGATCCAGTATGTTGAAAGGCTGAAAATTATAGAGGTAAGAGTGTGTAGGACACAACTAGATATGTGCCACACTTGTGTAACTTCAAGTTTCAGAGTTTAGCCCTGTTGTATATTGAGAACACTGAAACCTGAAGCTACACTTCAGGCACAGGCCGCAGAAACCTAAAGGCATGGTTATGTCAGAACTACTGTCTTTACCAACCATCACTGCCTGACATGTTGGCAAACATATGGAATCAATTTCATATTTTTATTTTTCCCCATGAAGTCCACAGTAAGAAATAGGAAACATGGAAGCAGGGAACATAAAAATTGCATATTTCTGTGTACTAGGTAATAGTGTTGATCCCTTACAGCTCAGTCAGTATAGTGACTATGCCATTGAATGGACAGCTCAGGAATTGGGGTTTTATTCTTGGCAGGACAAGATTTTCTCATCTGCACAATGTTCAGACTGGCCTGTGGCCCACCCAGCCCCTTATCCAGTGGGTATCGGTGGCTTTTTTCCTGGGGGTAAGGTTTTAGGAGCGTGAAGCTGACCACTCAACTCCAGCTAGTGCTGAGGTTAAGAATCCAAGGAGCTATACCTCCACATGTCCATATGTTTTAATGGTCTGGTGGTTAAGTAATTAAGCACAAGGCAACATTGCCTCTTACCTTACTAGATAATAGCGGAGAACTCCAGGTTGAATTCCAATTATACATCTTGTTTCAGAATTTCTTTGCTACATCAATGGAATTTCTTAAATTGGAGAAAGTGGAAATTGGCGGATTGAAAGGACGATTCCTGAGTGCAAAGATTGCTGGAGTTCTCAGCCAATTTCATGAAGCATTTATGGTATTTGGAAGTATCACATATGATCCTCTAGACCCAGAAGATGAAAATTTCGTTCGTGATTATACCATGTTTATGGGAAAGATAGCTGATATGGATCGCAAACTGGCAGCTGTCTTCTGCCAGGCATTTGATGATTGCTTCAATTTGGAGAGTATGTACAAGGTGGGTTGTATTCTTATTTATAAATGTTCTGTTAAATGTCAGGAGTGCAGAAATAGCTGGGGCTCAATTTGTTGGGTGATTAGTTTCCGTCTGTATATAATGTTGATAGTATGAGAATTGACAGAAATACAGTGTTCATAAATGCCGGACTTTGGGGAACAGAGGCATAACTGCTCGTTCTTTGCTTGACAGATGTTTACTTTCCTCGTCACTAACACAGTATGTAATAACTAAACCTTTAAAATAGTATTGGCACTGAGATAAGAAATTTGTATTGTAATTGTTATAAAGCCAGTTATGGTAGCTGAGCAGTCTAAGACATGCACTTTCTTTNACTGTCTTCGCTCGCTTGGAAACCGGGATCGTGGGTTCGAATCCCACTCAGGGCATGGATGTTTAGTTTGTGTGTGTGCATTTTGCTGTGTTTGTGTACAGGTAGAGGCCTTGCGATGAGCTGATCACCCACCCAAGGAGTCCTACCAAATGTCTAAGATCTACGTAGTAGTAAGCTGAAGTGAAACGGAGTTTTTCATTGAGGTAGGCCAAGGCCCAAATTGGGGCTGTAGCGCCAAAGGGGGGAAAATTATTATAAAATATTCTCAGAATGTGTTATGTCATAATTTCATAAAAGCAGAATTTTTATTATTTAGTTAATGAACATTTTCAGTTTCAAATACTGCATTATAATGCCATTGATATATATGTATATATGATTAAATTTGGAAGTTTAAGTAAGTATTCATGGTGTGTCAGTAAATAAGTAATTTAATTATCAGATATACAACCAAATCGACAATGATACTCTTTCTTGTTTTTTTATAGTTGATTTATGTAGGAAGTTCATTGCTGGAACGCCCTATCATCAAAGCAGAAGTCGCTCCTAAATACAGGGTTCTCTTCTCAATGCTCAGTGATGAACTGGATATGGTCAAGGTAAAGTCTGAATTTTCATAAGTTGCAAATCTTCCGTGCAAACTTGACAGTTTACAGGCATACATCTGTCACACAAAACAAATTATTATAATACTGTGACGTGGACGGCGCAACGCTCGGTAACCCCCCCCCCTTCCAGCTTGACATAACAGCATTGGAGCAACTGCCGCTGCTACGGTAACAGGCCAATCAACACTCTGTCCCCCTCCCCCGCAGTGACATAACAGCACAACCCATTGTGATGTAACAGGGGACACCACAGTTACTACGCAGCAATAAACAACTCTCGGCAGCGCTCCCCAGCAACGCCTGTAAACACGGTGTTTATGCAACAGTAGTAGCTATCACGTAACTGTTTTCTGTGTTGTCAGTGCGGAAGCTACATAAAGGAGTATTCGTCAGTGAGAGAGAGTAAGCAGTCAGTTGCAGTTTAGCATTCACCAAAGTGAGTTGAAANTTGCAGTCTAGCATTCGCCGGAGTGAATTGAAGTTCATTGTTATTGAGTTGTATTGAATGAATGGCAGTGACTCCAGCAGGAGAAGTATTTGTGATACTGCCGATGGCAGTACTTGTTAAAGCATGAATTGTGTAATTGTGAGAGTGAGTGTTCAACAAATTCGCTACATCCAAGATGGCGTGAAGTTATTTTTCGCGTGAAATACCCAACACGTGACAATACTTACACTAAGTAATTTATTATTTCACTCACTATATGTTCTGGTTATAACAAACTATTCTTTTGGTATGTCATAAGTTTAATGATGGATGCAGCACTAGATCTGTGTTCAACAGCTTTTTATCAACCATGGCACACACTGATTTGTCAGACACATTGTGACATGCCATAAAATAATAAACATTTAAGATCTGATAATTTAATTTAACGTGCTGCATTTTTCTAACTGCAGTGTGTAAATTTACTTTTTGATATATTAAATTGTAGCACACAGATTGTGGAGATATTAACAGTTAACCTACTGCAAGGTAGCTGTAAATCTTACAATTTGTGTACTGTCTCCCCACGTGATGATTGGTGGTTACAAGCTGGAGTGTGTAATGGAATGATAAATACTGAAGATGTATAGGTATTATCATCTATAAACTCTGTTAACCCCAAAGAAGACAGTTTTAATATTATCATCCAAACTACAAGAGGCCTTCGCAGCCTGTGACAGGGATAGCTTTACCCTTTTTTTTTAACTTTTTTGTAGATTCTTTGAATACAGTTTTAATAAATGAGTTCTGTCTTCTGAGATATAAAGCAGTGTGATCCATTGGAAGCAGCAGACTTTTGGTAGGAACATGTTACCTCCATCTTCAGGTTTGAAGAATAAGGGAAGCAATAAACCAGCATGAATTTCTCAGCAAGCAATACTTGGCTTACTCCTCACCTCTCGAGAGGAAGGTGACATGTTCACGTGAAATGTCATTTGACTTTCAATGGACTACACAGATTGGTATCTCAGACAATAGAACTATTTGATCTCTGCTGTGTAAGCCTCAAATCCCACAGTTTTAATAAAAATTCACAGAAATTGTTCAGTTGAATTTAAAAAAATAAAAGTTTAATCAATTGTATGTTAATATGGAACTTTGCAGGAAATATTTGACAAACAAGTGGAACTTTACAATATGAATGGTTATATGATAGTTGATAAGCACTTACCTCCGACGGCTGGTACATTGCTCTGGATCCACAAACTAAGGCAGAGGACTATGATCCCTATTGAAACTGTCAAGGAGTTGGAACTTCTGTAAGTACACATTTCCCATGATCCTCAAATGGCCAATGCCATTCATTAACCCTTTGAAGCATGAAGTTCACCTAAATAACATTTTACAGTTCATTTCCTACCTCATGGAAATCCACTGCATGTCCATTACAAATATTTGTTTGTTTGGCATTTGCTAATGCCATTTAGGGAAACAATTATCATTGTGAAAATCATACCAAGCACATAAATCACAATTGTAGGCAGAATGGAACCTTTTTAACGGTTAGTGGTGCTGGTAGGTATAATAACCACCATGCTTTTAACATTTAACTGTGTGATTATGCTCTTCATTGTCCAGTCTCTGAGATACACATATTATAAGCTTTATCTCATATTGGAAATATTATCACTTTTTTTTTAGGTTGCACTAGGAATCAACCTTTGACCCCTTAGAATATAAAGTTATATTTTAGTTATCATGTATCAGTGTGTGCTTTTTTCATCCCAGTAACATTTGAATTGATAGACAGATTTTTATCAAACTTGGTATGAACATCTCAACATCAGAGGTTAGTGCAGCTTTGTACTTGTTAATTCACAAACACCAATAATACCACAGTGATGACATAAACATCTGAGATGTGATAACACTTGTGTCAATGTAATGTTTTTAAATTTTGAGTTTTTAATAGATCTTTGAAAAGTAAGAACTTATTTTTAAAGTAATTTTGCTGTTGAACGCAAGGTAAGATGGCAATTTTGTACAAAATTCAACCACTCATTCAAAAATGTATGTGAGAGAAAACATACACACATATCATAAGTTTACTTATCAATGCTTATGAAATAAAAAAAAAAGTTAGTATATTCTGTTGCTTGAATGAATTATCTAATTGCAACTTTCATATTTCTATTGTGGCCTTTCAGATTATGACAACATGTAGTCTGGTGGGTGGAAACCAACAGTTCAGAGGAATGTAGGGCTTCCATCATCAGACATCCCTGAAAATGAAAGCAGTGTTTTCATTCAAAATATTGGTATCAACTTACCAGGCTACATGATGTCATGATTTAGGATCTTAATATTGTGCATCCTGTTGTGTGTCAACTAAAGTATATAAAGTATAGGATATACCATCTACATAACAACGATCAGTATTCAAAACAAACAAGACACTACTGCATCAACATAATAAAGTCAACAAAATAAAAGCAAATGTTGATGCAGTAGTGTCTTCTCTGTTTTGAATACTGATCGTTGTTATGTAGACGGTATATCCTATACTTTATATATCTTAGTTATGATTTAGAATGTGATATTATGAATATTTTCCACTGAGCAAGTTAGATGAAGCGATAATGCTTCTGACTTGCATCTGGAAGGTGCCTGGTTTGAATCTTAGCTGGGACACCAACTGTCTTGACTGTAGATTTTTGTGGTTCTCAGTCCTAGGCAAATTCTGGGATCATACCTCAAATTAGACAGAGATGCTGTGTTCCACATCCTTTGCAGTTCATTAATCATTAATTACCCTGTATGATCTAAGCTATCAATAGTGCCATTAAATGAACTACAAAATAAAAAATAATAATATTAGTAAAAACTTCCAGTCATATATAACGTCTGTTTTTTTTTTGTGTGGAAGGGGGGGGGGAGTTATTTCTCAATGATCTCAGTATGTACACTATGTAGAGTCAGTGATAGGATGGTTGATGAGTATTGAATTGGAAAGGATTTTGGAAGGATGTATTGTTGGCCTAGTCAAGTTAGTGTGTTGGTATTTGCCTGAAGGGGCAAAGGTAAACTACAGAAACTTCGTTCAGAAAGTAACCAGTATCCTCACTGAGATTTGAACTCACCAACTCTCGAATGCGAGTCTAGAGCAATACCGCTATGCCATTGCATTCATTAACTTCCGTATTGTCACAACAGTGTTGTACAGAGTCCAGATTTCCAGCTTCAAATGGACAAGTACGGTGAGATCAGAAAATGCTTGGATGAACTGGAAGATAAGATATTCTTGAAGTGGACAGCTCAAGTTCCAGAGCAGTGTGTCAAGAATCTAGAGAAACCTCTGATGATACAGGAAAGAGGAACTCTGAAACTGAGTCTTAACTTTGACGACGAGGTAATATTGTGTCTGTAATGTCTGTACTTCATTTTAGAGTGATTATGAGTTGGTGTGCTGTTAAAATTTACCATTTATGAACAAAAGCAAAAAGTTAAAGTTATCCCTGTGCCATGAAGATATATGGGGGAGTGGAAGTATAACTCCATCACAGATGTCAGTGGTCAGCTTCGTGCCTTGGCTGATTTACTCCCTGGGAAAAGAGCCCGCAGTACTGATTGGATAAGAGGCTAGGTGGGTACCAGTGCTGGTCTGAGTGCTGTGGAGTAGAGGAAAGGCTGTTGCTCCTGCCAGGAAACAAACCCGGGCCAACCAGCCCATACCCTGTCAATATACCAAGTGAGCTCTCCCAGCCAACATCACCACAGAACAGGGGATTTAAAATCCATGGTGCATGGGACTAACAGATGGACTTTAACTGGGAGGGTAATAGTAATAACTGGACCATTTGCATGCACCATTAAAATAGTGTGGCACATGGCTAGTCAGGATTAAACTACATAATTCTTGTCCAGGAGATGGTGGGTTCTGGTCATAGCCAAGACACCAACACTCTTGACACAGGTATTTGCATAATTTCCTTGTTGTCTCCTGCAAACAAGAGCATAGTATCTTTATGTAGGATATGACTGGATTGTTGTCTTCTTTATTGCAGAGTCACAGTATTGTTTTTCTGTCTTAGGATGAAAATATAATTGTAAGAAAAAATTACTTTCATCATGGCTGATTTTTGTCTTCTCTTCTGCAGGATCCCTTTTCTCACAATTCTATTTCTGTTTTCTCACAAGAAAGAAGCATTATTGTGGCAATGAAACGGATTGTATTACTGCTCAAGTGGTCACTCAGATCAATTAAGTGTCCTCACTGGAGGACAATGGAATTGTGAGCCAGATACACACCAATAGGAGTTGTCAACAGAAGCTTTGAGATCAAAAATTGTCCTCGTAAGGGACATGTACAGGATGGTCATAGATGTGTGACCTCAGTTCAGGCCAATAGGAACAGTGAACGGGCCCTGGGGTCGACTCAGGCTCTAACAGAAATTAGTACCAGGAATCTTTTCTGGGGGGGTGGGGGTAAAAGGAGGCTGGTGTGTAAGGCTGACAACCTCACTGCCATAGGACCGTGTGGACCTCCACGGTCTGTTACAGGGATAGCTTTACTTTTTTACCTTTTTTTGCCTTATTAGATGCTAGAATTGCTAGCAGATCACAGTCTCAACACTCATGAGAATCCAAAAATATATATCAGTGTTCCTGGCAACACTGCAGTGGCATTGAAAGCCTGTTAGGAAAAAGGTAGCTAAGGTAGATATTAGAAATTTCATAGTCTCAGCAAACGTAAGGTGGGCAGCATAATACTTTCATAATTAGAAAAGCCTCAGAATTAGAATACAAATTCTACTTTTGTGATGTTCTTGTTTGTTGTCTAGCTGGTGGCAATCCTGCGAGAAGTCCGGTACTTGAAAACGATGGATAAAGCGGGAATCCCCAGTGATGCTCTGACATTGTTTGAGCGTGTTGAGATCCTTCATCAGTGGGTTAGCAATCTGAACCTTGCCATCGAGTGGTAAGCTGATATGATCTAGCATCTTGCACTTACTTCAGCAGAACACAATTTTACACACCTCAGATTCATTTTAGATGATGTTTCACTGATCTAAAATCAATAATATCAGTGTCAGATTCCTTCAACATATTTTTTTTTTATATTCTTCCCCTGTGGTAAACATGTTTAAATCAAGATAACAGTGTTTTTTTAATAAGGGCGGTGGCTGTTGTGTTGTTATTCAGAGTGAATATACAGAAGGACCGCCTGTATGGTCTAGTGGTCAGTGTTCCTGGCTACAGATCCATAGGTGCCTGGTTCGATTCCCAGCACTACCAGATTTTCTGAGAAGTAGTGGGTCTGGAATGGGGTCCACTAGCCTCGTGAGCATAATTGAGGAGCTATTTCAAGGAAATTAATGGCCGCACGACACCCTCTATCTGCAAAAGTTGGCACTAACTTCGCTGAGAAGCAGCGGTAGCTCGGTCAGTATAGTCCGCTTGCAGACTACAGGCTACAGAGAATATACAGAAGAAACTCATGTCTCTTCTTTTGGAGTGCATGCTTATAAAATATCTTGGTGTATTTACCGTTTTCTTTCTCATATAGGTACAACAGTATTCGTCAAAACAGTCTTCCTGTTGCGTATGCACTTATTGAACATGAAATTGAAGAAATTGACAGTCTCATCAGTGAAGTTCTTGAGAAGCTCAACTGGAATTCGGAAAGTGAGTCATTGCATCTGCTTCATTTAACAATAGCATTTGAATGTGAAATTGAACAACTTCTCAGAGTTACAGATTTGCACATGTTCTCTCAATTCAACTGAAAGTCTTTGCTTGTAGTGTTTATGTGTTCAGGTCTTACTCTTTGGTTCATTTTTGGTGAATATTGCGGCAGTAAGGTGCAAAAATGAAGCTGTAAGTTCTTTCATGTCCGTCCACATGTAATAAATCGACCACGGAATTCCTTTTTCCTGAAATTTCATACTGGAGAATTTTAATAAAATTCGTCTGCAGCCCACATACTAGTTTTGATGAAAGCTGGATAATAATGGACATGTTACATGAAGACCTATGTGCACCTCTGTACATATCTTCAGTGTTAACTCACTCGTAACATGCTAAATATTTGTTGGATACAAAATTATTTAATTAGAAATTGTATAAAAAATTAAGTACATTTTATTATCAGTACACTTTTGCGTAAGGCTTATGATTACGTAGGTAATTGTACAGATGGGAGTAAATATTCCAGAGTTGTTACATTAATGCTAACGTTATGCATCTGTTTCGTAATTTGTTTAACATTCATTTCATATCTTTCCCTTATAATCCTTACACTTCTTTATTTGCCCGTGTTTCTCGTCCATATGTTAAAGCAGGCAAATAACAGTAGAACACAACCTATAGCTTTTCTGAAATTTTCGGATTTCAGATGATACTTTAGCACAGTAGTAAAAATATCATGGTTTTCTTTGAAATCTCCTCATGGACTTTTTCTTTCCAGACGATGAAGTGCTAGTAGTTAGAGTGAAGAAGGGGTTACAGCTGCTTTCAAAGTGTTATTACATTTTATTTCTTGCATGTCTGTTTTCATGGCCACTATTTTATCTCATGTAATTTTTACATCTGACTTTTTTATATGTGTACGGATTATTTAAAAAAATACAAATATTTTCTTTCATAATCCAAAATATGATGATTAATTGTCATATTGGTAGTTTTTAAATTATACACAATACTCATTCTGTTCATCTGTTTTGCTGCAGACGTGTGGTCATATGTGCAGCAGATACGAACACTAGTAGAAGACCTCCAGAGTAGAGTACTGAAGGCTCAACTAAATGTGGACACAATTCATAAGTTGATTAACACATGGAGTCTTATGCCCCTTTTTGAACGCAAGAACGGCAAGAAGAAAAACTTGATTTTTTTGGATGACCATGATGAACGTGTTTTCAAAAGGTGGGTTTTTTTTATACAAGGGAAATTATCTTCTTTTCTTGATGAATTGTGTATGCAGGTATATCCCAATTTAAATGGTACTAATGTTTCTGTAAAACATTGCACAACAGAAAAATGAGTAGACCAAAGATTCTTTCATAGACTCAACATTAATCCATTGACAAGAATGAATGCATGGGCGCTGTGAGATTTATCATATCAAAGTGTATTAAGTCAGTATGAACAATTGCTAACAGTCAAAAACTGAAACTCGAATCCATAATCTTATTATGTTGTTTATTAATTTTTTTTCCAATGAATTTACCGTGTTTGTGTAATACAAATCCTGACAGAAATAAGAGTAAATATTGATGCTTCCTATTGAACAGGAGAAGATGTTTTTCTACTCAAGAGGTCTGTGATACCTGAGACAACCTGTTTGCAGGAGAAATTTACCACAGGTTCACTGTCACTTAAATCACACATGAAGTCTTCTCATTGCACTCTCATTCCTTGCTTGTCATTTCTTCTCAGTCAATTTAGACTCCCATCTCCAGAATTTGACCCATTTCTTGACAACTCCTCCCTTGGAACTTCTCATTATATAGCCTTGGGGCAGACCCCGCAGAAAACACCATCTTCTATTGTCCCATATTGTTTTAGGCATATTTGCTGATCCGTTGCCTAGCAATAGACGTCCTATTGTTGCACATGTTGGCTTCCCGCTGGAATGTGTTTACCAAGCTGTTGCCTAGCAGTGGGTCTATATATCACAGTATTATTTTCTTTGTAGTTTTATTAGCTGTAAATCTTTTTAAACGTCTTAAAAAATGATGACAAGAATAATAATGTAAACCCTTGAATGATTATGCTAAGGAATTAATAAGGTATTCCCCTGAAAATGATCTTAATAGTACTTGAAGCTTGATTGGTTTCTGAAATAAGTATATTACATTGGAAACTGTACTCTGGTAGTTGCATTCTAAATGTACGTAGTATGATTTGCAGTATTACGATGGTGTGCAGACTGACATAAAAATATTGTTCCTTGCAGGTATACAGCAATGAGAGATGTAGGAACATTGATTCATCAGCTTATGGATGAGAATTATAGATTATTCTTCAACATTAAGCCACTGCAACCAGAAGTGGTAGAGGAAGAAATCAGTGCTAAGGGAAGATTTGAAGACAAGGAAGGGGAGGATGAGGAATATGAAGATGAGATAGGAGGAGATGATGAATTTGAAAAAGTACTTGAGAAAGGACTATTTGGAGAAGCTGAACCAGATGAAGAGACAAACAGAGAAGGAAAGCCACTGATAATGAAGACTGTAGAACATGCGGGTGCTGAAGGGGAGCAGACCTCGAAACTGTGGCGCGGAACTCACAGTGCCACTGCCGCAGTTTCTGTTCTTTCGGCATTTCAACCATCCGCAAAGCCGCCAAGCCCAGAAATCATTCAATACGAATCTCAGGATGACTCTAAGCCTGACCATGAACCAGTGCCAGAACTTGCCCTGTTTCTTCAGTCATTAAGACAAAATGAAAAAGTTGAGTTCAATGACGAAATTCATTCAGAGGTATGTACAGTGTGGCCTAAAAATTGTGAATTAGACCTCCGTACTATATTTTAATTGACACATATTTTGCATAGTCTCATTTTGGTTGAACAAGCATAGAGCTCTGCCTCTGTCATTAATTGAAAATATCATGTTGAAGCCATTAGAAGGGGATAGTATATATACTTATCTGGTAATAAAATCATTTTTATATATGTGACATTTAGGTTCTGATGACTGTGATTATGAAGATAACTGTTACATAGGATATGACACCATGAGGTCTGGTAAATTGTTGCCTGCTATCTTCAGGGTAGAAAAGTAAAAAGCGAATGATACCTCTTTTGCCTACACTTTCTTTTCTTTTGTATACTGGAAGGAGAAAAAACTGATATTGAAAAGAATTGGTAGGAGCGCCCAGCTTGATTGATTAAGTTCTTCTTAGTGGGTCCACTGATTATAGTCTTATGATAAAATGTGTCAGTTAATCAGAAAAGTTCAGGATCCATTGGTGTACATAATGCACAGTGTCAAAGAAGATACTCATCTAAAAATGTTCAAAATGTCTTAGACTCAAGTTTAATTTTAATAAAATGAACTAAACCCATACCAACATATTGGAGGAAAATGCTGTCCCATCTTCAGAGTATAAAGGCGCGTCCACATTACTCATGCTCGTGAGACTCGCTCTTCTCGCAAGTAACGTGGACGATATGACAAGTCACGAGACAAGCAAATTTTTAATTTTTAATTTAAAAACTATAGCCAGTAATTAAAATATGACTATAGCCTACACACACTATGAGTAAATATATGGATCCTCATGCTCCAAAGCCTGGAGAGCAACTGAAGTAGTGTGGACGAGGATTTACGGGCACAAGTGAAAGGCAGACGAGTCTCCCGACGAGCACGAGCATGAGTAATGTGGACGCGCCTTAAGTGTGTTTGATAAGGTTGCAGTTAGGTCATATAGGCAGGTTCAATGGATGGTGATCACTTAGGTCCACAGGAGTGGGAAAGGAGACAGAATCTAATCTGGAACAATTGAAGTAGTTAACAGGAGATGTGAGGAAAATAGCCTTCATCAGGTCCCAAGTTTTGGTACAGGAGGGACACAGAATTGTGACAAAGAAAGATTGTCACTCCGATCCGCCTAAGAGGGATAGAAGACAGTGTGGGCCAGACCAATATTAACAATAAACAGGAATTATCTGCATAAATTAACCAGTCCTCATCCTATGAACTTCATCCCTGAAGATAGTGGCAGTGACAAAGTCAATATAAAGTCCGTCGAGTGTAACAGTGTTTTTAGGTCACTTCTTTATCACATTTGCCTTACATGTTTCGGTTTAATAAAACCATCATCAGAGGCACATGTTACAAACACATGAAAACACTGGCGTTGTTTAAATGTACACAGTATATATGCTGCGTGGACGCTGCTACAAATGTCGATGTGTAAAAGCACAACACTTGCTAGGAATATTGAATGCACGTTCAACTCTCGCATTCCATCCGAAATTGCCCTCAAATTAAACCGTCAATGTTAAAATATTTAAAAGTTTAAAACATTTGAAGTAAAATGTTAGGCTCCTCCTTGTTAATTCATCCCGATGATGGGAGATGTCAGCTTGAGGTTGTATAGGCTTATGGTCAGATGTTTCCTATGCGTTGTGTGTTGTGTACTGCAGTACACAACTGCACAACTGCAGTACTGCAGTGATAAAGAAGTGACCTAAAAACATTGTTACACTCGACGGACTTTCTATTGACTTTGTGATTGATAGTGTAACGGACCAAAAATGAAGCAATTCAAAATAGTGGCAGTGAACTAAATTAAACTAAAACTTTGGTGTGTGCACCTACGAAACTACATGTTAAGATTCAGAAAATCACATTCTGAACAATCACTTCCAAGGAAACCTCAAAACTAATATTAAATCATAGTGTTATTACAACTTCTTCTGTCATATGTCTTTGTTTTTCAATTCATTTTCTTGCAGTATCCTGATTTGGAACCTGAAATGCGAATTAAATGGGAAAAATATGAGGAGTATGTAGATAATATCGTTTCTGAAGGGCTCTTCAATGCAATTGCATGCAGGTCAGTAAATGCCAAGGCATGGTCAAGTCTTATAATGTGATGGTTAACATTGAATTACGTGATAGCATGATCACATGGCTATGAAATGTCTCATTCACACCTAGTTCTCTCTATAATCTCTTACAAATATTGTGTTTCTGTGCCTTATCCATTGTTTTGTTTTTATTTAAAACACACAACGTTTCAGAGATTGGATTCTGTCTCAGTCTTTAGGTGGAACCTACTCTGTTGGGCCCAATGGATAGAGCTAGTCCCTATCTCTGGACAACACAAGATAGGATATATAAACCAAGTTATTTGTGCTGGTGTTCAGAGATAGGGACTAGCTCTATCCATTGGGCCCAACAGAGTAGGTTCCACTTGAAGGCAGAAACAGAATCCTGTCTCCGAAATGTTGCATGCTTTAAATAAAAAGAGGATGGCGAATAATGTCCAGAAATTAGTATACCAACATCACAAACTTTTAGATCTTATTAACTGTAATCTCTTATTTCTTATTCTAAACTATGTATTTAACTTTGATGAGATTTGAGGTTCTGTCAGTGTCTTCTGTGATATGACATGTGTAGTCTGGTAGAAAGGTACCAGTATGCTGGGGGAACCTGTAACCTTCACCTTCAGGGTTCAGTCTTGTCCTCACGTCCAGCTGTCTCTTCTACCCCCAAGACAGAGGCAGTTCATTCCTCTGAAATGGGAAAGATGTACCATACTACAGGGTGTTACATTTCAGAAGACAGTGAACTTCTTATTTCACTCTTCTTTGATGTTTTTCTACATTATTTGCATGAAGCGATTAACAAATGCATAGTGCATAGATTATATACATCTATGTATTTTATTACCTGAATTAATAAATTCTATGTTTATTCCTTATCCTTCCATCCTAGACACTCCAGTCATAAGAAATAATAATATATTATGGTGTTCCTTTATTTGACGTTTTCCCTCATTTAGTGTTCAGTTTCAGTGATTCCAGGGGTACGCGGTACCGTAAATGGTTGAGGCACTATGCTGCAAGCCAGAAGGCCCCAAGTTTGAGCCCCAAGGAGGTGGATATTTTCAATTGATCTAATCCTTCCAGCCACACTAGCCCTGGGGTCCAGTCAGCCTCTAACAGAAATGAGTACCACGTATCTTCCTGGGGGGTAAGGAGTGGCTGGTGCATAAGGCTGACAACCTCACCACCATCTGTGAGCCTTGACGTCTCACAACCCTATGGACCTTCAGCACAGCTTTACCTTTACCTCCAGTGATTTCAAGTTGATAATCTCACTGTTAAAATTTCTCCATTTTAAGATTTTCATTAGCTTATTCTTTAAATCCACTACTTCCAAAAGAAACCTTAAATGTGGATTTCACTGTATACTAAATTAAAGCATCATTAGTTTCACAGGAATTACTTACGTCTTACTTAACAAATTAAATCTTTTTTGTCATGTGTACAGCCTGTCTTTGCTCATGGATGAAATGGAAACTGGGCGTGCAAGCTTTCCTTTGTTCCAAGTGGCTCTCCAGCTGCAAGAACCAGATATTGTGTTTTTGCCATCTCTGAAGGCTGATGATTTAAACGGCTTCTATCACCTGATAGAAAGCCTTCTTAGTGACATCATTCGTATGTCAGTTCTAATTAAGCGAGTTGCTAAATGTCTCTCAGAGGCAAACTACAAGGTAAGTGTGATGGTTTTGTCCAGCGTTTCTGAATCTTTTCAAGTTGGCATTTCCCTTGGTCTCAGAATGAGACTGCATATGCTCCTTTTCAGTGACAGTTTAATTTGTATCTTGAACTACCTGTTGTCATGCATAATAAACACTACAAGACAGCCAAAGAGATTTTGTTCGTATTTGACAAACTTTATTTGTTCCATGCACAGAGAAAGTTGTACAAAATAAAAGTCATCAAGAATATTTTTAATATCTCATGTACCCCTTGTAAGACTTCATGTATACCCTTTGGGGTTTCATGCACCTTCAATTGAGAACCACTGTTTTAGTCAAATTTTAGTATAGTGTGTCCGTTTATGTGAGATATACTGCAGGAAATTCTATGTAGATGTTAGGATAATGTCTGGTAGTGAAGTTTTAATGGATTCAAATAACAGAATCTTAATCAATTTGAAAATTTTCCCATTTCAGACAGATATCCACTTAACACATATGCTTAAATTCATACTTTACTGTTACTGACCAATTTCCATCCTCTCATGTTTCTTTCACTTTGCTTTCCCTTCATTACGGTGCATTTGCAACAGGCATTGAGAAGACATGCATATTAGCTTTGCTATGTCTTCTGACCATCTGTTTAATGTAACAATTGTAAACCACTGAGAACAGATTTTTATAAAATATTATACTGAGAAATTTCACTCACATTTCTCAACACACTCCAATTTTTTACAACTGAACAACAATAACAGACAATATATGATGTGACATGGTAGCAGTGGCATAGTTGGTTGAGCCAGAAGGTCAAGGGCTTGATTCCCAGTGGCATCATTGGATTTTTCAAGTGACCTAATCCTTCCAGCCACACTATGGCTCTGCAGTCGACTCAGCCTCTAACACAAGTGAATACCAGAAATTTTCCTGGGGTCCTGGAGATGAAAGATGACCAGTGTGAGTCTGAGAACACCACACACAACTGTTAGTCAGTTGTTTGGCAAATGTGGGAGCTTGGACATCTCACAACCCTATGGGCCTTCACAGCCTGTCACAGATATATCTTTACCTCTTTTTTCTTTTACCTTTTACATGACAGTACATTCGCTTGTATGAGCCCATAACTCACTAAATCTTTATTGAAGTGAAAAATGTTGTGAAGGAAAGGTGTAGTCTATATGTAAGTCTCACAATTTTTTAAGATAAGTAAATAAAATATATTTTTATACTGTATCTTCTCTTAACTTGAGGACCAATTTTATATTGAAAGTCCTTGCTTGTCTGCCCTACTTATTCTGCGTTATTTGCAATTGCTGAATCTTTGAGTTCTGCCAGTGCAGTGTTAATTATTTTATACCCATATAAATGTATGAAGCAGTGAGTGTGAAATGGTCTGTGACTTACAGAGGGACGCAGAGAATAACAGTGATCTCAAGGAGATGAGGACCGAGACTCTGAATCGTGTGCGCCAGACGATGGCTTCAGTAAGTTATTTTAAAGCTCTTGAGTCATGTATACCTCATAATATCACCATCTTAAAGATATCTTGATTTTTATTTGTAATAAATGTATGACAAGACCAGTGAACTATGTAAAATCGTTATGAGAACGGAAAATTTATGTGATCTGATTTGAGTACACCTCCCTACTCTTGTTTATCTTTGTGCAAACTGGAATAACTCCATAACCAGCAGAGTGTTGAGTCAGATATGAAGGCTGAAATGTAAAGACCAAGGATGTGATAAGGTGCTACCTGGTCAGACTATTGCACCCATCAAGTGGTGATAGAGGGGCATGGAGCACTGGTGGAACGATGATTAGGAGGGGGAAACAAAAAAAAGTTGGAGAAAAATGTGCTTCTGTGCCACTTTGTCCACTCTGAATCTCACATGACATCACCTGGGATGGAACCTAAGACTCCCCAGTGAGAATGATGTGTATAACCACCTGAGATATGGCATGGCTTCAAAGCAGAATATCTGTAGAAGATCTTAATATGTTTTGTAGGCTGTGGAATACAGCAAAGGCTTTGAGCACTATGCTTACCTGTGGTTGGAAGATCGTGAAGTCTTCTTGCAGCAGTTCTTAATATATGGTCACCAGCTGACTTCTGAGGAGGTGGACATCATGACAGCTGCTGCAACTAATGAGGACTTGCCAGGACTCACTGAGTCTCCACCTACCATAAAACAATTCAAAGATCAGGTAATAACACTAGCAGCTTTCTATGGTCATCTAAGACATTTGGTCTCTATTTTTCTCTTTTATTTGGCTTTTGCTTATGTCTTTTCACTTCCAGCTCTCATAAATCTTTCTCTACATTTTCACCCTTCTCTAACTGACTTCCTGATTTTCATCTACGTTTGGGCTTACTTTCAAATATTTTCTTAACTTCCTTTTTTTTGATCCCTTGTAGTTACATTCTCCAAACCACTCCAACTTTTTCCTTTCGATCTCCATTTCTAGGACAGGGGTTTTATATAATTCCCTGTTCACATTTAGCTCTAACATTTCAAACCCCTGCCCAATTGTTTCTCCCTAATTGAAATGGACATGTCTTAAGCAGAAAATTGTAACTCATTTTTCTTACAGCCTTTCCGTAGTCATTTGTATATTCATAAATTATCCATCTGGCAGCCATCTTAGGTTTCGTAACATTTTTTTTACATGGGTTTGTTAGCCTAATGCCCAACTGCAGCCTACAGGACCAGGGTTTAACTTGTATTTTTCTAGCTTGGGTGACCCTACTAGACACTTATGTTGTCACAACCACAGCTCTCCAGATGATCAGGTGTTGCATCTTCTCATCACATTAGCCCAGACAGAGGCCAAATAAGTTTACAAAATATTAATTTGTGGCTATATTGAAAAGTGAACCATATTGCAGCATAGTTAAGATTATGCTCTTCTGGAATGTGACACTGTATAGTCTGGTAGACAGGTATCATCATTTGGAGAAACCTGCTTCTGTCTTCAGTGTAGAAGTGTCAGTCATAAAGAATGACCTGACTTATATGTCATATTGTACTGTCACCTAATATTGGTAGGTAATCAAATCAATAAGGAAGAATAGGAAAACCATAAAGGGACCAGCTTTGAAGACACGTTTGTTGATGGTAATATAACATTGAAATTATCTTAGAGATATATTTTCTGAAAAAATGGAGTGGTTTTAGCAGGCTGAAGGTAGGTTCCAGCCATCAAACCTGTAGCCCATTGCTATACTGACTGAGCTGTGGTGTATGTTATAAACATGCCAAGTAGTCCAACAGATGCCAAAATCTGAAAGATATTATTATCTGTAAAAAACTCGGAAGGGCATAATGTCATTAATGTGAGCTTTAACACTTTACCTTTAATTTCAGATTGATCATTATGACAATCTATATGCAGAGCTTGAGAAAATGGAAGATGAAAAAATTTTTGACGCCTGGTTTAAAGTGGATGTCCGTCCATTCAAGCAAGCTCTGCTTAACACTGTCTGCAAATGGGGGAATTTGTTTAAGCAGCATCTTGTGGACCATGTCATTAACAGGTAGGAGAAATTGGTGACTCAAGTGATACAGTTCATAAAACAGTTTGTTTTAAGTTTTGCTCTGAGCTACTATGTCCTTTGGAGATGTGGCAAAATTCAGATATTTTGGGACTACAGCACCGAATCAGAATTTGATTCATGAGGAGATTAAGAGCATTCCGACTGCGGCGGCCCGGGTTTGATCTCTGGTCTGGTCAAGTGGGATTTGTGTGGACAAAGTGGTGCTGAGGTGGGTTTTCTCCGAGTACTTCAGGTTCCCTTGCCAATCTTCATTCCACCAAATTCTCCATCATCATAATCACCTGGGGCAGGCTACAGTAGGCCAATCAGTGCCTGCCATGCCGAGTGGACCCAGTTGGACTCCACCCCCCACTAAAGAAATTAAAAAAAAAATAAGAGCAGGTTAAATTCAGGTAGTGGTTGCTACCTTTCAGTTTAGGAACTTTTGTCTCCTCATCACCTGTCTTAAAACATAAGAATTAAAATATACAAAACTATAATTTTGCCTGTAGCTTTGTGAACCGTGACTGTTGTTGATCTTATAATATTTCATTTATATTTCTGAAACAGTCTCCAAGAACTGGAAGATTTTATTGTAGAAGCAGACAAGGGTTTGTTGACACCAGTGCGAGAAGGTGACTATGAAGGCTTACTCCAAGTCATGGGGTTTTTGTATCACGTACGTGAGCGTCAAGTCACTACCGACGAAATGTTTGAGCCTATCAGAGAGACAATGGACATGTTAAAGGCATATGATGTTGAATTCTCCGAGGAAACTTGTTTGAAGTTACAGGTAATTTTGTTTTAAATTGTGTCTAAAATATATTTGAGATTTTGGCACCATCAGATAATTATGTCATCACTAGAAGTTCACTAGATTTTATTTTCATCATACATTGGGCACTTAAATTGCCATATCAGAGATCTTGCTGAACATGTGGGACTTTTCCTCCATAACATTGCCTACACAAGGCTATGATGTACCTCAAACTGTTTTAGACAGACATTATTAGTATATTTTAAATACAATAGTACAGTGAATAAACAACATTTAAATGTCTGTAATTTTATTGTGATATGTATACATTTCAGGATCAGTGTGGCACCTTCAGTGACAGTACAGTTTCTTATATCCCTATCCTTAAGAAAACAGTCGCAACCTAATTAAGGTGATATCCTGGTATTTGCCTAGAGGAAATGAAACCATGATAAACCTCAGAGAGGATAGCTTGTATTTTTGACCAGATTTCAACATAGCACCTACAGAATACAAGTCTTGGACATCACCACTTGGCGAAACATGCTTGATGCCCATCCTGTGCCTTTAGAATCCATTTTAATATTATCCTCTCACCTATGCCTAGATTTTCAAAATTATCTCATCCCTTCAGGTTTTCCTACCTAGATTTTGTGTTCATTTATCTTCTCCTCCCTGCATTTATATGCCTTTTCACTTTCTTTGAGTTGATCATCATAATAGTATTTTGATGTGGAGTACAGATTATTAAGCTCCTCACTGAGTGATTTTCTCCCTCTTAGGTCCACATATTCTTCTCAGCGTCATCTTCTCAGGCCTCCTGGATCCAAACGGTAATTTAAAGTGATCCTTCTGCATGATTAAACTGTGCCATGTGTGCTAAATGAAGGTGAATTCATCTGTTACAGGAATTACCTGAAAAGTGGTCCAACACCAAAAAAATTGCCATCACTGTCAAACAGAATGTTGCACCACTTATGGCTGCAGAAGTCACGCTCATTCGCAAGAGGATCACATACTTTGACCTTCGTCAGACTCAGTATCGTGAGAATTTCCGCAAGTCACTTCTTTTCAAGTAAGTCTCTTGTATTATTTCCCACTACCAGCTAGCACTTGTATAACATTAATCATCAAAAAGCCATTTAAATTTCATCAGGTTCTTTTTTAATAACAAACCCTGTTAACAGTAGCTAACCTCACTAAAAATGGGCTGGAGTTCAAATCCCAGTAGGGTCAAAAATTTTCTCTTCTCCACAGCTTTCAAACCAGCTCTGGGTACCACCTAGCCTCCTATCCAATGGGTACCGGGGACTCTTTCCCCAGGGTTAAAGTGGCCAGGACGTGAAGCTGAACACTCTCCTTCCACTAGTACTGAGGTCAAGAAAATGTTGATCTATACATCCACTCCCCATGCACCTTAATGGTGTAGTGCTTAATTAGTTGAGCATAGAGACAACTTTATTTTTTACAAACTTGTTTAATTTTAAGTATATTGTTTATTTTGTGCAACACAGGTTTGATTGTCCGAGTGTATACTTAGCATTGGATAGAACCAATGAAGCCATCACAGCTCTGGAAACCGAAATGGCTACCCTTGCTGAGCAAGCATCTCTGTTTGATGTAAATATTCCTGATTTCAAGCAACTCAAGATATGCCGCAAGGATGTCAAAATGCTAAAGGTTTGAATCGGATTATACATTACCTTGACAAGAAATGTAGAGAAGGGACAGATGGATATGAAATGACTGAAAATTTGCATAACCCACAAAGGAAATAATTGAATTCTATGAATTTGTTTTAATTATGTCAATGTTTTCTGTAATATTTGGGGCATATGGTAGCTTAGTTGGTTAAGACACTATGCTACAATCTGAAAGGTTGCAGGTTTGAGTCACAATGAGGTGGATTTTTTCAATTTACCTAATCCTTCCAGCCTCACTATGCATTGGGTCGACTCAGCCTCTAACAGAAATGAGTACAAGCAGTCTTCCAGGGGGTAAAAGGCGTTCATTGTGTAAGGCTGACAACCTTACAGACATCTGTGATCCAATTGTCTTGTAAATGTGGGAGCCTGGACGTCTCACAATCCTATACTCCTTCACGGCCTATTACAGGGATAGCTCTACCTTTTCATTACCTTTTCTGTAACATTTAAAAATATGCTTTTGTAAAAAAAAATGTTTAAAGTTATCCCCTCCTTTACAGTACAAACATGTTCTTGTCAAAGCCATTCTCACAAAAATGATTAATTACATGTTAACTTATTTGGAAGTAGATCATGGTAAATGCAAAAGAACTTGATCCAAAATGTTGGTGTCACAACCCAGAAGACCACAAATCTAAAAGTTTGTGATGATGGTACATTAGTACAAATCCTGTTTTTATCTAAAAACACCGTCCTGTTTATATTTCAGAACACAACGTTTTGGAGACTACATTCTGTCTCCATCTTCAAGTAAAACTTACCCAGTTGGCCCAATCGATAGAGCTAGTTCCTTCTGAAGATGGACAGAGAATCCAATCTCTGAAACGTGTTTTGAAATATAAAGAGAACTGTCTTTTTAGATAAAAACAGGTCAATGAATGATGTCCAGAAACATAATAATTGTACAGAAGATCACAGTTTGAACACTGTTATCCTTTGCAAGTCTTGCCAATTAACATAGTTTCTATGTTTGTAGACTCTGTGGGACTATGTTCATGTTGTGCAGTCATGTGTCAATGAATGGAAGAAAACACCATGGAAAAAAATTGATGTTGAAAATATGGATGTAGAATGCAAGAAATTCAGCAAGGAAATTCGAGGTGAAGAAAGTGTTTTTAAATTTTTTATTTTTTAGTTCTGAACTGACGTGAAAGATAATCATAAATGTTTTGTTCTTAATCTCATTGTATTAAAGAATTTAGGACACTAAGTGTGTCAATTGCTGTCTTGTGGAATGTGACGTTATGTAGTCTGATAGAAAAGTACTGACATTTTAAAGGAATCTGCTTGCCTCCAGCTGCAGTTTCTTTTAAAATATTAGTAACATTCTACCAGACTATATGATATTACATGCCAGAAGATACAGTAATCCTTGTATTCACTCATCCAGCACTTAATCTGCTTACAGTGTGAAGAATTTACTTGCATGTTGGACCAGACAGATTTCTTAGACAGGGGAGATCATGTCATGCAGAATATTGGATGGGTTTCAGTTCAAGCAAAATCATAGCCTTTAGTAAAATAAGTATTTTGTGGCATGTATATGTTCATGCAGGATATTATTTTTGACAGAATCATAAATTCTCAAATAAATTTTGTTGTACACATATGCTTAAAATTTTTTTATACTGTTCACATTATCAGTCTTGTTGAAGCTCTTTAATGGTTATTTCAGGTTATCTATGTTTGAAAATTATGTTGTTTTGAGATACAGCGCCTTGTACCTTTGATATCTTTGTCAACATTTATGAGATGGCAAGTTCTTCTGAAAAATTGGTAACCGTATACCAGACTACATTATATCACATCTCAGAAGACATTTACCTCCATAGTCACCACTGTCAAACTTGAAATTTCATATAACTTGCATTTGCTTGTGTACAGGTTTAGATAAAGACATGCGAGGATGGATCACCTACGTCAAACTGGAAGCTATGATTAGAAACCTCCTGACTTCTCTACGTGCTGTCACAGAATTGCAGAACCCAGCAATTCGAGAACGCCACTGGCAGCAACTCATGACTGCCACCAAGGTCAGACATTTTTTAATTTTTATTTTGAGCCATGATTCATGACTGTCTAACTTAATGGACCTGAGCCCATCATGAGAAGCAGCTAGTGTACTGATGAAAATCATGAGAAACCCCAGTGAGGATGGTTGCTGTTCTGGCCACTTCTCAAACACAAGTCAGAAGTGTTACTGTCCGTGTCAGCTTGCTTGAGAGTTTGCTTATCAGTAGGAAAACTGTGGTCTGAAGTAATTGATATTTACATTTATTTAAGTGCAAATGGTGTTACAATTCGTTTTTGGCTACTACATAATAATATATCCTTAGTGGCACATTTACTGCCAACCCCATCAAGTAACAGGTTGAAGTTCACCATGTGCCAATACCTCTGTTGAACGATGGGCTGTTGCCACTGTATGTATAATTATTTTCTACCATAGATGTCAGTCAGATGCAGAGAAACCTGGAAGAGTAGTGACCTGTAGTGACTGTTGCTGATATGTTTACTTTTTTATGTAGTAAGATTGGAACTCAATTTTTCATGGCAAAATGGCTGGTCCAACAGGTAAAATAGCAACATGGGTACATGGCACTGGATATGTTAAGATACTGTATTTAGGAAGTGCAGATTACTAGCCTTCTTTTACACTTACCTGCGTCTTTCCTTTCATTCCATGCTACAAGTGCGTAGATCGTCTTGGAGCAAAATACACAGTAAGTAACAAAGAAAAGTGACTTAGGAACTTGTCTATTTAGAACTTCAGAACTGTACATTTATGGCATGTTACCACTACAAAATACTAAGAAAGCAATGGTAATACTTCTCAAGAGATGAAACTCAAATATAGAACAGTCTGACCTACTAATTGTCAGTTTGTTCTTTCACTTTGTTCCACTTTTGTGTGGGTCATCTAAGCTTCTCTGTCTGTCTCTGTCTTTCCAGAGCTCCCTCCCCTGAATTTCCTTCCTTCTGTATAACATCTTTCCTAACCTGTTGTTACCATCATAGCCTTCCTTTATTTTCATCTTCAAACTATCTGTGGAATTCAGTCTTCGTTCATTATTAAAATGTGCCTCTACCACCTTATTCCGTTAAATTTTAATTAATCTTCCATTGTATTTCTTTTTAAGCCCTTTCTAAGGTCTTAAGGTCTAAGGTCTCCTGGCTTTTCTTTCCATAATTCTTAAAAAGTTCATTCATGCTTCACAAGAGGAAATAAGATCTGTCGGTATTCTGATCCTATTAAACGGACCAAAGTTACAATTTCTTTACAAACTTACAAATAAGTATCACAGCCCTCAAAAGATCACTGTAACTATAGCCGTTGCTCAGTAGCAGCTTTAACAGCAGATGTTTCCCTTCTTCTGGGCTCCCAAACTATCTCTGGCCTCAGCTACAGCAACTCTTGACTAACCAAATCATTCACCAACTGACTCGACACCACGCCATAGCTCAAGCGGTTAGTCGCTAGCTTCCCACCGCGGCAGCCCGGGTTCGATCCCCGGTCTGGTCAAGTGGGATTTGTGGTGGACAAAGTGGCGCTGGGGCAGGTTTTCTCCAAGTACTTTGGTTTCCCCTGCCAATCTTCATTCTACCAATTGCTCCACAATCACCCTCACCTATCATCTGGGGCTGGTACAATAGGCCAGAAGTGGCCACAGTACAAGGGACTTAGTCCCACCCCACTAGCAATAAAAAACCAACTCCACTCCACTGACTGACTCCCAGGCTGGTGGTCATCTCACACCAACCTCCTACTCTTCTCACTTCCATCAAAAGATTTGACACAGACTGCTCAGAGGACACTGCCCCAACAGCTCTCCGATTGTTGCATGGATGTCTGTTGTGGCCATTACCCAGCATCAGACGTTGTCTACAGAGCCATTACCTAGCAATGGCTGTTAAATGGCTGCTTATTTCACAGTTGTTGCCTAGCAGCAGATCTGCATGCCACAGTATTATTTGGTGAAGTGTTCAAATTATGAAACTCATCATCAAATAATGTTCTTCATCTTCCCAATACTTTGGTTATCTTAGGTCCATGTGATCATCTGAAAACTTTATTCTCAAACAAAGATTTATGCATGGTTACTTCTACTTTCAGTTCAGGGACACGCCATTGCTTTGGTGTGAACAGAAATCTTATACTCATAACGCTGTGTGGTGTATTCAGTTGGCAAGATTATGATTGTATGATATGGATTTCAAGGTTATGTTTGTAATGGATGATAAAACAACACTAGCCGATTTGCTAGCCCTGAACCTGCATGAATATGAAGAGGAAGTTAAAAATATTGTAGACCAGGGAGTGAAAGAGATGTCTATGGAGAAAGTCCTAAAGGAACTTGATGCTACATGGTCTGGCATGCAGTTCGAGAAAGAGATTCATCCTCGCACTCACTGCACAGTCATTCGGGCAAGTGAGGAGTTGATCGAGACATTGGAAGAAAACCAGGTACCCTGCAGTATGAGGAAATGAAATTATAACAGATGTATTCGATACACAATGACTCAATAATGGACTTTAAGCTGGGTTACTGATTGTTACTAATGAAACGTTCTGAAGGAGCCCTCTGGCTCCATCTTCAGATAACACTATCTGGACTGAGATATTTTATGGTGTTCCTTAGTCCCTCCAAGCGAATGTGAGGCCACAACTGCTTCTTCCCCAATCCTTTAAAGTTTGCTAAATATGATCACTGTCACATATCATTTGATGGTATGTGACCACTACCCTTGACACAGCATTGTTAAATAATCCATCATCTATCAATCTAGAAGCTAGTTGTGTCTCCATTTGCACTCTGCAATACAGTGAGATTCAGATATAAGAAATGTATTCAGTACATACTGATTAATTGATACTTTAAAGTTAGGCTAGAAACATTCAATTCCCATTGAATGTTTCTCAATTTAAGGTTTTCCATCCTTAAATTTTCAATTTCAGTGATTCAGAGTCAATAACGGCAGAGATATATTTCTTCAATTTTAGATTCCCCTTAATCTAAGGTTCAAATCCCCTTTTCTGAAAAGAAACCTTAAATAGGGGTACACTATGTTATGAATTAGATGTCCCATCTCATGAAATAGAGCCCTTGAGAAGGTGATCATTTAGCTGATCAGGATGTTCTCTGCCTTCTCTGTAACCTCAAAGTTCATTACTGTGTTAAGAAGATCATGCCACTGGCTCCTATCCTGAGCCAGGCAAAGCACTGTCACACCAAGTTTTTCTTTATAATTAAACACACCTAAGTGACAATGCACCTCACTTGCAATAAAGTGCATTATTACAAAAGCACCTCAGTTTCTTGCTTCATAATTTGCATCACAAATTCCTCAACCACTGATAATGAACAATATAGTTCTGTGAAGCTTTTTCAGTAAGTAAGGTTCCCTAGGTCATACGAATTAAATGAGAAGTCCTTACAGTGTTAAATGTATAAATGTAACTCATTAATTCCACTGACGTATCATTATTTTTTAACATAATCCCTAATGATATTGATGTTTTTGTCCAACCTTGTCATGAGTTTAAAAATTCTGTGCCAGTAGAAATTGGGTTCTTTCATTCACAGACATTCACCAATGGTGACTTCCATTTCTGCATTATTGTAGGATCAGTGACCTCAGAAATGTTGCTTCAGAAGCAGGGCAAGTGCTACTGCCAAGTACTTAGAAACAAAATGCTTGATTAACACAAATATTACATTCTATGGAACCTTACTTGTTGAACACCCCTCATAGAATATTCACTCATTTTGCTACAGTCACTGTCATATTAATACTAAAGACTGCTCTGATTGAAATAATTAATAACTCTTTAAACTCATAATGTAATATCATAATTTAATTTTAAGTGTTTTCATTTGCTACCAACTCTCAGTTATTAATCCTTTAACACATACAGGATACTACATCTATATAAATATATATCACCTGCTTTAACATTTAAAAGCTCTGAATTTTTCCCACAAAAGTCCAGGTTCAATCCAAGGGGCTGGTACAGTAGGTCCATTTGAGGCCACAGTAAAAAGGGGCTCAGCCTCACCCAACACCTAAAAATAAAATAATGTTTACACTCAAACCCCTCAATTAATGTGACATCTGAACACAGTGTAAACATTTAAAACTCCTCAGCACTCACTTGAGGCGCCACAATAACTCAGCCACTATAGCAATGGGTTATGGGCTGGAGGACTATGAAGTCCTGGATTGATTCCCAGTAGGGATGACAGAAATTTTTTCTTCCCCACAGCATCCAGACCGGCTATGAGTCTCTCCCAACCCCCTCACTAATTAGTAACAGAGGTTATTTCCCTGAGGGTAAAGCAACCAAGGTGTGATTCTAACCATTCACATATATTTACTGCTGATGGTAAAGAGTACATGGATCTATGCCTCCACTGTCCCTAACAGCTTAATGATGTTGTGCTTAATTAAGTTCACAGACAACTTAACCAGCACTGAACTGAGATTCAGATCAAAGAGTGGAAATTATCATGTTTTTTGAGATCATCAGTGAACATGATAGCACCAGGGTGCTCACAGCAATATAGTTGGCAGTCCCATTTCTACTGTGTTTTGCACAACACAAAGGTTAAATATTTTTGGATGTTCAAAATTGTGCCAAATAACAGAGTTGAAGAGAGCAGTCTTCTGGGATGTGGCGCCCTGTAGGTATTGTGTTAACCGACGTTTTGGAGGAACGTATCACCTCCATCTTCAAGGTAGAAGAAAAAAGATGAGAACACACAAGCAAAGAACTGGTATGATCAGGTGCAAATAGACTACATAATACCTACACGGCGCCACATCCCAGAAGACTTCTCTCTTCATAGTCACCGCCGTGAAAACTTCAAATCTTACAACTGAGAGTTGGTCCTGTGAAAAACAAATTGTTTATAAAACAAATATTTACAATCACTGTACAGCATACAGTGGAACCCTCATTTAACGTTCCTGCTTAAGGTTTCCCCTCAGTTAACGTTCAGTGTCAGTCATCTGAAGTCAGTAACACAATCGTGAAATCATCTTCATCTAAAATTTTCCACAGTCTAATAATATTCAAGTCAATTAGTCCCCAGAGGAAACATAAATGAGGGTTTCGCTGTATTAGTGGCATGCTAGTAGTGTACTGGATATGTGCTTTTGATTGTGCATTTACTGTATTGTCAGTGACAGTCTGGCACGAGAGGATGATGTCATATTTTGCTGCACTGCACACCAAAATTTGCAGGTATGTTTGCTTTCACATAGCTAAGATTACAGTTCTTCATTTGCATTCAATTTTTTATAATCATATTTATTTGTGTTCTTTGTGTGTGTTATGTATATTTTACATTATGTTGCCTAGACTTGTACCAATGATTAATTGGAACGTTTGTTCTGATATGTGACTCATTCTGTGTCCAATGGTTTGTGAATATACTTCTCAACATGTATCTGGAGCTGCTTGAATTTGAAATAAATGAACATGAACATGAACATGAACATGAACAGTCTTCTCAAGAAAGTTGACTCATAGTTCTCATAGACAGGTATCAGTATTTTGTAAGAACTTTGCTGCCTTCATATTTTTAACCTGGTCCCCCCAAAACGTTGTTACAACTTGTCAAGTCCACGTGACATTTTACTCCAGGAGAGTAAATCTTAATATTCATTGGTGTAAGAATCTTTAATCTCATATCACATAAGTGTTCTGAAATGCGATTTTGTGTAATGCTTTCTTCTACAGAAGAAGCCTGAAAAATCGAAGGATGCTTTTGGCTTAATTTCATTATTTTGTAAGGAAAAAGTCGCTTATGTCATCATGTTTGTGTCATGTCTGCGGCCCCTCAATAAGTTTAATTTTTGAACTAATTACTGGAGAAAATCACATGACTGTCAGTAGCTGAAAATGGTGCCAGTATGGATGCCATACTGCCAGAAAAGATGAACTGAGTGCAGCTGACAGCAGGTGAAAATAATCATGATATAACGTACTATACTCACGGAAAGATGTCCTAATTCTAATTGTCATTAGTGCTGATGTGGCATGGCATACTGGTAGGAAATATGCCCTAATTTCACTTTTCCATTGGTGAAAGTGGTGCTGATGTAAAATGTGAAAGAAAAGATGCTCTGAAGAGTAGCTGTCAGTAGCTGAAATGGTGCCAAAATGACATGATATACTGCCAGAAAAGATGCCCTAATTCTGCTTGTGAGTAGACAGAAGTTGGTATAACATGGCATACTGACAGAAAATATTCACTGGATGTAGCTGTCAGCAACTGAAAATAATACTCATTAAACTAATACAATGAAACCCCCCATTTAAGATTTCTTTTGGGGAGTAGAGAATTTGTGTGCTAAGGTGAGGAAGATCTTAAACGGAAGAAATTTAACAGAGTTTACTGACTTTAAACTGCTTAAATTGAACATTAAAAGAGCAGAGACCTTGAACCCAGGGACATTAAATGGGAGTTCAACTGTACTTATGTAAATCACGAGGTTCTGTTTTTTCCAAGAAATTTCCTATTGACAAACGATTTTATGGTAAACCTTCAGCTTCATTTTTCCCATCATCAATACCTATTGTTACTATAAGTATGATAAGGTAGACAAAATATCTCTTTATTGTAAATAATCAGCATTTTTTCACAGTTTTTGGCAATTTCCGTTTAACCTTTCACAAATACTGCACTTTTAAAAAAATTTCACAGCAGATTCAAATTTCTTTTGCATCTTCAGTTATGGATTTTGTCAGAATGCCTATGATTCTCATGTATGGATAACTCAGTCTGCCGTCTTTACACTCTAGCTTATCCTAATAAATGAACGCAAAATTGCACCTAAATTATCTAGTAATACTATATGGACATAATACTGGAATTGCTTTGAAACAAACCTATATAATATCTTTCTTTCCCTCACACATTAAGGTAAGGAACCCATTACATCTCTGGTTGAGCTCTCCATCTATTCCTTGGCCATCCAAATCTGTGTCTTCCACAAGGTTTATATTTGGTCACTAATACCATAATTCTGTTCGCCTTAGTGTTTGCTATATGTGCATACCATTTTCATGTCTTTCCTTCCATAATTTTATGTAAGTTTTTAACTACTGCTTAGGGTTTGTTGTCATTTCGTATCTCATTAGACACTCTGGATCCAGCATCTGTACCCCAGTCTGCTATACTAGATCAAGCCCAGGCATTCCCTTTGTATGTTTTAGGAATTTTATATTCACATCATTAAGGTGCTCAGTAGCATAGTTGGTTGAGGGGCTATGCTACAAGCCAGAAGGTCACGGGTTCAAGTCCCGATGAGGACACTGGATTTTTTTCAATTGACCTAATCCTTCCAGCCACACTATAGCCCTGGGATCGACTCAACCTCTAACAGACATGAGTACCAGGAATCTGCCTGTGGGTAAAGGGCGGCCGGTGCATAAGGCTGACAACCTTACCGCCATCTTTGAGCCAGTTGTCTAGATAATGTGGGACCCTCAACGTCTCACAACCCTATGGGCCTTCACGGCCTGGTACAGGGTTAGCTTTACTTTTTTTTTTTAATTAAGGTGCTAACAGAGGCAAGGTAGCTCAGTCTGTATAGTGACAGGCTAGGGGCTGAACAGCTGGGGTTTGTTTCCTGACAGAAGATAAGATTCTTTTCCCACAGTGCTGAGACCAGCTCTGAGGCCTATACAACTTCCTGTTCAATGGATAATAGAAAGGGGGTCTGTTTCCCTAGGAGTGAAACGACTAAGGCACATAACTGACCATTTCCCTCCATTTAGTGCCAAGATCAAGAATGGTGGAGCTATACACCCCCATAATGTCTTCATGCTGTGATGCTCAGTTAATTAAGCACAGAGACTTTACCTCGTAAGGTAGAGGACCAGACCATTACATCATTACACAGTATTTGGGCTTCCTAATTAAACTTCTGAGCTATGTACCATTCCTAGGGCACTTGGTTCCCATTGATATTTTGTGTAATATATCCTAATGCAGTATCAACATGGTCATCCTTTCCAGTACCCATTTACTGACGTGTGTTCTCTGTATTACAGTACCAAATCCTTCCATTGTGTCGGAGGTTTTACTGTACTTCTTTTTCTTTCATGTTGAATAGTCTCCTGGGTCATGTCACCATCACAGCAAAGTCTGGTAAAATGTTCCCATTGTTTTGGAGGAACATTCTGCCTCCATCTTCAGGGTAGTATGGAGATGGAAGCAGCAGGTTCATCTGAAACATCGGTAATTTTCTACCATACTGTGTGGTTTCAGGAACCAGAAGACAGTAATCTTCATATGCACTCTCATGTGAATCTGAGATCATATGCATTGACTCAGCTTTCACCACATGGCAAGAACCAGCCTTTTAAAATATTAAATGTCTTACTTACTTTACTTACTTACTTACTCATCAAGCTGAGCCCTTCTTGAGGAGCGGCCAATTCTGCAGCTATTAAACATCTAACATTTATAAAATTTTGCTGAATTTCTCTTACAGTGTTACAAAGGAATGTACTGTAATTGTAATTATTCCTGCTTTCTGTAGGTGGCACTTCAGAATTTGATGAGTTCCAAGTATATCGCATACTTTCTGGAAGAAGTATCAGATTGGCAAAGACAACTATCCAATGCGGATCAAGTTATTCAAGTATGGTTTGAAGTCCAGAGAACTTGGATGCATCTGGAATCCATCTTCATTGGATCTGAAGATATTCGTAAACAACTACCAGAAGACTCCAGACGATTTGATCAGATCGACAAACAATTTCGGGTAAGGAAATAACTCATATTGTCATTGCTTATTGTGTTTTATTAAGATACTGTAGTAATAAGTTTTAATAAAATTTAATAATGTTGAAATGTGCATGTATGTATATTTAAAATCCCATACTTTGGGCAAGGCAGAAGCACCAAAACTTTTGTACCATGTTCAGACAGTAGCCCAAGGGAAGTACAATTGTTGTAAATTAATTAACTTTAGGGAAATTTAATGGGTTGGATATGTAGCTGGGGTGGGAAAAAAACAGGAGATATAAGTAAAATTCTGGTGATCGTGACTAGCTTCCTGTAATGGCCCCATCTGAGTAGGAACCTTCTTTTTCTTACACCCAGTGAGAGAAACAGATCCATTTTCTGGACTGATGTGTTTTCAAAAAACTCAAAATGATGGGCCATGCACATTATTACATACAGTCATCAGAGATGTTTATTAATATACTTGTTTTATTTATATGACACCAAATATATTAAATGTGATTTGGTGCATATTCACACGCCAACACAAGGTGCTGTTGGAGGAGATGGTGGGGATACTGAATGTGGTGCAAGCTACAAACAGAGCTGGCCTCTATGAGAAGTTGGAGGTACTACAGAAGGAGCTCACAGTTTGTGAGAAGGCTCTCGCTGAGTATCTTGAGACAAAGCGATTGGCATATCCGCGCTTCTACTTCATCTCGTCAGCAGATCTACTTGATATATTGTCCAATGGCAATCAACCAGAATTAGTTGCCAGGTAATAATCTTGTCCTTCCATGTATATATATGAAGGTGAGATGAAAACTCTTAAGTTATGCAATTTTGGGTTTCCATAGTGATTTATTTTCAAACTTTAACATGTTGCATGAATGCAAGTTATGTAGTTGTTAATGACTGGGCAAGCAGTCTTCTGTTTCAGTGTGTAGCATCTGTTCTGTGAATAGTCATAATATTTTGCTGTGGATATATGATGACATTACATAATATAGGCAGTTTGTTTTTAACTATTTATGCATGTTATTCATTGGAGAAGGCTTTGAACATCATCTTCAAAGAAACATTCATTAACATGCAGGGCTGGAAAGAAACATGGGAAAAAGTAGGGGAAGTTAATAATATGAAAGCTTCCCTTCTCTTCATTCAATGATTGTACTCCCATGTAGTTTTACATCATGTGATCTCTGCAGTTGAAACAGTATCATTAAATAACCAAAGAATCTATATTGCTGGATTGTAGGACTTTGTCCATCACCTAACATTCTAAACAGAGCTGTGTGTTACAGCAGTTGGACCTCTTTCCATCCTCAGATGAAAAGACAAAGAGGCATCTACTCAGTTGTGTCTATTTGTGACATTCATTCATTCATTTATTGTAATATTCCATCGATCCATTTGAGGCTACAGAGTACACCTGACAGATATAGAACCAGTCACAAACAGATAACCTATACAATAAAATGCACAATAAATATGTAACATAGAAATTAAGAAGTAAAAAAAAATACACATGCTTTATGGAAATTAAGCATAGGTCAGATGAAACAATAAACCAAACTGATTTATCTTCCTACTTTATACATGGCAACATCTTAAATTTAAAACATGTCTTCAAGCTGGGAAGTAGGTGATTATATATCTTATGCAAAAATAAAGCACCTTATGATGCATAAAACATATGGATAAAAATATAACAGTCCTTCAGTGAATAAAAAGAATTCAGTAGAAGGTAATTTTTAAAGTATTTTTAAATTGATTCTTATCGTCTAACAGTTCTTTTATGTAAGAAGGTAAGTGACAGCTGATATCAATTGCTGAGTGCAGTTTCCAAAAACCATTCTGTTTGGAGCACTCGATAATTGGAAGAGCCTGCAAATGCGGTTGTCGTAAATGGGGCTAGAATTTGTAAACACTATGTTGATACTTCCAAAGTGCTCCTCTTTTACAAAGTAATTTATGGTACCATAAGATATAACTACTGTTCCCAACAGTGATAACGTGAGGAACAAATTCAGGGCCCTACAATTACAATAATCTTTTTTTAATATGTGATGCTCATTCCCTGGGCAGTTGTGCTTATCTGAACTGCCTGTCTAATTCTAAAGAGCCATTCCCATCCCTGGAAATATGCTATCATCACAACACTTTGTAATTAATGTATGAATTGTTTATTTCAGGCACCTCACAAAACTCTATGACTCAATTTCAAAACTGAAGTTTGAACAGTCAGGAGGGAAAAATACTAAGAATGCTATAGCAATGTGGGCCAAGGACGGGGAGTTTGTCGAATTCAGCGGCGTTTGTGACTGTTCAGGCAAGGTAAAGTGTAGCTTTTTCTTGAGTCATTACAGAAATCAGACATCACCATCATAATCAATGGACTGATTGTAAAGCTGCTCACTGAGGTCTGCTTCTAACCCTCTTAGCTGTGATGCAGTCACGGGCTCTAAATAATTGCCAGCATCATGTGTTATCTAAATCTGTTTATATAGTGGAACCATAATGATGCTACATGATGTGGCAACACAGTGCACCAGTAGAGCACTGTATGCCATAAACGCAGCCGGTAGTAATTCTGCTGATAGGTGCATCTGTCAGCATTGCCCTGTCTGACATCAAATGTCATCAGTTTCTTGAATAATATTTTATTCTTTACCCATCTTTTGTATTACTTTCTCATACATGTAGTATAAGAAAGTACAGCTATCATGAAAAGAACTGACACTGAAATTTTGATAGATTTACACGTTTTCAACGTTTTGAATACGAAAGAATTGACTTTTGGATCATCATCTGACTGTCCCTCTCTTTGTGCACTTCACTAGTTCCTGAATGGTTGAAAGGTAAATGGTAAAGTTGTCCTTTTGCTTAACTAATTAAGCACTACAACATGAAGGTGTATGGAAGAGTGGATGTATAGATCCACATTTTCTTGACCTCAGTAATAGTTAGTTCTTGAATGGTTAGAAAGATTTTATTCATTTTCAGTATTTAAAGAATTTATCTATTGTAGGTCAGTGCCCAGTGAGTATTAACTTCTGTCTTCAAATGGGCCCCAAAAATAAAATTGCGATTTTGTCAAAAACGGCACCAATAATGTGATTAAAATCCAGTGACATACGGAGAACATCTCCCTAAATAACATTGCATGGATGGCATCTTATAATGGTACACTCTCTCCTGAACCACAAAATGCAGCTTTTCTCAAATAAGGATTGACCTCCTTAAAGTACAGTGGATAATTTTTTTAATATTTTTCTTAGACAGAGGAAGGCTGTGATCCACTGAGCACATATGAGAAATTATGTGCTCTACCTTTGTAACCATTTTCTTTAATACTGGATGTTATTATTGCATTATGGGTTATGAGTGGAGTGGAGCCTTTGGTTATATTGTCATGTATTATTGACTGTAGACAGGTTTGGATTGGTGAATAGATTTATTGACCACTTACAGGTCACAACTGTAAATAATCATTACACTATTGCTGATTTCTACACTCCAAATCACTCCACGCTAAGTTTTCTCAATCTACAAGTACTTTCAGTAGTCTTTACAGCTCTGCGCAATGGCTATGCTTCTCCCATGTCTTTACTAGATGTTTTCTGGTAATGAATCTTAGCTTCTGTTGTCCGCTGGTTAACATTCCACAGCTGAACTCTCAACTGTACTGAACTCCTGCACCCACTCGCTCAACAGAACACTGTCATTCGAGTCATATAGCCTCGGAGTGGACCTACAGAAAACACTGACTGCATCACCTCTTCTATTGTTGTGTGATGCCACTGCATACGCATAAACTGCGGGTGCTCTGTAGCAACAGCTGTATGCATCATGTATCATGACACCTCCTCCATTGTTGCATGAGGGAATCACCTAGCAATGGCTGATGTTTACAAAGTCACCTCTTAGCAATGGATCAGTATGCCACAGTATATAAGTATGCTTACTGTTTCTTTACAAGAAATGTCTCCATCCATTTAGGTCGAGGTCTGGTTGAATCGGCTAACAGATGCCATGAGACGAACAGTACGACACTACTTTGGTGAAGCTGTGCTTTCCTATGAGGACAGTCCTCGTGAGAAGTGGATCTTTGATTATCCTGCACAAGTGTCCTTATGTGGTACACAGATTTGGTGGACTACAGAAGTTAACATTGCTTTCGCTCATCTGGACGAAGGTTATGAGAATGCACTCAAGGATTATAACAGGAAACAGGTACTTAAGCCATTTTACCTGCAAATTACTGTAACAGAACTGTTATAATAATAGCCTTTATTTTACATTGTGATGTACAATGTTATATTGTTGCATAAAATATCTCCTTTTATTTTTTATTGTCATTTTTATAATTATTGAAAGACTGAACCTTTTGATATTTCATTCTTTAGTCAGGTAACAGTGGTAGATAATGTAATAACAACAATAAAGGTTCTAAGAATTGGAACATGATCTGCATTTTCACTGCAGTAAAACCCAAGCATCTCACATTCCAGATAACTCAACTGAACACACTCATCTCACTCCTTCTGGGGGACTTAACAAATGAAGATAGGCAGAAGATAATGACCATCTGTACCATTGACGTGCACTCAAGGGACGTTGTAGCTAAGATGATCACAGCAAAAGTGGAAAATGCATCAGCTTTTCAATGGCAGTCACAATTAAGGCACAGGTATCATGTAGTACCAGTTTTGGTTGCAATTGAAGCTTTCCAATCAGATTGAATTATCCTATCTGAATACATTTCGCCTCCGTGGTCCAGTGGTCAGAGTTCCTGGCTACATATCCAGAGGTCCTGGTTCGATTCCCGGCACTACTAGATTTTCTGAGAAGTAGTGGGTCTGGAACAGGGTCCACTCAGCCTCATGAGGATAACTGAGGAGCTCTTTCAAGGAAATAGCGGCTTTGGTCTAGAAAACCGAAATTAACGGCCATGGGGATTCATTGTGCTGACCATGCAGTACCCTCTATCTGCTAATGTTGGCACTAACTTCAACAAGCAGCGGTCGTTCAGTCAGTATAGTTTGCTTACGGACTACAACCGAGGAGTTTGTTTTTTGTTTTTGAATACATTACTGTTTCCAGACAATAAGTACATCTTTGCTACTCACTTTGACTACATCTGTTATGCAAGAGTTATATTTTCAGTTCTTGGGCCATTAATTTTGAGCATATATTTATATTACTTGATACAGGAGTAGGCTGTGCTATTAACACTGGTTTCTCAACAGAAAGGCCCAGATTTGATGTCAGGGTAATTCATATGGGATTTATGGTCAACGTAGAGATGTTGAGGCAGAAATTTTCTGAGCACTTTGCTTTCCCTGCCAGTTGCCATAGCACCAATACTCCGACACCTCTGTTGTCCAGAGCTGATGCGCTGGGTCCATTCGAGACCTCAGTATCAAGGTGTGTAACACACTGAATTTATGATTTACTTATGATTACTATTCACAGATGGGACGAGAAGATAAAAGATTGTTTCTGCAACATCTGTGATGCTCAGTTCCGTTATGCACATGAATATCTGGGCAACACACCTCGCCTTGTTATTACTCCACTTACTGACCGTTGTTACATCACCTTGACACAGGTGAGCTTCTTCAGTATAAGTAGCAATGGCAGAGTGAGACTACTCATATGATCTGTTCTTAGTCTGATACAAGCGCCATAGCTCAAGCGGTTAGTCGCTGGCTTCCCACCGTGGCGGCCCGGGTTCGATCCCAGGTCTGGTCAAGTGGGATTTGTGGTGGGCAAAGTGGCGCTGGGGCAGGTTTTCTCCGAGTACTTCGGTTTCCCCTGCCAGTCTTCATTATACCAATTGCTCCACAGTCACCCTCACCTATCATCTGGGGCTGGTACAATAGTCCAGAAGTGGCCGCAGTACAAAGGACTTAATCCCACCCCACTAGCAATAAAAAACAGTAGTAGTCTGACACAAAGTATGAGAATGTGACTGATATCCTTAGAGGCTGTTGCTTTAAATTCCTAATCATTTAACATGTGCTGTAAATGCTTTAATAGCCCAAGAATATTGTCTTCTGAGACGTAATGTTGTGTAGTCCGATAGGTATTTATGGAAGATTTAGAGGAACCTTCTGGCCTGCATCATCAAGGTAAGAATGTAAGCCCCTGTGAAAATATGGGCAGTGGTGTTGAGAAGGGAGGCAAAGACGGGCTAAGAGGAAATTAATTGGGGTGGTGCGAACTGAATGGAATCCTGTGAGCAAGTAAATGGTCAGATTTGTAGGTAGGAAGAAGGGTAAGACATGAAGTGTAAAGAAGTTGAAGGAAGTAAAGATAAAATGATATAATGATATAAACTCCGTCCCAAGTGCAAACAATATATTATGTGTCCTTGATCTTGCTCCTTTACACTACATGTTTCGGCCTCAGACGGCCATCATCAGGTGTACAACGCTCACGTTGCTGTCACACTGCACCCAGCCCAAAATTTAACATTTAAAACACTTTCCTTGTTATTATCAACATCTATTTCGTTGATATCTGTCTGGTTTGTAGATTATTTTACACACGTTAATTTTGACATTCCTGTAGTAGCACTATAATAGCACTATTATGATGGCCGTCTGAGGCCGAAACATGTAGTGTAAAGGAGCAAGATCAAGGACACATAATATATTGTTTGCACTTGGTACGGAGTTTATATCATTATATTATTTATCGTGTAGAGTGCAACAGGATGCTTAAATATAATATTGTAAAGATAAAATATATGAAACAATGGAATGAAATATGGAAATGTTGGTGATAAGTGAAATAAAGTGTGAGAAAATGGAGTAGAAAGGACAGAAAAGTTGCGGTAAATTTAAAATTAAAGACACAAACAAAATGAGAACAAACATAAAATAAGTAAAATAATATAAAAATGAAAGTGAAGAGACAGGTTATGGCAAAAGGAAATGGAGAAAAATAGAATATATGTAAGGGAAGGGAAAATTATGAATGTGCTGAAAAGGAAGTTTTCCGGAATGCTCTAGGAAGAGCTAGGTTGCAGAGGTCTCAAGTGATGGTGTATCCTTAGAAGGACAGTAGATGAAAAGCTTCTGTGAATGTGGTAAATATACTGACCTGTCAGAACATACTTCCACTGTCTTCAAAGTAAACCTATACTAAGCAAGCATTGAGCAAAAGTCAAAAGACCAGAAGATGGAGTCAGTATGTTCCTGTGAAACACTGATGAATTCCTATGGGGGTACATGGTGTCGCATTCCAGAATGTAGTACTCTTTCTTCCATGACTTTCTCAGATAGAGACCATCTCCTCATCTTCCCTTCCTTATATTCCCAGGTCAGTGACTTTCATTTAATCACTGTTTATGTTTTAAAGATGATGATTTGATTAGCATTAACCTTAAAGAATCATGATTTTATTCTATTTTACTGCGATCACAGTAGCACAGAAGACACAGCAGTTCACCTGAATTTCAACCCAACCGATAACAGCCAAGTAAGAAAATTAAATTTGCTTAGTGGGGGGTGGAGTCCAGCTGGGTCCACTTGGCACACCGGCCACTGATTAGCCTATTCTACCTGCCTCAGGTGATTATGATGATGGAGCAATTGATGGAATGAAGATTGGCAGGGGAAACCGAAGTACTCGGAGAAAACCCTCCCCAGCACCACTTTGTCCACCACAAATCCCACTTGACCAGACCCAGGATTGAACCCAGGCCGCCGCTGTGGGAAGCCAACGACTAACCACTTGAGCTATGGCGCAGCCCTTGTCAACTATGTTGGTATATTTTTTTTAGTCCCTACATTTAACCATGGGTGGAGCACCAGCTGGTCCTGCAGGAACCGGTAAAACAGAGACAACCAAGGATTTAGGACGAGCCATGGGCATGATGGTGTATGTGTTCAACTGTTCAGAGCAGATGGATTATAAGGTAATTGATTAATAGATGGCTGGACTGTTTTTGAGCCTCTCACAGCAATGATTCTGGGTTGTAACGTGATGCAGTCAGAGGGAGGCTGTATTTCAGACGAACACATTACCTCCATATTCAGGGTCAAAGAGCAAGCCGAGCAAGAAACCAGGAGAAGCAGATGACAAGGTCAACCAGCTGCTGGCTTCTGCTGTTGGAGATTACTTGTAATGACAAAAGAAAACCACAGAAGACCTCACTCAGGGTAACTTATCTTTGGGCTATGATTTGATCATTGTGTCCACTTGCTGGTTGTTTGCTGAGCATCTCTTTGACCCTGAAGATGGAGGCAGTACATTCCTCTCAAAACATCAGTGAACTATTATTGTACTACATGGTGTCACATCCGAGAAAGTGGTACTTTTTATAGATTCCTCTGGGATCTCGGTCTTCCATAATATACTTTTATAATTGTGTAAAATTTAGAACAGCTGAGTGACTGGCAGATTCTCTAGAAGAACTCAGCACCATGGAGTTAATTAGTTAGTTATAAAATTTAGAACTATTTTGTACTCTTCTGTTGATCTGTTAAATTTCTGAATAAATAAGAAAACTAACAACAACAGACTGTATAGCACGGAATCGTAGAATGTCAATGAATGGTACATTGGAAAGGATTTAGAAGGAAGAGGTCGTGTCCTAATGGAAATGTTACCCTGACACTTGCCTTGAGGGACTGAAGAAACCCATGATAGCCAGTGTCCCATCTGAAATTCTTACCAAGCATTTCCTAAACACAAGTCCAGAGTGTTACCATTAGGCCAACCTCTTCAATGCCAGAAATATTGACAGAAGAATCTAGTCACAATGGTGTGTCAGAAAAATATGTGAAGATGATAGGATAAAGGTAAAGGTAAGGTTCCTGTGTTTAATTAATAAGGTATGGAGGAGTGACGGTACAGATCCATATGTTCTTAACTTTGGCACTAGATTTAGGTGTGCGGTTAACCTCATACCCAAGCAGCTTAACCCCCAGGGAATGAGCATCAGATAGGAGCCTAAGTGAAAGACTTTTTGCCCCTGCCAGGAATTGAACCCTGTCTCCTGGGCTGTGAAGCCCGTAGCTCATTGCTATACCAGCTGAGCTATCCCAGGTTAACTAATAACTTTTCAGTTACTTCCATATTAAAGCATTTGCTATTTATTAATGGAAGTTGGGATAGCTGAGTCAGTATAGTGATGAGCTGTGGGATTGATGACAAAGGAGTAATAGTATTTTGATTCTTGGCATGGCAAGGGTTTTCCTTTTCCTTCACATAACATCAACACTGGCTCTCGGACCAACCCAGCCTCCTCTGCAGTGGGTGCTAGATGAGCTTTCCCAGGGCATAAAGTTGGCTACTCAATTCTATCTTGTGACAAGGTTAAGAATGGTGAAGCTGTACCTTCACTTCCTCATACATCTTCATGGAATTACACTTAACTCATTAAATGCGGGAAAAGGTCGCGGGTTCAAGTCCCGATGAGGTCTTTGGATTTTTTTCAATTGACCTAATCCTTCCAGCTGCACTATGGCCCTGAGGTCAACTCAGCCTCTAACAGAAATGAGTACCAGGAATTAATTAAATAATTTTCCTGGGGAATAAAGCGCGGCTGGCATGTAAGGCTGACAACCGTACCGCCATCTTTGAACCGATTGTCTAGATAATGTGGGACCCTCAACATCTCACAACCCTATGGGCCTTCACGGCCTGTTACAGGGATAGCTTTACTTTTTTACTATTTTTTACTGCTTGTGTACTTCTTAATTCTTAATTACTGACAGAAAGGTATCTTGTAGTGAACGGCAACCCAGGTTCATAATTTATTTGTACCCATCTTGAGCCTAAGGAAAGTATGTCCTGTGAAAGATTCAAAACAAATAGCAGCAGAATCAGAGAGAGGTACATTTTCATTAATATGTCTTTTCTCCAATTGTGTAGTCCTGTGGCAACATCTACAAAGGCTTAGCACAGACTGGAGCTTGGGGCTGTTTTGATGAGTTCAATCGCATCTCAATAGAGGTGTTGTCTGTGGTGGCTGTTCAAGTGAAAACTGTGCTCGATGCAATCAAAAGCAAGAAGACAAAATTCAACTTCTTTGGTGACATAATTGCTCTCGTGCCCACTGTGGGACTTTTCATAACCATGAATCCCGGTTACGCAGGTCGAGCAGAGCTGCCTGAAAATCTGAAGGCTCTCTTCAGGTAAGACGAATAATTCCAGAACCCATGTTCAGTAATTTATAAAGGGGGTTGGAAAAGAATATGAGGAAAAGGAAGGAAGGATATAAAGTGTGGCAATATAACACGCTGTTTCGCCGGTCTTTCAGACAACACTCACTCCTAAGTGAATATCACATTGCTGGTGATGCTGATATTTATACAGCACTCGATGTCCAACCCACTTGCAGATCATCACATGCGCTAACCAGTCACATTGCTGGCAGCACTTGTATTTAAACAGTGCTCAATGTCCAGCTCACATTTAGATCATAACGTGTGCTACCCAATCAGCACTCACAATAGCAACTACAAGTCTAAACTCCTCCCACCATGTTTGGTATAAAAGGCACAGCTCCAACTCAGCAATCATCAGTGACCACATCAGCCAGTCAGCCATCACGCTTAGTCCAGAGCAATCGGTCTTCGGAGTCATCAGCTCTTCACTGCGTCAGGGATGGCTGCCTCGGCTCTCCAGCGGTCATGCCCAATACACCGGGCAACTGGTGCAGCTGCTGCCACTCTGGCGACCGCGCTCCACGACCAGACATCTTCTAGAAACCACACTCTGTGACCAGGCAACTTCCGGCAACTGCTGCACTGCGACCAGACAACTAACTCAGCTGCTGTAACATTAGCCAACACACTGTAGCCAACATCTATTTCTACCGGGCACACAGTCCTACATCACCGCCCAGACAGACCAGCCGAACGGCCATAAAACTATCTAGCGTGGTGGAACAAATGGCCCTTTTCAGGGCCCACAAACTTTCCGAAGTGGTTGTCTATTGGAGTATCGACAAAACCCACAAAAGGTACAAACTGTAGAATTTGAGGTTCTCACAACTGTGGTCTATCTTCTGTAATAAAACACCGTGTAGACCACTGAAAGTCAACTGATGCTTGGCAGGAACATGTCACCTCCATCTTAATTGCAGAATAATGAACCAAGCAAGAAGCCAGTAGGAAACAGGCAGCAAGTAATTCTTGGCTTACCGTCCAACCCTAGAGATGGAGGTCACATGTTCTCCTGAAACATCAGTTAACTTTCAACAGAGGAATGACATTTATACATTATCATTGAATTTTCAATGGGCATTGCATGAATGTAAATTTAATGTGCAGGAAACGTTTGGAAGATATTCACAGGAAAACATTGTTTTTATTATATTCAGACAAATACAGTAGTCAGAAAGCTTTAAAATTATATTCCAGCTGTTTAGAGGAAATGATACGTTTCTGTTTTGTATGTTATTTACATGATTTCATTCTCATGAATCCTTCTTAAAAAAGGGCTCTCAAAATAAGATAAAATATTTATCATGTCAGCAGTTTCATTATCTGCATTTTCATTAATTTATTTATGGTCTAATTGACAATTTTGTCCATAACTCGAACCATACAGCATCAAACAACACGAGGATTAGTGAATAACGAAATCAGAAGTATGTAAATGTAAACAGTTGTAAGCTAGTTTGAAGTATTTGTGATGGTGGGAAATATCTGTACCAACACTGGGTACCTAGCCCTGTGTCTCTGGTAATCAGCCCATAACCTTTGAACCAAGGGCCTTCTGATTATGAAGTAAGGGTGTTGCTGTGATGTTCTGAGGTTCCTTACATCTTGTGTGTTTTAGGCCGTGTGCTATGGTCGTACCAGATTTTGAGCTGATCTGTGAGATCATGTTAGTAGCAGAGGGTTTTCAAGAAGCTCGTATTCTTGCTCGCAAATTCATTACATTATACACACTGTGTCGAGAGCTTCTGTCCAAACAGGATCACTACGACTGGGGCCTCAGAGCCATCAAGTCTGTCCTTGTGGTGGCAGGGTCACTGAAGGTGAGTCCACATACTTTCGATACCTTCTTTAGCATACTTTTATTTCTGATGTAAGGAAAAGAGACCTATACTTATGTAAAAATGTAAAATTTACAATAACAACATGGCAGCCATTCAAAAATTGTCTTTAGTTTTTAATTTGCGGTAATTTAATCATTACAGCGTGGAGATCGCGGACGACCAGAAGATCAGGTGCTAATGCGGGCGTTACGTGATTTCAACATCCCCAAGATTGTGACAGATGATGTTCCTGTATTCATGGGGCTCATCGGAGACTTATTCCCTGCTCTTGAGGTCCCTCGTAAGAGAGACCTCGATTTTGAGAAAATGGTCAAACAGGCAGCTATTGATTTGCAGCTCCAGCCAGAAGAAAATTTCATACTAAAGGTAATTTAATTTTTATTCTGGAACCTCCTATCCTTATTTGGTGTGTTTTACACTGATGGAAGAGAAAGTTGCTTAATGGGGAGTCTCATAATTTTTGTTCTTTAGCAGATGCAGTGGAACCACCTCTATTTGATGTTCTCTCATTTAAATTTCATTTTCAGTGATAACAACTCAGTAATCGCTGTGTTAAATTTCATATGTTTAAAATTTTCCTCGGTTTAGTGTTAAAATCCAATGCTTCCCAAATAAACCTTAAATGGGAGATTCACTGCATCATTAAGGCAGTCAGATCTAGATGAGGTGTTTAGGCCAACTTTTTTTATTAAATTTCAGTAATTTATGGGGACAATCTCCCTAAATATTTGTCATATATTATCTTTTTATGAATGAATGAATGTATGAGTGGTAGGCCTTCTCGGCCCTTGCACCGCGACCTATAGTGGTCTGTCGTGCTTCCCCTTTTGATTATCCCCTCAGCAATCCCACGCTTCGAATGAACAACAGGATTTTGTACGTGGGGGCGTCAAAATAGTCACTTGGTTCCATAAAGTATTGACCCAAGTGACGTCTTAAATAAGCTAAGGCCTCACATTTGCACAGGATATGTGTGACTGTTTCGTTTTCTTCTTGACACCTCTCACAAGTGGGACTATCACTTAGTCCCAGTTTGAAGAGATGTCCTTTGAGGTGACAGTGTCCTGTAAGTAGTTCTACCACCCATCGTAGCTGGTTCCTGTTTAACTTCAACAGTTCCTTCACTCTTAGTAATGTATGGTATGTCTGTGACATTTACACAATTTGTGTATGATAAAACTTGACTTGTTCTATATCTGTAGGCTGTATTGCCAATATGGACTTCTGGAACAAATAAATTATAATAAAACTTCATAGGTGGTATCTTCAGGAAAATAACAGGATACCCTTTCACAATCCAGATGCCAGTTGTCAAATTTCTTGAAAGTGGCCTGACCAATTTTTATTTAATTCTAATAATCTATAGTGGCAGTGGACTTAATAATATAGCTTATGCCCAAAACACCCAGATTTAACAGGATTCAAACAAGGGGTCTGTAACTAGGGCTCAATCACAAAATGTTGTTTTTCTTAAAAACGACTGGAACTATTTTGATTAAATTTCACCTGTTTGTAGTACTGGATACTGATGCTCCCAGATGAAAGTGTTGATTTTAATAGACCAAAAATAACTTTTATTTTTAATGATAAATATGTCAGATCAATTAATCACATGAGAAAGTACATGCAACATCTCTGCAGCAGTCTCTTTATATGTTAACAATCAAAGACATGGTAACCTGTAACACTCTGGGCTGAGGACTTGGGGACTAGTATGTTAAGGAATTAATCCTCTGTGTTTTGTTCATATCTTTTGTAGATTGTGCAGTTGGAAGAGCTCTTAGAGGTTCGTCACTCTGTATTCATTGTTGGAAATGCAGGGACAGGCAAGACAATGGTATGGCGGACACTGTTTAAAACTTACCAGAACCAGAAGAGGAAACCCGTATATAATGATCTTAATCCCAAAGCTGTCACCAACAATGAGTTGTTTGGCATCATCAACCCAGCTACAAGGGAATGGAAAGATGGTAGGTATATTCTGCATAGCAAAATTAACTTGAACACTACATATTTCAGAGCTTTGCTTTATATTGAAATCCCAATTAAGGATTCATTGGGAACCAGTAAATTGGAATAAAGCAGTATCTTAATGTATGACCTTACAACTTAAAAATATTGAGACTTAAGAACCCATTAAATTATGTGTAGTACTTGAGGTTCTCATATTGGTGGTTATACCTCAGAAGATAGTATTCTCCATTAAGTTACAATCATGCCTCAACCTACGACTTCCAAATTCATGAATTTCTGGACTTAACAATCCCATTAAATTACAGTCAATCCCTGACCTATGACATCCAGCTTTATTCATTTCCAGACATATGGCACCAGTAAATTAAGACCTGTGAAACTTATGCTCCAAATTATCACTTATGATTCAGAACTCAAATTTCTGACGTATGCCATGTTATTATGCTCTGGTGACTCAAATTCTGGTCCTTAGCAATCGTGGTAAAATATTAATTTACTTATTCTTAATGTTAGTTGAAGAAGTGGGGTAAGACTGAGTCCCTTGGAACTGTACACTCAGAAGGGCCTATTGTACTATCATTCAGTGAAATATGAGTGTGGAGTATTTGAGGGAATAACTAGCAGATGAAACCAAAATTCTCAAGGAAACCTGTCCCAGTGCCACTTCATCCACCAGAAAGCCAGCATGGGTTACAGAGAGATTGAATCCATGCCTCTGTGGTGAAAACCTATGACTAACCACCTGAGTTATATATATCATAGCCTGCTAGATGGAGATTATTGTTAAACCGGACTACAAAATTTAATTGATGAATCATTTTTAATCATTTCTAATGTTATCTTGTGATAATTTCATGACATTGTATAGGTTTGATTCCTGTGCTGTTCCGAGATCAAGCCAATATGTCAGGCGATGGACCAAAATGGATTCTATTAGACGGCGATATTGACCCAATGTGGATTGAGTCACTCAATACAGTGATGGATGATAACAAGGTCTTGACATTGGCCAGTAATGAGCGTATTGCTTTGACAAAGATGATGCGTCTCATATTTGAGATTGCCTCTCTGCGAACTGCAACCCCAGCCACTGTATCAAGAGCCGGTATCCTGTACATCAACCCTCAGGATTTGGGCTGGAATCCGTATGTATCAGATAAGATTTCAGATGGTCAGGTTCTGGTAGTACCTAAAATTTCTCACTGTGGTGTCTTGTATTTTGTGGCTTACCATTTGTTTTTCTCACATTTTCTTTTCTTCCTTTTTTCCTTCTTTCTTTATTTCTGTTGGATTTTAAAATGTTGTGTTATGATTTATTTGTTCATTAAAAATGAAACTAAAAATTTGATAAACCTATGCAAAGTGCACTCCATACTCTATTTCAGTCTCCCTTTACATGTGCAAATTTCATCTTGGCTTGATTTCAACTGATTTTTTTTTTTAATTTAATCCTTTTTTACCGAAGGATAATACTTATGAATTTATTTGACTAAAACAAAAAATATTGGGACCAAAGAATCAATGTTTGATTCCCAGCAGGGGTGAGAAATTTTGTCTTTTCTGCAGTGTCCAGACCAGCTCTGGATCCTGCCCAGCGCCCTATACTGAGGGTATTTTCCCTGGGGTAGAGCACCTGTGTTAAGAAGCTGACTTCTCACATCCATTTGATGCTGGATTTAAGAATTCTTGGAGCTATATCTCCACCCCTCCTGCCTCTTCATGCCATAGTGCTTAGTTAAGTATAAGGAGATTAGGATTTGCAAGCAGTTTAAATGAAACAAAGTCAAAGAAACTGAAGGAGTAACAATAATTTTGGGATATACTATTTCAGATTATGAGATGACTTTTGGGAATGCAAGTGCTGAACAAAATTGGTGATCTTGTATGTCTGTTATCTGATTAGCTCCTTTATGTGAGTTTTCTTTCCCAGCAAATAAAGCCATTATCGTTAATGTCAAACCGAATAGGATGGTCAAACAGTGACACTAGGCTTGTATTTAAGGTGTCTTCAGTTGAAATCTTAGCTAGGACACTGGCTGTTCTGACTGAGGTGTTCGTGTGTTTCATGTGCTTCAGGCAAGAGCCAGGATAGTACCATGATTAGACCATCACTGGTTCCTTCCAAACCATTTCAAATTTGTCGATTCTCATATTATCTGAAGCTATATAGTCTTGCTACTGACAGCATCATTAAATAACCAACTAAATAAATTTGTGTTGAGAATTAGGATAAATGACATATCAGATGATTGTAAATAAAATTGACATGCAAGTAACAGATTCCGTATATCCGTTGTGTCCCCAGTTTTGTGACCAGTTGGATTGATAGGCGTGAACAGCAAGCCGAAAAGGCAATACTTACAATCCTGTTCGATAAGTATGTGCCTCCATGCCTGGAAGTTTGTCGTTCACGATTCAAAAAAATTACGCCCATTGCTGATATCTCGCACGTCCAAATGTTGTGCCATCTGCTGGAGTGTCTACTCACAGCATCCACCACTCCAGTTGACTGCCCCAAGGAATGGTATGAAATATATTTTGTGTTTGCATCTGTGTGGGCATTTGGATCTGCCATGTTTCAAGATCAGGTTTGTATATGTATAAATTGTATAGCCATTTTTATATGTAATTTAATGTTCATGTATATGACATTAGTCTAAGCCAGGCAGTGTTTGTCAGTTTGTTGTTATGTCATTTCCATGGGAAGCAAACGCAAAACTATTCACAGTTATTTGTGATATGAGCAGAAGATTTCAGCAGTAAATGTATGTTTCAATTAATATTAGAATTTCCGAAGTCAGTATTACTTGTGCTGGAAAAGGCACCGCTAGACTGTTATTATTATGCTCTTTCTATAGCTAGTAACAGGGGCAGTGAAGTTTTTTCCTTGGATTTTCAGTGGGTATTCTGTTAGTCCTATATATTTATAAAAAATTATGTAATGGTTAGATTAAGTTTCTGAATGTACACAATTTTTTTTTACAATGGCAAGGAATTATCAAACGTTCACATGTTGCATGAACATAAATTATGTAGCAGGTCATGAACAACCAAGAACTTGTCACAATTTATCATGTCTTTCTTTGTGAGTACTGATAAAGTTTTGATGCGGCTATGTCAAATTCCGTTTATAAGTCCATTTTTATTTCTAGGTGATTGACAACCGCATGGAGTTTTCTAAATGGTGGACAAATGAATTTAAGACAGTGAAGTATCCAGCACAAGGCACGGTTTTTAACTATTACATAGATCATGAAACAAAATGCTTCCTGCCATGGAATAATATGGTCACACCCCATGAGTTGGACTATGATATTCCACTTCAGGTAAATATAACAAATTCTAAGCTCTCACAGAATTGACTATGAAGACTATGATCCTCTGGGCTGTAACACTGTAGTTCAGAGAGAGTGCATTGTATAAGAGGAACAGATTGCCTACATCTGCAGGTTCAGAGGGTAGGTCAAGCAAGAAACCAGCAGAAGCAGGTTGAAAGCTTAGCTTAAGGGAGATGGAGGCTCATATTCCTCGAAAACATTTGACGCACTCTGAATTATAACACAGAAGACTGAATTCTTCAAATTCTAACCTGAAATGTACAAAGTTTATGCTCAGAGTTACTGGATTTTTAGACTGTGCTGTTTTAAATAGAACTTTCTACCTTCAGCTAATTTGTACAAACAGATTAAATTGAATAAATGTCTCAGTTTTCTTTTAATATCAATTTTTTCACAATCCTAGTGGTTTATTAACCCTTTAATCTCCACATTCTTCAAGCACTGACTAGACCTTAATGTAAGTTTCTTGTATGCCCAGGTGCACACATGTATTTGAGCTAGAATATGTGCTCATGTGTGTGTATGTGTGGAATGAAAAGTCTTACAGTCTCTTCTTTGTTCCCACAGTCTTCCTTTTACAGTCATCTAGTCATCGGCTCAATTGATTTTTAAGTAGTACATAACCCTGAATGTCTTGTTAGAAGTATGATATTGTATACGGATCCATATTGGATACAGGTCCAGCACCCTAACATTAACAGACACCTGATGATGACACAATAAGAGTCGAAACATGTGATGCCTTTAAGATTTATGGCTTTAAAGTAAATATTCATTTTTATATCTCTGAAAGAATTGTTGTATTGACAGAAACAATAAATATTTTATGCACACAACACAACAGGATGAAGCATATAAAGATTTCTTTACGATATTTGTTTCCAGGTATCTGTTACTTTGGAGAAGAAAAATCTGTTCTTGATGTTGGTCAGACCATAGTAATTGCAAAATTTATATTGTTGTAGTGGTTAGTATTGCTGTTACCCTCAAAAAAATACAATATACCTAAAATTAATATATTTTTTATGTGGCCTTGTTTTGTACAGGCTACTCTAGTATCCACATCGGACACAACTTGCATTCGTTACTTCATGGATCTACTGATGGCAAAGAAGCGCCCCGTAATGCTCGTTGGACCAGCAGGTTCTGGAAAGAGTGTCATCATTGCTGAGAAGTTGCTCTCCCTGCCTGAGTCATATGCAGTAACGAATGTTCCGTTCAATTTCTACACTACTTCAGAAATGTTACAAAAAGTACTTGAGAAACCGCTGGAGAAAAAGGCTGGCAGAAATTATGGACCACCGGGCAACAAAACAATGGTTTACTTTATAGACGATATGAATATGCCTGAGGTCGATGCATATGGAACCGTACAGCCACATACATTAATCAGACAATTCATGGATTATGGACACTGGTATGTGCATTTACTTATGTACAGTTTCTTTATACTTATGCTCTTTGGTTCTGTAGTTCCCTCGGAACCTTGAACTCAAAGAATACTGTCTTCTGAGATGAGCTTTCTGAGGTGTGCCAAGGTCTTATCTTCTTGAACTGGGATGAGGAAAGTCTGAATCTTATTTATGTATGTCACAATCATGTCTGAATTTCTGCAGGAAACTTAATGCAATTGACTGGTTAATTGGCCTGTAATCTAAATCTTTGTTATCGAATTAATCTCCAGTAGCATTCTAAGAAAGATGAGTCTTTCCACAGATTAACAGCATCTGCACTTTGTCTGCAGTAATTACTGACTGATCTATTTCCATATCTCAGCTGCAGAGAGAAGAAACAGTTCTGTGATGTAGGAATTTTGAGCCACTTTGTATACTGACAATGTAAGCAGCCATATCCCGAGTATCTGTGATTATTTGGTTTATAATTTGTAGACTTCTCATATTCTTTCATGTTCCAAAATTAAATTTATGAATAAATAGTTATTTAGAGTCAGTGAGCAGAGGAATACCCTACATGAAATAAGAAAATGGAAGGCTAATTGGATTGATCATATCTTAAGCAGTAACTGCCTCCTAAAAGAAGTTCTTGAAGGAAAGATAGAGGGGCGGATAGAAGTGACCAGAAGACGAGGAAGAAGATGTAAGAAGATGCTGGATGACCTTGGGGACAGAAGAGGATATTCTCATTTGAAGGAGAAAGCTCTAGATCGCATTAAATGGAGGAACTGTTTTGGAAGAGACTGTGGACCTGTCATCTGACAGATTACTGATGAATGAATGAGTACATTATTATTTGTCCTGTGCAATGTGAGAGAGGGAACCATTCATTAGAAAACCCTCTGCTCTGTTACTTATCTCTGAAACAGGAAATGCCAAAAACCAGTGTCTTGAGTAACACATTTAGAAACATCATTAAAATATACATTTCTGCTGTTGTAAACTGTTTCAGGTATGACCGCATTAAGTTGCAACTAAAGGACATACATAACTGTCAGTATGTATCTTGTATGAACCCAACCGCTGGCAGCTTTACCATCAACCCTCGTCTGCAGCGGCACTTCTGTGTGTTTGCAGTGAATTTCCCATCAGGAGAATCACTGGCCAAAATTTACACAGACATCTTGGTTCAGCATCTTTCAAATTCACATCTCAAGTTTCCGCCGACTGTAGCGCGAGTCGCACCTTTACTTATCACGGCCGCAATGTCTCTCCATCAGAAGATGGCACAGCAGTTCCTGCCAACTGCTCTAAAATTCCATTACATTTTCAACTTGCGAGATCTTTCCAACATATTTCAGGTACAGTGACATTTTATAATATTTTCCATCGCTTATGTTACAAGTTAATAACAGTAATTAAATTGAAACGCATTTACACAGGACTTACTTACTTACTCATGGAGCTGAGCCCTTCTTGAGGAGCCACCAATTCTGCAGCTACTCGAGAATTTCCCAAAATTTTATGGAACCCAAATGTTCGTTACTGTGTTCACAAGAGACCTCCACTGGTCTGTGTTCTGAAACAAATAAAATACACTATTGTGCTTGGTCATGTAGTGGTTCTGATCCTTGCAGGGGATGCTCTACAGCATTACTGAGACCTTACCGAACCAGACGGAGCTCGTACGGCTCTGGATGCACGAAGCCTACAGAGTGTATGGAGATAAATTGGTTGATTCAAATGATGTGGACAACTATGAAAAGGCAGTTATTGACACTATTAAGAAAACAGGGTTTGAAGATTTGGATGAAGGACAACTATTTTCAAAGCCACTCATATATTGTCATTTTGCTGAGGGAATTGGCGAATCCAAGTATCTGCCCATCAGAAAGTGGGAACAGCTGAACAAACTTCTACATGAAGGTACGCAGCTGTTGCGAAGTGAAGCATAATATGTGTCAGTATGGTGTACATATCTAAGTCATCCTGAAGACGGTTAGTTCATATGTATTGATTTCAGGCTTTTACAGTGGTTTGCTGTTTGCGTTGTGTTAAGCTGAGCTGTATTGCATTGTGTTGTATTGAGTTTTTAACAGTCTCACTGCTTTCAGCTATGTCCCAGTACAATGATCTTGTGGCAGCGATGAACCTGGTGTTGTTTGAAGATGCGATGTGTCATGTGTGCCGAATCAGTCGCATTTTTGAAGGACCAAGAGGTAATGCACTTCTGGTTGGAGTAGGAGGTTCTGGAAAGCAGTCTCTGTCCAGGCTGTCAGCTTTCATCTCATCACTCGAAGTGTTCCAGATTCAATTGCGGAAAGGATATTCCATCCAGGTAGAGACTATATATCATGATTCTCTGTCAACAGTTTTGTTCCAGAACTTCATTCTCAGAATTTTTATATTATTATCGCAGACGTATAGATAACACTTAAGATTATAATTTCTCTTAGATTCTTTCATCTGTATGCAATGCAAACACTTTTCAGTGTTCCTCAATTTAGGATACTCCCTCATTTAGTGCTGAATAACCTCAGTATCATATTGCCTCCATGTAAGATTTTCCTCAATTTAGTGTTCAGACCCATTGCTCCCAAAATAAACCTTAAAAGGGAGTAACGCTATACAAGAACCAGGAGTCAGGACCCTGAAGATAGAGGCATCAGGTTTCTCTGTAACATTTGTAACCACCTGTAAGTGGGGATATTGTGACAGCACAGGCAAACCAAGCAGCCACCTCAGGTGGCACACTTTTAGCAACTGCATATATTAAAATGTCCTTTTGCTAACGACATTTCTATCAGATTGTGTGAGAATTTTGTGTTATTAATTGTGACAAACCACTAAGAAAATGTAACTGTTTTTAACTAATGGGGAGAGGGATTTATCATCCACTGAAGTGGAATTTATTCTTGCAGTAGCCCTGCCTACAGACTGAAAGACCAGAGCATCAGTTACAATGTTAGCCAGGAAATTGGCTATCCCATCTGAGGCTTTTCATTATTTTCCTAAGTCCCTCAGTGTGAGTAATAAAATAATTACCTTAAACTCTGCTCCAACCTTATCCATGCATTAAATCTGTCGCTTTTCATATATATACTACCTAACATTTGCAACTATGCAGCATCATTAAACTGATCACATTATTATACAAATTCTTGTCTGGTGCCAGCTACCATATGAGCTTAGATAGCTGAGTCGACATAATGACTAGATCATGGACTGGACGGCCAGGAAATCAAAGTTTGATTCCTCATAGGGACAAGAGATTTTTGTTTTCTGCACAGTGTTCAGGCCAGTCATGGGGTCCACCTTGTTTTCTATCCAAGGGGTACCAAGGGTTCTTTTCTTTATGATAAAGCAACCAGGGCATGAATCTGACCAGTCACCTCCAGACAGTGAAAAGATTAAGAATGCTTGGACCTATACCTTCACTCCCCCAGATGTCTTCATGGTGTGGTGGGCAGTGGTGCATGGGGACCATTTTATCTTCTCCTTTACTATCTACCTTTTGACATCAGTCACTGTTCACTGTTTATGTTCTAGTAACTAGCCACTGTTTAAACCTACATAATTATTTTAGGCTTGGAATTTTAATGGACCATTATGTTAATATTTATAACAGTGATTCCTAATTGGGAGGTATTTATACCCTTTAGGGGATATGTGAAGCATCATGAAGGGGTACATGATATGTATTTCATGCACTGTCAAGAGTGGTCTTAACACCTTTCCTTTAAACAGAATCATCTCTGCATGGAACAAATTAAGTTTGTTGAGGATCAGAAAGGTCTGTGCATCTTATTGTGTCTAATTTTCAGTAATGCATTTTTTTAGATAAATTAAGTTTTCACTGAAAATGGCTACATGAAGTTCACTCTGAGACCGACTGGTACATCTGCTGAAAATGATTCATAAATGTTGATTTAGAATGTATTGATAAAATGATCGGTCAGCACACAATTATTTAATTTGATTTGTATTTCAGGATATGAAAAATGATTTGTCTGGATTGTATACTAAAGCTGGCCTGAAGAGTGTAGGAATAGTTTTCTTAATGACAGATGCACAAGTAGCAGATGAGCGTTTCCTTGTGCTAGTTAACGATATGTTGGCGTCTGGTGAGATTCCCGATCTATTTGCTGATGATGAAGTTGAAAATATAGTTGGTGCCCTACGGAACGAGGTGAAGAGCATGGGCTTGCAGGACACAAAGGATAACTGCTGGCGGTTCTTCATCGATAGGGTGCGTCGTCAGTTGAAGGTGGTGTTGTGTTTCTCCCCGGTTGGATCTACGCTTCGTGTGCGTTCCCGGAAGTTCCCATCTATTACAAATTGCACTGCTATCAACTGGTTTCATGAGTGGCCTCAGGAGGCACTTGAATCAGTGTCTACTCGATTTCTTCAAGAGACTGAAGATCTCCCTGAAGAACTCCGAAGATCTGTCTCACTCTTCATGGCATATGTCCATACATCTGTCAATGACATGTCACATGTAAGTTGCATGTTTATATTTATATATAATTTTTAATATTATTTGATGATGATGGCGACGACAGCGATGGCAGTGGCAGCAGCAGCGGTGGTGGTGTATGCCTAGGTCTTCAAAATTGCTCCCTCCACTCAGGTTATGCAACCAAACGGTATGCATTTCTTTTGTCCTGTAAGTCCTGCATGTCTCACCCTATTCAATTCAATTCAATTCAATTTTATTTCATCCATGGATCATTATACATGATATGGGACAAGTCAAAGATTAATATTAATACTAATACTAAATAATAATAAGTATATAATAATACAGAAATAATATGACAATATAATAATACATGATAATAATAATAATATAGCAATACAGAGATAATAATATGACAATATAATATTGATTGATTGATTGATCCACCTCGTCACTGCAGATCACTGTACATGATACATGACAAGTCAAGCCAATTCTGAACATTAACAATCCGATACATAAGCAGATTAAAATTACAATAGTTACAATTCCACTGCTGATTACAATCTAGAACCGGCTAGATACTCCCACTTGTGGAGAATTTGATATCCTCTGTGACATAACCATCTGAATAATATTTCTTGAAGAGTATTCAATTCAACATATTGCAGCTTTGGTTAAGTTACTTTAATTGTATTTTTTTTTTAAGTTTCAGTTCCGTTTGTTTTAATTCAAAGTAGTCTTGAACGGCCACTACAGTGAGTTGAACTTAAATCCATTACTCAGTCACCTGACACAGTAAGTGTAGTTCAGTGAACTTCAAATCTTTGACCAGTAAGTAGAACATCACAGTTGAGCGGTTAACGCACTTTCTTCATATTATAGAAGTCCCATATTCACTTCTGTTCCTAGAGACTGGCTTCTCTGACTGGATATTTCTCGTTGTTTTGCTCAGTCCCTCCAGGCAAATTTGAGAATATTCAATTATGCCATGACCACAAATTTCCTCTTCCTTTCTAGCCTAAAGCTGCCTCTATAGTCTAGTGGTCAGAATTCCTGGCTACAGATCCAGAGGTTCGATTCCCAGCGTTACCAGATTTTCTTACAAGTAGTGGGTTTTGAACCGGGTCCACTCAGCCTTGTGAGGATAATTGAGGAGCTCTTTCAAGGAAATAGCGACTCTGGTCTAGAAAACCAAGATTAACTAATGGCTGTGGGGATCCATTACGCTGACCACGCAACACCCTCTATCCGCAAAAGTTCACACTAACTTCGCTGACAAGCGGCAGTCACTCGGTTGCTATAGTTCGCTTGCAGACTACAGGCCACGGATTTTCTAGCTTAATCCTGTCATTTGATTCTATATAATCTTAGCTATTGAAATTAGTGTTACATAAACCAAGAATACATTGAGAATGAATAAATAAATAAATACATAAAAAATAAATGTGATAAATGTGAGACTGTAACCAGTTGGATTCTGATACCTGGGAGACACAGATCTGGAGAAACAAAAGATGTCTCCACCTGGAGCAATTTATTGTATGGATGCTGGTTTTATTTCATAGTGTTTCAGTGTTGTTGTTCATCCTGCTCTTAGGTATTTGCAGCATGTGTAAGCCTGAAATGTCACCAAAACCCACTTCCACATGGTGCAAGTATCCAAGAGTACGATTAACATCAGTGATGACGTTACTGTCAGATTTTTCTCTGGTTACTTTTCTTTCTTGCAGAAATATCTGGAAAATGAGAAGCGCTACAACTACACGACACCAAAGACATTCCTGGAGCAGATTAATCTATACAGAAAACTTTTTACTGAAAAGACAGAAGATTTGAAAGGTCGTATTTCACGACTAGTAAACGGTTTAGAGAAGTTGAAAACAACTGCAGTACAGGTGGATGAGTTGAAAGTGGTCCTTGCGGCTCAAGAAATTGAGCTGCATGAGAAGAGCATAGCTGCTGATAAGTTGATTCAAGTATGAACTGTTTTCATACTTATTCAAGCACTAACATTTCTGACTTTTATGCAAGAGGTGTCCAATTCAAATCTCAGCCAGGTCATCATCTACATTTAACTGCAGATATTTTTTCTTACCTTTCTTCAGTCACTCTGTGAAAGTTCCAGGATTGTATCTTGATTAGTTCACACCCGCTTCCTTCCAGTCCCATTCCACTATATCAGTCAACCTACAATCTAATACGTGGCCTCCGTAGTCTAGGGGTAACGTTCCTACCTCATGACTCAAGGTACGCGGATTCAAACCCGGCGGAGGTCGTGGAATTTTTAAGGGCGGAAAAATTCAGGGAGCAAGTCCTCCAGGAGGGACTTTAAGCCGTGGGTCCCGTGTCGTAGCTTTACGGCACGTAAAAGAACCTCATGTCTCAAGGAGGCCTCTGAGCTAAATTATCGGACATTTACTGCCCAAAAAGAGTCTCTAACGCCTCTGGTAGATGGGGGAGGCATCAGGTACCGCTGAGCCAGTAGAGGCCAAACTCACTGGCTGAGTCGGGGCTGATGGCATGCACCAGTACTGGTAAGGTATAGAGACTGGTAGAATAGCAAAGGGGGACATGCATTAGACGACCAGTCACCCCCTCCAACAATAACAATAATACAATCTAATACCATATGCTGTCAGTACTTACAGCATCATTAAATTACCCATGAAAATGTCATCGATGAAGTGTAAAGTATCTAGGGAATTCTCATTGGCCTTATTACCTGATTTGTTTTGTTTCTATACATTCTTAAAATTTCACAAGACACTGTTGCATTAATAATTATTTAAATCAGACATGATCCTGGGGTCAACTCAACGTCTAACAGAAATGAGTACCAGGAATCTTCCTTGGGGTAAAGAGCAGCCAGCGCATAAGGCTGATGACCTCACCGCCATCTGTGAGCCGATTGTCTAGAAAGTGTGGGAGCCTCGACGTCTCACACCCCTATGGGCCTCCACGGCCTGTTACAGGGATAGCTTTACTTCTTTTATATATGTGTATATAAAATCATAGGATACTAATCTTCTCTTTTCCCCCCTTCTTTGCAAAAGGTTGTTGGCATTGAGACAGAAAAGGTATCAAAAGAGAAAGCATACGCAGCAGAAGAGGAGAAAAAAGTGCGAGTGATTGAAGAAGACGTGTCCATCAAACAGAAAGTGTGTGAGGAGGATTTGCGTAAAGCTGAACCGGCACTCATAGCAGCTCAAGAGGCGCTCAAGACACTTGACAAGGGGAACCTCACAGAGCTGAAGTCCTTTGGATCACCACCACCTGCCGTGGTGAACGTGACAGCAGCTGTGCTTGTCCTGTTTTCTACTAAGGGTCGTATTCCCAAGGATCGTAGCTGGAAGGCTTGCAAATCAATGATGGGAAAGGTGGATGCCTTCCTGGAGAATCTTAAAAATTATGCAAAGGAAGATATTCAACCTGATGTGTACAAGGCAGTTCAGGTTAGTAAATCCTTAGATTGTCAGCATATTTAGAATATACCTGTTCTTTAAATGTAGTGGCATATAGACCCATTGCTAGGCAACGGCTCAAGCACAACAGTGGAAATACTGTTGCAATCGGTGTTTTCTATGTGGCCCGCACTGATGCTATGTCAATTGAAGTGAAGAGAAGTGGTTGGTAAGCAGTCAGTCAGAGGACTACTCCAGTTCAGTATCCATGATGTGTATGTATTGACCGTCTTCTAGTGCACACAATCTCACTTGTCACTTCACTACATGTTTCAGCATCACTGTGCCATCCTCAGGTGTGTCATTTACGTTAAACTATTGCACTGCTCGCCATCATATGTCGTTTATAAAATGATTTAAAATGTATATTCGTCATGTACTATAATAAAATTTATATATTAAAATTTGTTAAGATTTATCATCTTATACATCGTATTTCAAACTTGTGTATTATATTAATCTTCTCAATGGGAGTCGTTCTTCCTATATTTTGTGTATACTGTGTGTTGTGATGTGTCCTTCTTTTGTGGCTGCGTGCGTTGTAATGCTCACATGTAGTGAAGTGACAAGTGAGATTGTTTGCACTAGAAGACGGTCAATACATGCACATCATGGATGCGAATCAGTGCAACAGGACACTAAAAAAATAACCAGTTCGGTAGTTCTGAGCCGTTTGTGTTAGTAGCTGGTAGCTGAGACACAGGGATAGTTCGGGAACCCCGAGTAATAGGAGGATCCTCCATTGGAAGCCGTCACCAGACAACGACTGTTGAAGACACAGCAGACTGAAAAGACTTAATGCACCCTGTAGTGAACTGTAAAGTGTGTAGTTACGATCTATAAGTGGTCAATAACCCCAATTACCGGTCAAAACGCTGTTTGTAGTCACTCATACACATGACTATATGCTGAACATTTTTCCACATAAATTATTTATTTTAGTCAATGTTTTTTAATGTATATAAAACAACTTTGATCATGGTTTATTGTCAGAGAGTGGCATAGATCATTACCTCATAATTAGAAATTTAACTAGATTCTAAAGAATACAGTCTTGTTGAATTGTAATGCCATGTATTTCAGAAAAAAAAAAAAATAAGAGCCCTGCTTGCCACCTGCTTCTTCCATACAGTACTCTTCCAGCCAGAAGGTGGAGGAGATGTCTTCCCCCAAAACATTGGGCATCTTCTGAACTGCATGATGTTACAGCCCAGAAGTTTGTGCTGTTCATAGGCACCGCTATGAGAATCTCAAATGCAACTTATTACATTCTATTTTCAACATACCATGGAAATTTAAATTACAATACCAAAGGTCAGATTGAATACACTAGTGTTTCTTTTTCATAACGTTGCCTACTCAAGGTATGATACAGTCTCAAATATGTTTTAGACAGGCCATGCTTTATAGGGGTCAGGTTACCATACTATGCCTCCCCTCCCATCCAACATCAAAGTGCAAGTTTTGAGGTTCTGACAGCAGTGATTACAAAGATGACTGCCTCCTGAGATGGGAAGCTGTAGGTCATTACTGACAATTCGGTACTATCTCCATCTTACTCTGAAAAATTGGTGACAATCTACAAGACCATGTTGTGTCACATCCCAGATGGTGTCTCCTCCCCTCATAACATTTGAATCAGTGGATGAAATTTGATTAAATTTGGTTTAACAATCATGCCTCTAGAATTCACTTCACCTTCATACTTTCTAGTTTCCTTTTATCATTTGCACCATCTTGAAATGGAAGTGATACTACCAATATTTAACCCTTTAAAGCACTGTGGTTACCATATGTACCTCCACTTTTAATGTTAAGAATTCTGCATTTTGCCCACCCTATTTATATGTTGCATATGATTCTTAGAAAAACGGTATTAACCAGCTAGTGTTTGTAGTGGAGACTGTTTTCTGTGACATAGGAACTGAATTTCAGTATTATTTAGATGAATCTCAGGATTTGAAAGAGTTAATGTATAATATTACACTGCAGCATCCTGCTGCACTTCATTTAGTATCAGATGGTTTCGCAGTCTCACAAGCAGTACATCTTTCTGTAAAACTTACTAAAAGTTATTCACTTCAAAAGTTTTACATATCATATAGATTTAACTGATTAAAAATCATTCACTACATGTTTTGATCTATGAGGTCATCATCAGGTGTTTAAAATTATAAATTATAAATGAGGATACTGCTGTTCTTTTGTATCATGATTTTTGTTCATTACTATGCAGTCTCTTCTATGCGCAGCACAACACAACAGGCAGAACAACCCATTCGTATATGCATGCATGTAGAAGGGACCACACTCTAACAAGCAAAAGCCATGACAGGGAAGCAGAGCAGTTTCCTCATTTATAGTTTATAATTTTAAAACACCTGATGATGACATTATAGGTCAAAACATGTAGCTAATAAGTTTTAATAAATTAAAATCTGTATGATATGTAAGAATTTTAAAGTGAATAACTTGTGAGACTGTGAAACCATTTGATAGTTAATGCAGGTTTCTGAAATTCAGTGCCATAATATGTCTTGGAGAATATGCAAGTTTCTTTGAGATTTTGTTTTGTAGGAATATGGTGGTTCATATGAATGCTGTGTTTCATTTTATGTTACACGGTGCAAACAAATAAATCTCTGAAATTTGGCAAGTGAAATTTTATGTGGACATTGATTGTAAACACATCTATAGAGTTTTTAAAATTTAATTTAATTTTTAGGAGCAAATGAAAAATTCCAGCTACTGTGGTCACAGCTGGGATCCAGCACGTTTCTTCCCAAAGGCAAGCACTTGTTAAAATATATCTAAGGAAACATATATGTAATTTTTTCCCTTTCAGGAATACATAAAAGATCCTGAGTTTGTGCCAGAGAAAGTCTTCAGCAAATCATGTGCAGCAGCAGGATTGTGTGACTGGGTCATCAACATCATCAAGTTTTATGATGTATACGTTGTGGTGGAACCAAAACGGCGAGCCTTGATGCAGGCAAACGCAGAACTTTCCGCTGCCCAAGATCGTTTAAAATTTCTCAACAATCAAATTGAGTCCCTTGAAGAACAGCTCTCTATGCTGAAAACTGAATTCCAAGAAGCAACAAATGCCAAATTGAAATGCCAGTCAGATGCAGAAACTACTGCCAATACCATAGAACTGGCTAACCGTCTGGTCAATGGATTGGCCTCTGAGAATTATCGTTGGAGGGACAGTGTAGCCAACTTCAGGAATCAGTTAATAACACTTCCTGGGGATATTTTGATGGTAACAGCATTCATCTCATACATGGGATGTTTCACTCGCATGTATAGGATTGGTCTGCTCAAGAAATACTGGGAACCATTCCTCAAGAAACTAGTCCCTGCCATACCAACCACTCCAGATCTGGACCCAATGGATCTGTTGACAGACGATGCCCAGATTGCACAGTGGAACAATGAAGGCCTTCCTAATGATAGGATGTCTTCTGAGAATGCTACTGTGCTAACAAATTCAGAAAGATGGCCCCTGATGATTGATCCACAACTACAAGGAATCAAATGGATCAAGAATAAGTATGGCAGTGATCTCAAGGTTGGTATATCCATGAAACTAGTTAGGCTAATTTAAATAATGCTTAAATGAAATTGATAGTAAAATCTGTGTAAATACAAATGTATCTACTGAACTTTAAAGGGTGCGCCATAGCTCAAGCGGTTAGTCGCTGGCTTCCCACCGTGGCGGCCCGGGTTCGATCCCAGGTTTGGTGAAGTGGGATTTGTCATGAACAAAGTGGTACTGTGGCAGGTTTTCTCTGAGTACTTCAGTTTCCCCTGCCGATCTTCATTCCAGCAATTGCTCCACAATCACCCTCACATATCATCTGGGGCTGGTACAATAGGCCAGAAGTGGCCGCAATACAAGGGACTTAGTCCCACCCCGCTAGCAGTAAAAAAATCTACTGAACTTTCTGTTCATAATGGTCTGAAACAGAGATGTGCTTTAAGGCCATTGCTTCTGAAAACTCAGGAAGCTCAAAACCAGGAGATTTTGAAATTCAGTAGGACACGTCATCTTCTGGTATATGCTGATGATGTTGATTTATTGGCTGAAAACATCAGTTCCATAAAGGAAAGCATATCAAAATTATATGAAAGTAAGGAGGTTGGTCCAGAAATAAATATTGAGAAAACCAAGTATATGTTGATGTCTCATCACCAGAATTCAGGGAAAAGTAATAATACAAAGATAGCCAATGAATCCTTTTAGTATGAGGCAAAGTTCAGATATCTGGGAATGACACCAACAAACCAAAATTGCATTCACAAAGAAATTAAGAGCCTGTTACATTCTTGGGAATGCTTGTTACCATTCAAATCAGAATTTATTTTTTCAGATTGTTTGAAATTGGAAGGTTCTATCTTAATGGATATAATGCCCTGTATTCGAGCGAAAATCAGCTCCATCTTGAGGGTCACTCTACTTCTTGCCCTCTTCATTCTGATTTCATTCTCATGTTACTCTTTGACCCTGAAGATGGAGGCATTATATTCCTTCTAAATGTTGGTTGACTTTAACTGGACTACACAGCATTTTATCCCAATATGGTTTACAGCTGCTCCTCTCTACTTTTCTTATGCAGGTTGTAAGGCTTTCCCATAAAAATTATCTGGATGTCATCGAAAGTGCTCTTTCTGAAGGTTCAACTGTTCTCCTGGAGAACATCGGTGAAACGGTATGTGCAGCTGAATTTCAGAGAACATGGGGGCAGGGATGTCTCATAGGACTGCTTATGTTATGGTGGTGATAAGTACTTGGTGATTCCATGTTCCATGTACATAAGAGAATGTGAAAATAAAATTGAAGCTTTCATAGCAGATGAATCCACTGAAATCTTCCTGGGCAATCAGATGTGTCAGAGTTGAATTAGAAACTAGTGTTTTGAAGACCTCTGGCTCCATCAGGTTTGATGTGGTGGACGACCGTAGCTGCTGATATATATATATATATATATATAGACACATACACACATATATAGGTGACAAACAAAAACTTCTCATCTACTGGGCATTGATCACTTTGTCCTAGTCTTCAACTCACAAACCCTTCCCCACACACAACTCCCACTACACAGTCAATCCATTGTTTACCACACCCAGTAGTCAACATGTCCATGCTTTTCTGTGTTAAAACTGCATTTCCCTTGTTGCAGCCATTGGTGAAGAGCATATTTTTAGTAGTGCTATCTCTTAAGAAACAGTGTACCAGTTAAAGCCTTATATTCCAGGATGACAGAGTCTGACAACTAGTATAGTGTTGACATAATTTTGCAGGTGGATGCAGTATTAGATCCCCTGCTTGGCCGCAACCTCATCAAAAGGGGTCGAGCCATCAAGATAGGTGATAAGGAGATGGATTACAACCCTAAATTCCGCCTGATACTTCAAACAAAGCTAGGCAACCCCCACTACAAGCCTGAAATGCAAGCTCAGACAACTCTGATCAACTTTACAGTCACCCGAGATGGTCTTGAGGAACAGCTTTTGGCAGAGGTGGTAAAGGTAGAGAGACCAGACCTTGAGAAACTCAGGTCAGAATTGACTAAACAACAAAATGACTTCAAGATCACACTGAAGGTTAGTTGCTGCAATTTATTTGCAGTTTTCTTTTCAATCTTATTGATTAACAGATTATTAAAGTGGGAAAATCAGGTAAGGTAGAAAAGGAAACATATCTTGAGTATGTCTCCCCTATGTCCCTCCTCATCCTTCTCCTCTCTTGTCTTCATCTGTTATCCAATACTATATAGTCTTACAAATATTATATTTTTGGACATTATCCATGTTCTGTGTTTATCGAAGAAAACTGCCCTGTTTATTTTTCAAAACATATCTCCATCTTCAGGTAAAATCTATCTCTGGTCTTGAGATAGGGACTAGCTCTATTGGTTGAGCCCAACTGAGTAAGTTCGCTAGTGGACTAAAAGCACAAAGTTTGTTTAATCAGCCACTTTATTACACAGGTCCTAGAAGATGACTTACTAAGTCGATTAGCTGCTGCTGGTGAAGACATTCTGAGTGATACTGCTTTGGTAATCAATTTGGAGACCACAAAGAAAACAGCAGATGAAATTGAGATCAAAGTAGAAGAAGCCAAATGCACGTCCAGAAAGATCGATGAAGCTCGTGAGCTGTATCGTCCTGCTGCAGTACGAGCTTCCTTACTCTATTTCATTCTTAATGATCTTCACAAAATCAACCCCATATACCAGTTCTCACTGAAGGCTTTCAGTGTGGTTTTTCAGAACGCTATAGCAAGAGCAGTTAAGTCTGATGATATCAAGGAACGTGTTGCAAATCTCCTAGATTCAATCTCATACATGGTTTTCATGTATACTTCAAGAGGACTATTTGAATGCGACAAGCTAATCTTCATGGCACAAATGACATTCCAGATACTGCTGACAAGCAAGGAGATAGAACCTGTTGAATTGGATTATCTGTTGCGATTTCCTGTCACTTCGAATGTGATTAGTCCTTTGGACTTCCTCACCAATACAAGTTGGAGTGGAATTAAAAGCCTTTCTCAGATGCTCGAGTTTAAGAACCTGGACCGTGATATTGAAGGTTCAGCCAAAAGGTGGAAGAAATTTGTAGATTCTGAATATCCAGAGAAGGAGAAGTTTCCTCAGGAATGGAAGAATAAATCAGCGCTTCAGAAACTGTGCATGATGCGCGCGCTTCGTCCAGATCGCATGACGTACGCCATCAAATCATTTGTAGAAGAGAAGTTAGGCACAAAGTTTACGGAGTCTCGATCCATCGAGTTTGCTAAATCATTTATGGAGACAAGTCCCACCACACCTGTGTTCTTTATCTTGTCACCAGGTGTAGACCCACTCAAGGATGTAGAGAAACTAGGCAAAAAGTTTGGCTTCACGTTTGATAGGCGTAACTTCCACAATGTGTCCTTAGGACAGGGTCAAGAAACAGTAGCAGAGCATGCTATGGAAGTCGCCTCCCGTCATGGTCATTGGGTCATCTTGCAGAACATCCACTTGGTTCGAGCATGGCTTCCGACTCTGGAGAAGAAGATGGAACAATGCGAGGAAGGTGGGCACCAAAAATATCGGCTCTTCATGAGCGCAGAGCCTGCTCCTTGCCCACGGTTCCACATAATTCCACAGGTATATTATTATTATTTTAACTGAGACATGGCTTAACGACCTGTGTTACGATCATAATTTATTTCCTGACTGCTATACAGTTTTCCGTTCTGACAGGGCGTCTGTAAATAAGACATGTGGTGGTGGAGTTCTCACTGCCCTATCCTCCAAAATTCGCTCTTGTAAACGCAGATACGATTTAGAATCTTGCGATGAATGTGTATGGGTTGAAATCCCCACTTCAGACGGCCTCAACTTACTCATTGGAAATCATTACTTTCCTCCTGACGCTAATCCTGAAAACATTGCTAATTACTTTCGTTTTTTAGAAAACAATCTGGATACCCATAATTTTCGAGTAATTATGGTTGGGGATTTTAATGCCCCTGGTTTCGACTGGAAAAGTGGTTTAGCTCTGCCCAATTCTCATTATTACTCGAAACTTAAGGGAGATGCGATCTACACTTCCACGTGTCTACTAAATCTTAATCAGTGCATTGATAATGTCAGCGGCAGCAATCTACTTGATTTAATTTTTTCTAACTTAAGCGACTTAAGTATTACTCCTGTTGACTCTGGACTTATTAAGCCTGACAATTACCACCCCCCACTAATTATCAATATTTGTTTGTCCCTTGCCACTTGTATTCAAAATTATAAATATTCGTACCGTAAATTTTCGTCTGGGGATTATGCAA